AGAACAGTACACGTATTGTTTAGAAGAACTCTATATGCAACAACACGTGACTTTATATCATTCGTCCACCCTCCACATACTAGTAGTAGTACGTCATATAGCCTATGATAAACTCTAGACACAACATCCGCTGTGTGACCGTGACATGCACAAGTCTCGTCATCCAGCACCTTGATTTCAGGGGTATCCAAAACGTATGAATTCTTGCAGAGAAAAAAAAATTGCGAAATTTCTTTTTTGGAGTCAGTGCAAAAATTTTAACATGTTTTATACAATCTGTAAATTACAATATCTGATTCTATATTCTTTCGAGAAAAAAACAGCGTTTATTTCGTTCGTTTATCACAGAAATTGCAGAAATAGGAGCAAATTTAGTAAGTGACTTCAATTTTTACGGATTTCTAATCGCGGGTATTTAAATTTATTCCGTACGGCTGCCTATACCGGAATTTAAATGCCCGTAGGATAAAGGTTAAAATCATTCTATTCATTACACCTTCTAAAACCCATTTACAATGACAATGTCACGTGTTAGTGACTAGATATGGGGTTTAAACTGTAACTGAATTTACTGAACACTTATAACTACAATTATTTATAACACCTTTATGGATCTACACAACCTACAGATTACTGTACTATAGTGCACAAGAAGTCTTCTATATCTTCACTAGACATCACTAGGTTATAGCTGCTAACCATGGAGGTTCTTCTGCTTTGGTGCTCATGTCCTTAACGGATGATGGCTGTCTTACAGTTCACTTTCAACTACAACTCATGGCATTGCTACTCTTCACCACCAAACTCACTGCCTCACTGGTTCTCACCGGCTGTCAGATACTACTGATGGCAACTAAGTAGTCTTGACGGCTCTTGCTATATAGCCTCAACATGGACTACCAATCCCAGCAGTTCCTCTATTGTTTCTGCCAGCCAGTGCCTAGTGATGGCTTACTTGTTTATCAAGACATAACCAAGCAATGGACAATGTTTAAGTAGTCATGTCACAATACATAAGAATCATACACAACTTCAAATTATAACACAACAAAAATGAGCAACAAATGACAATGCTGAGGCTGTTACTTTTCAATTATCATTCATACAGCATATAGCGAGTTCAAATAATTAACAACAGTTTCAGCCTTGTGAGGATGATTGAGGAGCTGTTTCAAGGAAATAGCAGCTCCGGTCTAGAAAACCTAAATTAAAGATCGTGGGGATCCGTTGCACTGACCACACAACACCCTCTATTCGCAAAATTTGGCACTAAATTCATTGACAAGCAGTGTTCACTCGGTCAGTATAGTTAGCTTGCAGACTACAGGCCACAGTTTTTCTTTTTTCAAATACAAAGTGCAAACACGGAATGACGTATCATTGTGAGTTATGGTAATTAAAATGTGCACAAAATCAATAACAATTACTCAGACAACTTATATGAAATCCTTCCAAAACAGTCAGATTTCTGATGGATCATAAGTTACTAAAATGATGGGAAAAAAAAAAGTTAACACATACATACCATTATTAACTAACAAATCTACCCGAGGAAAGCTTTTCAGGACCAATCCAGCAAACGTCTTGATGGACTTAAAAGATCCTACATCAAGTTGGAAACATGATACTTCTCCACTTGTTATGCCACAAGACCGTATACTTTTCACAGCTCTTTCACCTGCTTCAACATTACGGCAACCTTCAAACAAAGAAGTAAATACTGTTAACAGTAGTGACAAAAATACCAATTCTGTGTACATCTGCATTAAGTTATTCTTGAAGTGCCATTTCAATTCATATGACAAAATTAACAACTGTAGCCTCTAAAAGAGGCAGTGCAGTGGAACCTATTTAGTGTCCACATTCATTGTTCTTGATATGTGATACTATATAGTAAAACCCCCATTTAAGATTTCTTTGGAGTGCAGTGAATACAGACACTAAACTGATGAAAATCTTAAATGGAGGAAATTTAACTCTGAGATTAATGACTTGGAATCACTGAATGGGGGTTTCACTGTGGTAAGAAGAAAGACTAAGGGCAAAATGTCTACCACAAATGGACAGTCTGCAATGCCATGCATTCCAGCTTTGTTAGGATATGCATATTTAATTCAGTTTCGCTGTCATTGTTCAGTGTAATCAGTTCAGTTATTTTTTTTTTGTTGTATAACAGAGCACAAGAACATATGCCTGATTATTACATTACTCAACACTATTTTCAATTACAGGGGATACATAGATGGGAAGATGCTAATCAATAGTAATTAAAGATTTAGAAGGAAGCAGTCATGGTCTAGTCTTATCTTGGCATTCATCTGGAGAGTACGAAAGCCAAGAAATCCCAAATTAGGACAGACAGCATGTGGCATGCGTGCTACTACAGAACAACTAAGCAGAGACATGAAAACACTGAGTTTCCTTTTTCATTCAGTATTCATACAGATTGAAGAGTACAAGCCATGGTGATCTCCCAACACTTCATCTGTCTATCACATCCAGCAATTCATTTACTCATTCATTGAGAGGCCATTCACCCCTTAAATACATATGGAATATTTTATGTTGTCATGGCGTTGACTATGAAGATCACTGTCTTCTTGGATGTGACACCACGTGGTCTTGTAGATAACTGATGCTTTGGAGGAACATGCTACCTCCATCAACATATCCACATAGCGGCCTCCGTAGTCTAGGGGTAACGTTCCCACCTCATGACTCAAGGTACGAGGGTTCAAACCCGGCGGAGGTCATGGAATTTTTAAGGGCGGAAAAATTCAGGGAACAAATCCTCTGGGAGGGACTTTAAGCTGTGTGTCCCATGTCATAGATTTATGGCACGTAAAAGAACCTCATGTCTCTAGGAGACCTCTGAGCTAAATTAGGCAACAATTTCCCGCCCAAGTAGTTTCCAATGCCTCTGGTAGATGGGGGAAGTATCAAGGTACCGAGGGCCGACCTCGTTGGCTCAACGGGGCTGATAGCATGCACCAGTACCGGTAGGGTATGGAGACTGGTAGAATATCAAAGGGGGACCTACAATAGGTCAACAACTGGTCGCGGTGCATTGGGAAATCCACCCCCTCCAATAATAATAATAATAATAATAATAATAATATATCCACATTTATTGGCCCCAAAGGGATTCCATTTTTGTTCACATACATAACATGCCCATAGCAGATACCTTTAATTTAACCACCTTTTCTTGTAATGTTTCTACTTTTAGATGTTTCCTAATATCCTCTAACATTAAATGTTGAACAATACAATGTCATGTCTGTTCTTGCATGTGTAACTTGACAATGGGCTCTCAGATTCTCTGCATGTTCTCTATATAAAATCAGCTGTAAGACTATATAAATCTCATTTCAGAAGTAATAATATTTCATACCAATAACAACATGCATGCCACATTGTAACAATTTCTTCACCACTTCCACTCCTATCCCTCGGGCACCTCCAGTAACAACAGCTACTTCACCAGGCTTAGGTAACAAATCTGAAATAAAACAGTGCAGTCACCAATTAAGCATACTATGCATAAAGGGTGTAAGTGACAAACCAAATCACAAATTCATGGTCAAAACTATGCCCAGAAATGCTTCATGACAGAGTTACAACCACCTCACCCTACAAGTCTCAACACACCTATCGACAAATTTAAAAATTGAGAACCCCTAACTACACTCCGAGACAGAAACCATATTTCATAAATTGAAGGATCAACACTGGTAATAGCCCCACAGCAACTGCATGCTGATGTTAACAATCACCTGATCACAATTCCATGATCAAGACTTCTTGAACACTACAGAGGTGATTTGTTGAGTCTGACAGTAAAATCACAATGCTCCTCAGCTGACAGTCTGCAGACTGCTGTTGGTTGGTGGCTTAATTTATACCAGTCTGTAAATTTCACTTAATCCCTTGACTTTGGCTTATAGAAGACTTCCCTATGATGCTTGGATGAAGCAAGAACGGGCTTAATGAACTATTCTGTCTTCTTGGTTATTTAATTTCAGCTTTTCCTCAGAGGATGACAGGACTGTACTGGAACGCCTCAGTAAAACACTTCTGCAATACTAATATCCATCATGCATCTTCATAGCAGTATATGAAACATATGTTTCATCATGTGTTATTTCAGAAATAATTTCAGCCCCAGTGTACTTTCCTGTACCTGGAAACCTCAATTCCCAGTGACCTGACACACCATTCTATACAGTTTACCATAGCTGGAAAAATTACTGTTTTACAACTAAAGACTTCTGTTAAATTTTTGGAAACTAGTAGTAACTGAGCTGTTTGTAAGTAAAAAAAAAATGGCAAGTACAGTTCCTATACAAGTAAGGCAAAGTTTCCAATTAAAATTTAATCTTTTCTTTTTTCCTACATGCAATTGGACAACATAAAAAAAATGAAGATTTCATGAAAACAGAATATCAATGTACATGGCAAGAATTAAGTTCAAAATTGAATTTAGGGGCAGGTTAATAAATATGATGAAAACTAAGGGAAAACTCAGAGAAAGTTGTGACAGTTACATATCAACGTCTGCTCCCACCCCTGTGAAACATTTATTCCAAGATCTGCCACTGAAAACACACACTGCAGTAGTTGCTATCATCATATTACTTGTTCCTACAGAATATTTGAAGAGGCTAAAGTTTTATTTTCTTGTAGCAATGCCACCATATCATTTTTAACACTCCATGGCCAAAGGTAAAGCTATCCCTGTAACAGGCCATGAAGGCCTATAGGGTTGCGAAACGTTTAGACTCCCATATTTTCTACACAATCAGCTCACAGATGGCAGTGAAGCTGTCAGCCTTACACACCTGCCACCCTTTACTTCCAGGAAGATTCTTGGTATTCATTTCTGTTAGAAGCTGAGTCAACCCCAGAACCACAGTGCAGCCGGAAGGATTAAGTCAACTGAAAACTCCAGTGGCCTCATCGGGAATCATGCCCATGACCTTCCAGCTTGTAGCATAGTGCCTCAACCAACTACACTACTGTGTACCCCTAACAGACCATGGACAAAGTATTACTTATTGCATCTGAAATTCTAATAACAGTGACTGTGAAGAGTATGGTCTTCATGATTGTAATGCTGTCTAGTTAATAGAGAGCCTGATGTTTCAGAGAAAAATATCGCCTCCATTTTCAGGATTGAAGAGTTAGCCAAACAGAAAACAAGTGGAAACATCACATTCTTTTCAAGCTACACAGTGCTACAGCACTGAAGAACTCTTAATAATGTTTAATTTTTTACAAAAAGAAATTATAAATAACACCAGTGGTTTATTATGTGAGATAAGAGAGGGTAAATATTTATTTACCTGTAATAATACTGCCACACAAATTTTAATACTAGGTCTGGTTCTAAGAGAGAATCATACTTACAATATTTTAACACACAACACACTCAGATTACAGTTCTCTGGACTCTCACATCACATCATGTCGATCATGGACACCAGAGTTTCAGAGAAACATGCTGCCTCCATATTCATATCCTCAGCACGTGGTGTGGTGAGGATGTGTTCAATTTATATATGCAGGTTTCAAGGAAAGTATTCATTAGATCCTTGGAAGAAAATGGTAATGTGGCTGCATGTTCCTCCAAAATGTTATCATGGTGTCACAACCCAGAAGACTACAATCTGAACACTCACAACCATGAACACCTAAAAATATATATAAAACAGCACTGTTTTACTTCATACAAAGACACTCAATCTGGCTCACACCTAAAACACCTCCTGAGTATGCAAAATGAAAACGATGAATCGCACAAGTATATAGTTACAGTACGTGGTAGCGTAGTTGGTTGAGGCACTATGCTACAAGCCAGAAGGTCATGGGATCAAATCAAGATGAGGTGGATTTTTTTCAATTTACCTAATTCTTCCAGCTGCACTACGGCCCTGGGGTCGAATCAGCCTCTAACAGAAATGAGTACCAGGAATATTCTTGGGGGTAAAGGGCGGTCAGCGTGTAAGGCTGACAACCTTACCGCCATCTGTGAGAAGACTATCCAGATAATGTGGGGACCTCAACATCTCACAACCCTATGGGCCTCCACAGCCTGTCACGGGGATACCTTTACTTTTATATACAAGGTCTAACAACACAGTTCTAAAACTAAGTTCTGTTATTCATAAAGTTTTGTCACATATCATTTAGAAAGAAAAAGGATGTAGGAACTAGACCAACTGTTCTACTACAGCAAGAGTACAGTAACAGTACTGAAAATCTAAATAAGGTACCATTTAGATTATGAAGATTATTTGTCTCCTGGGATGACACCATGTAGATTGCTAGATGTTTACAGATGTTTCAGAGGAACATACTGCCTCCATCTTCTGGTAGAAGATGGATACAGCACATTACTCTGAAATGTCTATAACGTCTACCAGGCTACATGGCATTACACCCCAGAACACAATTTTCATAGTCACCACCACAAGACCCTCTGACTACACGCCATAACCAACTCTTTAAATAATACAGATGTGGAAATTCAATGAGTTTTCTATTTTAATGCCTTTACATACTAGAAAGAATCTTGGGGCAAGCAAGGTGTACAGTGTCGTTCAAGCTTTATGTGTAAGTACCTGCACAAATTCCTTACTAAAATTTAAACACTTACAGTTTTGTAATGAAGTTCAGTTCACTGAAACGCAGTCTCACCACTTAATATTAACAATATATCAAATTATATGACATCTGCGGGTCCTCAGTGTAGTATCTAGTTTACGGTCTTCCGGTATGTGACGCCGTGTAGTGTGGTCGGTGGTTAAAAACGTTTCGGAGAAAACCGCTGCTCTCTTTCACAAAAAAAAAGCCGTATGCCTCAGGTTCCTCTGAGATATTCGTACCCATCATCCAGACTACACGGTATCTTATCCCAGAAGACTGTCTGCTTGAAAGAATTATTAGTTTTTATATACATACATGTTTTATTGCGTCGAAAGTAAACATAATCTTCCAGAACTCCTCTCCCACCCAGTACGTAATAATACAATTGGTAGCCAACTATTCTGAACAGACGCTTGAAAGTTTGTTTACGTTGTATTGAAAACCCAAAACAAAATGCAAATAAAATTACAATAATTCCTAAATATATATACATTATGCCAGAGAGACACCTCCAGTACTGCTGCTACGACGATATGGCCTGCAATTCTTGAGAAGAGACTTCACTTTCTAAATCACCTGACATAGATTTCACTTTTGGCTTTTGACAAACAATGGGAAAGTTGGTACCTCGATGAAGTTACTCAAAGCTGTTACTTATGAAGATACTACTCACATCTGCGCACTCGACCAAGGTTTGTACAGTTAGACGTTTGTGGCAGATAAGAAATGGCATATATTCTGTACGACATTCTTTGGGATGATAATTCAGTTGCGGTCAGTTGCGTCCGGTTGCGTCCCTGACATACATTCGTGAGGTGAGTCGGTCAGTTCGAAGATGCGACGAAGTGACGGGTCAATGAACGCCGCCACGCTTCCCTCACAAAACTTCCGTTCGAACCTACACTTAAGCCGTTTAAGAACAATTTTAGCCCCGTCAAAGTGTTCCTACCGACTGTGTACATGATTGAGAATTTCGTAATTAATTCTGAATGGAAGCAGGCCAGAGAGCCTAATCCATGAAGGTAGAAGATTAATTTTACTAGGGTTTTGATTTTTTGCGTCAATATTCGATGGATTTCTCCCTCCACAGACACACGGATACATACCACACAGACAACATTGGGATAGCATGAGCCTATTTTAGGAAAGTAGGCTATGGAATTAAAGCAGGTACATCTCCAAGCTGGCTGTGTCAGTGAACCTCCGCCTATTAACTTTTGAATTCCTGAACCAATCTTTATGGAACTTAGTATCATGGAACTTTTAGGCACAATAGATCACTGTGGTCGCGGTGCAAAGGCCAAGCAGGCCAACCCCTTATACATTCATACATTCATCGTGGAACTTGAGCCCATCTCAACAGCATACTTCATAAATCCCTCCCATAAATCTATGTGTCTGTAGGTGTATCCTTCCTATCACTGCTAGGCAATGTTGGCTCACTTTACAAAAGAGAACATAAATACGGTTAATATTAAATATTTAATTAATTTCTGTTTGACACTGCCAGGATCTAATGCACCGATTGAGCGTGTTTTCTCAAGAATAAATGCATTATGGTCAGATGAAAAGGACAGACTTAAAATAGAAACAGTGAAAGCCGTAACCATTGTGAAGACCCGCTTTAAAGATTTCTTTTGTTCAGAGTTCGTTTCCCAAATTTCAAAAGAAAAAGTGTTTCTGGAACAGGTTCGCAAATCTGATAAATATTCAGGTGAATCTGTGAAGGCTTCGCAGGCTAAGACCCACATTTTATTTTTAAATGAAGTGCCATATTTCTAAACTAATAATTTTGATCTAATTTTTGTGTGTTTAAATTTCTCAGTGTTTAATATGTAACGTATTACTGATTTTTTATTAATTTTTTATCGTGTAAACTTTTTACCGAAAGTCCCGGTTTTGGGGGGAAAAATTAAAATTACGCGTTTTAAAAAAATATTATTGGAACTCTAGTGTGAGCCTCGACGTCTCACAACCCAATTGTCCTCCACGGCCTGTTACAGGGATAGCTTTACCTTTTTACTGTACAGACAATAATAATAATGATAATAATAATAATAATAATAATAATAATAATAATAATAATAACAATAATAATATCCTACATGGTTTAAGCACAATTTTCGTGTATACATTTTTATTCTCCCCCCCCCCAAGAACACTCGCATTTCAAGCAGGTTAAGTTCTTTAGATCTCTAATCCTGATACGACAAACGAGAACACGGATCAGCATCTACAAGAAGTATTTTGAACACACATTCCACGCGTAAACTTCCGTATTCTTCCTTTAACAACCTTGTAAATTGTACTCTTCTCCAGGTATAATTAGAATGATCAAATCAAGGAGGATAAAGTGGGCATGGAATGTAGCACGAATGGGGGAGACAAGGAATGCGTATAGGATATTGGTGTTAAAGCCAGAGGAAAGATACCACTGGGAAGACCAAGGCGTAGGTGGGTGGACAATATTAGAATGGATCTTAGAGAGATAGGATGGGATGGTATGGATTGGATTGATCTGGCTCAGGATAGGGACCAGTGGAGGGCATTTGTGAACACGGTAATGAACCTTCGGGTTCCATAAAATGCTTGGAAATTCTTGAGTAGCTGCAGAATTGGCAGCTCCTTCAGAAGGGCTCAGCTCCATGAGTAAATAAGTAGGCTAATTAGGCCGCGCCATAGTTCAAGCGGTTAGTGGCTGGCTTCCCACCGCGGCGGCCCGGGTTCGATCCCGGGTCTGGTCAAGTGGAATTTGTGGTGGACAAAGTGGCGCTAGGTCGGGTTTCCTCCGAGTACTTCGATTTCCCCTGCCAATCTTCATTCCACCAAATTCTCCATCATCATAATCACCCGGGGCAAGCTACAATTGGCCAATCAGTGGCTGCCGTGCCGAATAGACCCAGTTGGACTCCACCCCCCACACTATGCGAAAAAAAGTTAATTGAAGCAGGTACTTGTAGTTTAATTATCAAATCCTCATATACCATTGTAATCACTTTCCTCTAACACTCCTTCCACATGAAGGTTCAGTTTATTATATTACCACAGTTCCAGTTGGTTCAAAATCACGAAACGGGTTCGAAAATACAAAACTAATGGTCCTGTAATCGACTCAGTCTCAAGCAGAAAAAGTATACTACGAATCTTCCTGTCGGTATAGGGTGATAGGCGCATATGGCTGACAACTTCCCCGCCATCTGTAAGACGATTGTCTAGAAATTTGGGTGCTTTGACGTCTGATAAACCTCTAGGCCCTCTACGCCTCCGCTGCATTATACGAGAATATCTTTACCTTATTTTTATAAAGAATAATTGATTATTTTATTTGAAGACAATACTATGGCATCTAACCGCGGCACACGTTTCCCTGTACATGTGACTATGAAAGTATGTAGAATTTTTAATTATCGTACATGTAATGTTGCAGAAATATATTTCACTTAGATTGAAAGTAATATATAATCATTTCCTTGGAAATTATTTAATAGAATTTCAATAATAGCATTTCTTCAATAATATTTCCGTCAGCGACATCTGCTGACAATAATTAGGTACTGTATGAACTCTCTGTGCGTCTCTGTGTCATAGCCGGTCATAGCAGGGCTGGGGACTGGTCAAAGAAACTCGATGAGACAAGCAACGTGCGAGAATTATAGCGCGATTTCACCGTTGCGATATTTTTTAATCAGTGAAATGAATTCATTTTACTCAAACCATACTACAGAAGATTGTATCTTCAAATAAGTTACTGCAATAGATAGCACCAAGCACGTATCTACGTATCTTGTTTGGAACACAGGAAAAAAAAATCTAGTATATGTTAATGTATGGATTTATGATGGATATTTTACTACTTTTGTGAAATCCTTACTATTTATGTGAAATTGAATTGTGCATGTATATATGTATTGTACGATTTTTGACAAATTCCACATCCGGTAGGTCATCTGACTAACTCATGGATCTATGTATGTATGTATGTATGTAATGACAACGTCAAAACCGTCAAAAACCTACGTTAGCAAATGTCAACTAGAGTGAATTGGAGGGGATGGTTTACACGTAACCTACAGATGGCAAAGAACTGATGTGTTTGGTGCCATCTATTGATTAAAGGTGGAACCTAAAAGACCTAAAAGTTGAAATGTAAGTTTGATTGGTTAGAGTAGTGAGGAAGTAATTAGTTTAGGGTTTAGGACTGTGCGTGAGTTATCATATTTAAGCATCAATAATAATTGCAGGAGTGTTGACGTAAGTGGTGAAGTCGGAGAATTGAAATGTTCGTAACTGGTATATATAATTGCTATGTAGCTAAGATTGTATGTGCATTGACATTAAATAGTGCTGTAACCTACATTCAGAATATCTGGATTGTGAAAACGCCCTGCCCCCCCTCCCCCTGCAGTTTTTTCTTCAGGTATACGTATATGAATATCAATAAATACAGATCTCTATTACAGACCAGCCGCACGAAGTGCATAAAACCAATAACATGAGTCAACAGAATAACTCACAGAATTCTGAGGAGCCACAACCGCCACAACGTTCAGGGTGGGAAGCTTTGAAACAACATGTAATTGACCATAAAGTTGAAGTAGCAATATGGGCTACAAGAGTGTTCACAGTTCTTTTCACGTTTGGATATTTCATCCCTCTTTTTGGGTAAGTTCCGATAAAGGTTTGTAGACTGATATGTCCTATATTTGATGTATAGATATGTGACAATGTAAATTTGTGATTATTATTAATTGCGTGGATTGGCTAGTTGGTAGTTATATAATGTGCTTTTTCATAAGTAGTTCTGGGTGAAATTAAAAGTAATTGAGCATATACAGGTTTTCTAATCTGGTGTTTGCTTCATTGTGAGTTATAAAGTGAAGTTTATTTTGTGTGATGAGTCGTTTGTATATTGGCAGTACATTTTATTGTTAGACAATTATAATTTAATAAAATTAAGTTAACTTTCTTAAGACTGGTTGCATTGAATGAGGCATGTGGTTAACCTTGAAATGCTGCTTGTCCTTGTTTTGCAATACGTTATGAAACCCTTAATTGGTATCGTTTAGTAGTATTTATTAATATCTACATGCAGACAACATGACAAATTCCTTTATTTTCTAACAAAAATATTTTGTACACACATGAATGTTATTTTAATTTCCATACAAATTCAAATTATGTAACTAAACTGCCTTGTTGATAAGGGCATTTGTTTGCTGTAGTTGATTGAAGTATCTCTAGCTCCATGAAAGGTTAAAGTATGGAAAACATATATATTTTGATTTCAAATCCCTAATTAACAATTAATATTGTTTTCCAGTTTAAAGAGACTGAATTCTCATCATACAGGTTGGGATAGAAGTCTAGAATAGCAACAAGCCTCATTTTCTTTTTGCACAAGAGCCAGTTTAAAAATGATCCAGTTGTGCTTGGGCCATAAGCAAAGTGATAAAAATGAGGATTATGTTTATTCAACTGAATTTTGCTCTAAGCTTCTAAGCAACAAATATTAGTATTGATACCATGAAAAATATTAATATACTTCTTTAGGACATAGTTTTATTTTGAGGCTGAAAACGTCAATGAGAAGCTTTCCAGTATAGTATTTTTAATTTTTCTCTATGAGATTTCAGTCATGGGCTGCACTGGGAAGTCCTGCAGACTGCATATCTCCCATGGGTTACCCATCACTGGTTTAGAATAATAATGGTGATTTTATACCACAGCAAGATATACATTCATATATATTTTTTAAAAATTCCAATGTGACTAAACTGCCAATCACAGTGGCCTTGCAATCTAAGGTGTGAACTGCCTTCGCCTGCTTGAACACTGGGGTCATGGGTTCGAATCCCACTCGAGGCTTAGATGTCTTTGTGTGTTTATTCTGTGTTTGTGTTGTTCAGTGTGTAGGCAGTGGCCTTGCGACAGACTGACCCCCCATCCAAGGAGTCCAACTGACTGAGTATAGGATTAAGAAACCGAAAAACCGGCCAAGGCCCGAAGGTCTGTGGAGCTATAGAGAGAGAGAGAGAATGTGACTAAACTAATGTGTAAATAAGTGAAGTTGTCCCTGTGTTCAACAAATTAAGCACTATACCATGAAGGCGTATGGGGTAGCGGATGTATAGATCCACGTTTAAAACTAACATGTTCATTTTTAAATCTAGTAATGTTTATGGGCATAGATGTTATTGCGAATCAATTGCCTTAAATTTTAACCAGACTTGAACAAGAAAATACAAATATGAGATATGTTAGTTTGGCATGCATTTTAAAACTCAATCTGGATCTCTGTTTCAGATACCCATACAATGCATATTACAAGGCACTTATGTCGAATGCAGCTTCAAGTGCATTGCGTCTGCATCAGCGTGTTCCACGAGTGACACTTAGTCGAGAGTTTTTGTCACTTTTGCTTCTTGAAGACAGTTGCCATTATCTCTTTTACTCTCTTATCTTCCTTTCTGTAACACCTGTTACATGTATCCTTTTTTAAGAGTAATATAAAAATACTACGTAAGATACTAAATTTGAAATATTATACTCTAGTATAATATTATATTGTAGCTTCCTGTTGCACATTATATATTATTCAACAGATGTCACTGATTCACTGTCTCATGTGCAGTGCACCCTAAACACTTGTAGTCTAGACACACAACACAACAGGAGGAGCCACGAAGCACCATGGAATTCACAAGCGCATAGATGGGACTATACATCTAATGTAAGAACCAAAAAAAACAGAAGCACAGTAGTTTTCACCAATAATTTTACACTTGTAGTCTAGACCATTGTCAGTTGAAACACCATTGTCAGTTGAAACATGTAGTGCAGTGTACAGAAACTTTTAAATAAGATTTAAAAAGAGATGCATTATGTGATGTAAGAAACTTTTAAATTAGATTTAGAAGGGTGTGTTGCACATAAGGCAGTGAATCAGTGACATTTGTTGAATTATACTCTAGTATAGTTTAGTGCAGTGGTAAGAAAATCACGTCATCATGTAAGAGCACATAAGAAATTATTTCATAAATTTGTCGCCCACTTGTGAATAGCAGTAACTAGTTTAAGTGTCATGTTCCAATAGTAGTTGCACTCTTTTGTAGCTATCGTAGTTTTTGTAGTCATGAGATAGAACTAAACATTGAAATGTGCATGGGAGCACGGTGGACAGGTGAACAGTGCCGTGGTCTCCCCAAAAGCAAAAAGAAAAATCATTGATGATGGCCCATGTGAGGCCGAAATATGTCGTAAATTAGAAAAAATACACGTGAAACTAAAGATATTATAGAAATTTTGATAATCAGCTTTAATGTATAAAATATACTTTTAGTGTCCTGTTAACATTTTAATGATTTTAACATCATAAAGTATTAAAATACATTTTTAGTGAGTGATATATTCTTGATGCCTTTTATATTGTTACATTATTGATGTGTACTTTAATAAAAAAAAAATAAAGTAAAGCTATCCCTGTACCAGGCCATGAAGGCCCATAGGGTTGTGAGACGTTGAGGCTCCCACATTACCTAGACAATCGGCTCAAAGATGGCGGTAAGGTTGTCAGCCTTACGCACCGGCCGTGCTTTACTCCCCAGGAAAATTATTTAATTAATTCCTGGTATTCATTTCTGTTAGAGGCTGCGTAAACCCCAGGGCCTAATGCGGCTGGAAGGATTAGGTCAACTGAAAGAAATCCAATGACCTCATCGGGACTTGAACCCGTGACCTTCCAGCTTGTAGCATAGCACCCCAACCGCTACACTACCGCCTTAATGCCTCAATGCCACGGGATGCTAAAATATAATAAGATTGTAATGTGTGTACACTCTTGGTTTGTGAAGTCCACTATTAGTGTGCCCACAGTGATGCAGAGAGCAGCGTCTTGACCCCCCTGCTTGAGTAGCTGAAGTTTTCAGGTAGCTATCAAGAAGATTCTGTTGCACAACCAATTTCTCCAGTGTGCTGTAGTTAATGGATTAAAGTATAGTGTATGTATTTGTGGGTCTGAGATTGAAATTTCAGTGGATGCACTTTCCTTAGCAGTGTTATCAGTGGTCTTGTTACCTGTATTCATGTTTGCACTCCTTCATTCTGCAAGCTACTCCCTAACACTGTTGGACGTAAGTACAACTTTCTTGAGAAATATCTGCATAGGCAATTTATGATACATGTTTAATGACTTGTATTTACTTTGCAGACACTTGGCCAGAATTCATGGTGGGGAGCCAGACTGTTGATATCATTGGTTGAATTTCAGTCGCGCAATATTCTGCGACTTGTGGCTTTCACCGAAATATTTCTCTTGCCCTTCACAATTGTGCTGATATTCCTGTAAGTCTTACTTAAATTTTTAATGCACCATATTTTGTGTATTGTGGTGATTTCTGATATGAAATGCATGTTCACCTTGTAGGTCTTGGCCACTGTAATTTTGTGATGCATTGGCCAGTTCTCAAGTTATTTGGGATGGGGGTAGCAAGAATTATATTGAATAATTAATTGTCAATAGTTAGTAAGGGGTGGTCCTAGAGTTGTTGGTTGAATACAGGGCTAACAACTGTTGACCATTAAGGAACTATAATTATGATGCTTGTTGGTCTGATTCATGTGGCACAGGTTAGTGGCTGTTATGAACATGGTAATGAATATTTAGGGTCCATAAAACTCAGGGAGTTTCTTTACCAACTAAGCAGCCATCAGCTACTGAAGAAAGACTGTTCCATATAGCTAATTATCATTGTGATGCCACAGCTGTAGGCCATACAACATTTTACGCTTCTCCACGTTGACTATATGAACGTGTAAAATGCACATCTTCTGAAATAGAAACAGGGTGGCTGTGCTGACAGGTATTCATCAATTCATTGCGTGGTGTCTGATTGTGGCAGCTGCAACATCTGCCAGAGTGAGTCGTTACTACTAATTTTGATTTTCTGCTGAAAATTGGAAAATTTGATATGGTTTAAAATAAAACACTTGTGCTATAGAGGTGTCAAAATGATGACATGAACCTTTGAAGGTATAATCTTAAAAAAAAACCTGGAGGCTAGCCTTGCTAGGTCAGGTGCCAGTCCCTTGGTCTTCCAAACTGCTGTTTTTTTTTTTTTCAGGAATGTAATCCCTGCAGTTGGCAAAGGATTACTGCATTTTTCTAGAAATAGAAAAATCTTTACAAATACTTTTATGAATCTGTAACAGACATGAAGATTACTGTATGATATTCAACGTTCTGAGGTGATGACTAAAATGTGACCATCTGAGATATGATGCTCTGTAATTTACATGATATCACATCTTCACAGTTCTTACAGAAGTGCACAGGCAGAATACTCTCTTCTGTGATGTGGTGTTGTGCAGTATACTATATGACTGCACCTTTATCAAGACCAACTGGTAAAACCCTGAAATAAGGCACAAATAGTTGCCTTTCAGGGCTTTTACTGACACCGTTTGGTAAAGTCTAGGTTGACACATGATCCTAGGTCTTACCAAAACTTGGGATTTTACGGTAACAGATATATTAGACTTCTGTAAACCATCAAAGATTGTGCTCACCATAGCTGAAAAACTACTCAAGACAGGATTACATGATTGGATTGGACAGCTGTTATTGTAATTCAGTGTTTTGATGTACTGAATGAACATGAAACAGATTTTGTAGGCACAGTAAGATCTAAGAGGAAAGGCCTTCTGTAAAACATCAAAGGAAAGAAACAGTAATTTCCTTCAGAAGAAACTGATGCCTCTGAAGTGGAGGGAAAAGAGGGATGTTTGCACACTGAGTGGCACACACAACCAAGCGATACAAACTGTACATGATAATATAGGCGTTACATTACAAAAACCAAAAGTGTGTATTGATTACAATGATGCAAAACGAGTTTCTGACTTTTCTGGTAGGAACATTGTGATATACAGTGTGAGAAGGGAGAGAATGAAAAAATACTATCAGAAGATTTTCTGACACTTGTTAGATCTTATAGTTTTAGTTTATACAAAATATTCAAGAAATGTGATAGCAAGTGTACTCATTTGCAGAATGGCCATGTGCAGGCATTTAGCTCCTCTCCCATTTATCTCATGCTGACACATGCATCCCTGTCAACATGGACATTTTGAGCAGTAATTATAAATACACACTTTTGGCTGTAAAACAAATTATGTTTCCAGACACACGTTTATATTGATTCTTCTTCTTCTCTTGGTATGTGGAACTTATGCCCAAAGCTTGTCTGAATCTTTCAGTTACATCTTGTATATACAGACACACAAAATTACTTGTAGGTTGATAAATATAACACATTACTGAAAAATTGTGTATTACTGGTGTTTTGTATACTTTGTTTCAAGTTCTGTGTGGTTTTGGAATTTATTTCAGTTTCCTCTGTACACATGAAAATAGTTGTCTGCCTGGAAAAAATTAAGAGATGGCTGCTACTCCTACTTAAGGGGTTAACATTTATCAAAGAATAATCTACTTGTTCTTTCATGCTACATAGAAATATGTAATAACGTGTTTAAAATCTATACATTATCAAATAACATTAATTAGGACATTGAAAGCATCACTTTTGTTACTTTTAAGACATTTAAGGCATGAGAACTACAGTCATGTACCAGAAATGAGGCATAAACTCCAATGAGCTTGTTTCAAGTAACAGCTATAACAGAAAAAAAAATAACTGACTTTGTTGAAACCTCTTTTCAGGGGAAGAGCAGGTTTGTTGACTCCGTTCATCTACTATCATTTCTTAACACTGCGATATTCTTCTCGACGCAATCCATATAATCGGATGATGTTCCATGAGCTGCGTCTACTCTTAGAAAGTACTGCCAGCAAACCTGGAACACCTTCACTTTTACGGAATATCCTGCTCTCAGCTGTTGCCTTTACATCGAGACTTGCACCACCATCACCCCAGGCTCAATAGTATATCATGGCATGATAAAAGACTACAATTAAACAAAGTAAATTTTGGTGGAGGCCTTCATGAGTCATGCCGATATCCTTGGTAATACAAATTGGCAAATAGATATTTCAGATTACACTGCTACAATGTTTTGTATATACCTTGAATGGCTGATCATAGGCAGTGGCACAAAATACACAACAGTTTTTTTGTTTTTTTTTTTTTTTTTCAAAATAAGAAGTATGCATAGTAACAAGTGCTTTCATTAATGATTTCCATTCATTTACTTTTTTAACAGATGCCTGTATGTTGGCAATGTTCATTTTCATCCCATTTTCTAATCTCTTCAGATTTTCTTCTTCAAATTGCCATCATTTGGAATAGCTGTATCTTTTGGAATATAACACCATATTGTCCACAGAAGTCATCTGACTTTCAGTGCACAACATGGTGTTATATCCCAGAAGAAAACTTTTCCTACATGACATCCTTCTGTCCATCATGAATGCTGTAACTTGAAGTATTATGTTGGAAGACAGTTTGGATTATAATCAGGTAGTTAATAACATATCAGTGAGAAGGGATATATAGGTATCAGTATCTCCATTATTTTAATATTTGGAATTCATACTTTCTATGTTTATTTGCATGATGTCGACAATTCAGGGAAAATACATTTTAATGTAGACAGCAGGGAATAAATAATACCCTTGGTATGAGCCAGAAGGCCGAGGTTAGATTCCTGATGAGGTCACTGAATTTTTCAGTTAACCTAATCCTTCCGGCTTCACTGTGGTCCTGGGGTTGACTCACCCTCAAACAGAAATGAGTACCAGGAACCTTCCTGGGGATAAAAGGTGGCTGGCACATATGGCTGACAGTCTCACTGCCATATGTGAGGTGATAGCATAGAAAATGTGGGAGCCTCAATGTCTCATAACCATATGGGCCTCCATGGCCTGTTACAGGGATAACTTTACCTATTATTTTTTTTACTCACATTATAAAACATTAATGTTGCTGAATTGTAGTAGGGAGTACATTTATTTTGGGAAAACTTATCCTCCCAGTTCCCACAAACGAGGAAGGGGCGACACATGGAATTTGTTTGAATGCATGAAACCATACAGAAGCAGTAAGGTAAAGGAAAAGGGTAACATTAAAGTGCTTAACTAATTAAGCATTACACCATGAATGTGTATGGAGGAGTGAATATACATTTATATACATTTTCTTGACCTTGGCACTAGTTAGGTGAGTGGTCAGCTTCACGCCTTGGCCACTTTACTCCCGAAGAAAAAGCCCCCAGTACCCACTGGATCGGAGATTGGGTGGACCCAAGAGCTAGTCTGGACAACATGTAGAAGTGAAAATTCTTACCCCCACTGGGACTTGAATTCCGACCCCTCGGTCTTCCAGCCCGTAGCCAGTTGCTATACTGACTACGCTATCCCAGCTCCTATACAGACGCAGTATGTATAAAAGATAATGGGACAGTTATCACAATGTCAAACCATACAATCTAAATATTAATATAGTGTAGGAACTGCTGCAAATCTATAAATTCTCCCATTTTTAAAAATTTTGTTTATGTCTGTGACTACATTTGCAGTGTGCCCAAATCCTCAGTGTAACAAGTTATATACAATATGTTAATATTGTACTATTGTATTGGTTTATAATTGTGAGGGCTGATATTTTTAGGTTCTGAATTGTAGCTTCACAAATCGCAATAATTTGGAAGTATGGCAATGATGATGACCCATTTGTAATTTTTTCTTTGCAGTTCACATTTTTTCACATCAGTACATTGTGCAGTAGAATAATTTATGAAAGCAGTTAAAGTTTATGCTGCCTGCATTTTTAAGTCATCTGACTGAACAAAATTTAGGTTAATTTATTCAGGACCAATCTAAAGCATTTATTTAACATATTTTGTTCAAGGGATTTAATATAGTACTTGCTGTGAATGTTGCTTGAATGATGATCGGTTTCAGTCTGTGGAAGCTGACTCATTCACACTTAGAACTTGATGTGAATACTGTTAACTTTGTTTTGTGATTCAGTGGAATTTTTCATTTTGTATTCACATTCAAATTTGTTGTTGTAAAGTTTGAATTTTTGTCAATAAAGTAAACAAAATAACGAAGATATCATGCTGTGTTCAAATTATGTTTATTATGCACTTTCTATATTTGTTTCTTAAAGAGAAAATCAGATTTATATGCAGCCAATGCTGCAGTTTTTCCCTAAACAATTTCAGAATGAATCTGCCAATTTTAAAGGGAACCGAACGCTTATCATAAATAAGATTTAAAAGTTGATGATGGTATATTGATACATTTATTGATATTTTGGACACATTTAGTGTTTTTCTTAAAACGTTTTGGAGCATGGACTTCTTCAGGTAAAAAGCCTACTGAGTTGGGCCCAATATAGAGCTAGTCCCTATCTCTGGATTATAGGACTAGCTCTCTTGATAGGACCCAACTGAGTAGGCTTTTTACTTGAGGACAGGCTGAGTACAGTCTGAAACACTGCTCTAAATAACAAAACAGGATGCTGGGTAATGCTGAAAAGTCAATAATTGTACTTTTCAAGCAGTAGCAATAATTTACCTTTTAATGATGCACTGTATAGCATGTCCCTTTTATGTCTTGGGAATGCCACGTCTCATGCATATGACAACCATTTTGGGAGCCACTTATGTTGTGCTAGACCAGGGGTCTCTAAACTTTTCGAAACGCGGGCCACATTAGGTAATTCAGCACTTTCAACAGGCCGGATAAAATGAGAAATTAATAATTCTAGGTATACGAGTTTTATTGAAAGCACAGAATTTCATAAAATAAATATAAAGTACGTGAGATGAAAACAGACAGTAGCAGTAAATGCTCATATTTTCATCACAGATTATAATAAAACAATGTGAATGATGGAACTCTTTTTGCATTCTTAAAATCTGATTAAATTGAAGTTCAAATTTTGAAATGCTAATCACAAGTAGCCACTTTAAATGTTCATCGGATAAATTTGCCCTGTATTTCGACTTGATGTACTTCATGTGGGAAAAAGTTTGTTCACACAGATATGTCATCCCAAAAATGGAGATAAATTTACAAGCAAATTTCTTTAAATTTGGAAATTGCTCAAAGTTCAGAAATTTATAAAATTTGATCAAATTTCCTTCCTGGGATTTGTCTTTAATGATAAATTTTTCTGAAGTTCAATAATTTCCATTTGAATTTGACTTGGGACATCTGCAGCATCACAGTCAAACGGATTTTGAAACAATTTAATTTCCTGAGCACTGGCATCCAAATCAGCAAATCACTTACGGAATTGTTCTTTCAAATCTGAAATGACTAAATTTGCAAATGAGGAAGGAAATTCAGCTTCACCCTTTTTATACAGCTCTGCACAGTATAGCATATGAACAAAGTTACAATTTCTTACTTGGCTTTCCAGAAGTAACAACTTTGCTCTGAATGCCTTGATAAGCGCAAATAAATCACAGACTAAGTTATTTTCACCCTGCAACTTTAAATTCATATTGTTCATATGGTTCACCAGATCAGGAAAAATGCTAATTTCCAAAGTCACTTGGTATCTGATAAAAGTGGTTGTGAATAATATTAATATTAACATAATATGGAATATAAATATATTTTAAACACAATCTTAATTAATGAATCTGAAATCTATGAACAAGTATTTTTTTTACCAGTACTCATTGGAAAATTAGTTCAATTGGCACATTTCTTTCGCGGGCCGTATTTTGGAGACCCTTGTGCTAGACCGTCTCTTTGTCAAGATACACTACCATAGTCAATAAGTTCGTGGACTGGCCGCAAAGCGTTGATGCAGTGCACTACAGTGTATAGTTTGAGACACGATATGATGCCGTCAGTTCATCTCGCATCACAGCAAGAGGCAGTTGTGTGCAAGCAGTGTAAGTAGAACCATGGCCTCTATTGTGAACTGCAGTCAGTATAACAAAAACTTATATAATTACAAGTAAACATTGTAATTTTCACCATTTGTGACTAAGGCAGAGTTTGTTTCATAATTATATATTTCATAGTTTTCAAAATACTTAACTACTTAATAATGTTTCCACAAAATTTAAATAGCCTAGCAATGAAGCCTGTATCATTGGCTTCACTGGCCATTTAAATTTCCATCATCAGAAGGGTAAATGGAGAAGGTGGGAACATGGGTAAATATGGTATGACAGCTTAGGACACTATCAAATAACCCACAATCTTCATTATACTGTTTATTTAATAAATGTCATCCTGTTATTTACATGATGCATTCAAAGTGAGGTTGCACCTGGTATTGGAGGCGCATCAGGTTTAGATGCCTTAACATCACTCGATGGAACTGTAGGTAAGGTCTCTTCCTTTGGTTCTACCACTGATACATTATCTGGAAGTGGTTTCTTGGGGCCAGTCTTGCCATTAGGATCCCAAGGCAACATGATCTTGACCTTAATGCCCAACACTCCTAAAAATAACAAAAAAATTAGTGTTAATAATTATCAAGTATGGCAAAATTATAGTTTTGTATATTCTAATTCTTATATTTTTAGACTGTTGGCAAGAAGACAAAAGGTTCTGGACTGAATGGTAGCAAGCATTACTGAAATTTAAAATCCTCTTCATTTCCTCCTGAATCAGGTTTTGATTTATCGTCGTTCCCAAATATGTGACATGTGCCATATTTTCAAAACATTTGTTACCTATCTTTACGTCATGATTTTGCCCTGCGTTCTGGCGACGAGGCAGCAACATATACTTAATTTTCTCTGTGTTTACTTCGACACAACTTACATTAATTACACTAACATTTTAGCCTACACTTGATTTCTAACAGTAAAAGTCCCTTTACAACAACCTATGCTCATTGTGTAAAGTATTTCTTCATAGTGTTACATGTGCCTTCTGATGATGGCCAGAAGTGGCCGAAACATTCAAAGAATTACATTAAAACTTGTTGCACTTGATGGACCTTCTTACTCATTCACCTGTAGGAACTAGTATTTTGGGGAGACCAATGAACAGCAAAATACAGAAAATCCAAGGAATCAATATGGTAGAATTATAAATATACACATACTGAGCTGTAATCACATACATACCCTGCCTAAGAAGAACATGGCGGGTGGCAGTATCAACATAGTCATTTGTTGGTTCACCACTGTGAATCATCAGGCCGTCCACAAACTTCATGGACTTGGCTCGCTGACCTCTCAGCTTTCCAGAAACCACAACTTCACAGCCCTTGGCACCACTCTCCATGATAAAACGCAACACACCATAGCATGCCCTGGGGAAAAATTGCAAAAGCAGCTATTACCAGACGCCTTCCATCAACATACTTCTACAGAGCAATACAACCAACACATAAATTAAAACATTACTTTTTGTGTGTGTGTGTGTGTGTGTGTAGGTAAAGTTATCCTTGTTTTTAATTAAGCACCACACCATGTAGACGTGTGGAGGGAGCTGAAGTATAGCTCCACTATTGTCACTGTATCACAGCCTTGTCACTATCCCAGTTCCTCAACAGTAGCCAGCCCTATAACTGACACGTAAGTTAGCAGAAGCATGTACTCTGATATATCAAAAACAGTCCTTGTATCATGTAACACTGTCACTCTCGAGTAGTCTCACGAGCTTCCTGTTTAATTATGAGTAAGCAGCTGTTGTTTGTGGTTTATATAATAATGCTATATTATTGACCATACAGCACTGAATGGTAGAATGACTGATGAAGGCATGGAAGTGGTTGTGCCCTTATCAAGGCAATATTCTAGTATATGCTTGGAGGAACTGAGGAAAACCACAAAAAATATCAAACAGGATAGCAGTGTCCCAGTTGAGATTCAAACTGAACACTGCATGATTGATAGCCTACAGAGTTACCATAAGCAGTATTCAACCTGAAGGGGACTAGATTAAGGCTGTACATATTTCGTTTCAATAGCTCAAACAAGTAACTGTTCCAGCAAGATCACTGCTCTAATCCTTTACCAAATTAGTTCTACATTTGTAACCCTCCTTAAATTAATTTATTTCTTGATGCAACTCTAAAGTTCTCATTGTTAATGTATGTTGTATGCTAGTTAATTTTGCCTTTCATATCTTCCCCCTTCTTGTTCCTGACTACAAGCTTCACTTCAGGTTATCTTCATTAATTTGGCTCAGGACCTGTAACCACTGCAATTTGGCTTGTTGCATTTTACCTCTTAGTTTTGAACATCCTGCCAAACCATGGCCTATGGTGCTTCAATCTGTAATGATCTAAGACTCTCCATGACTAAAACGCTCTACTACTATCCACATCATCATTTATGCTTTCCAAACCTGAGAATCATTTGTTCTTTATCCCCTACCTTCTTTGGTTTCTTAAGCCTGAATCTCTCCATGTGAAACTTTTGTGGTGCTTGTTTACTTACTGCCTGCCAGTCTCCTCCTAACTTTTACAATCATCAGCTACTGATCGGACAGTATCACAGTCCACTACTCTGAAATAGCAGATATCAAATACCCTTGAATGCCATCTCCTGGCTATCAAAATGTAGTCCATCAGATTGTGTGTCTTTCCATCAGCATATGTCCAAGTGAATTTATGAATGTTGTGGTGTCAGATCATTGCACACTTGACCACTGGACATTTGGACGTGGAAAAGTTTACTGCTCAAAGTCCATTACCACCATCAAGTTTGTGTACACTCGTTCCCACTTACTGGTTTCAAAATATCTTCTCTACCTACTTTAGAACTGAAATCTCCTAAATGTGATATTAGGGAATTCACCAGATATAAATTCTAGTTTCTCACAGAAGCTGTCCTTCGCATCATCTCATTTATCCCCTGAGCATACCACTTATTATGAACTTTCCACAAACTAAAGCCCAACATATGAAGCAACAATTTCCAAAATTTAGTTTTATATGCAGTGTTGATACTTCTCACCGATATACATATGCCTACCTCCTCACAGCAAGTCCACCAATCAGCTTGTAACGCAGAGACTCAGCTTGGGCAATAGCACACAATCCTCTTGTGGCAACTTTCTCTGCATACAACTCGACAGTATGCTCTGGAAAATCAAATCTCTTCTGAACAACGGACGTTAATTCTCTAATGCGGCGGCCCTTCTCGCCCAAAACATTCTGTGTACGAGTGGCCATGATTATTATTTCAGTGCGTGTTGGGGTCACCCTAACCTCAACTCCGGAATAGCCATCTTCTGCTAGCTCTCGAGTCAGGAATTCGTTCAGTTCGGCCCTGAATACACCATCTCCAACAAACTGCATAAACACAAAAGACACTTATAAGTAACTTCCTGGAATCACGTGTAATACAAATATCAAATGATAGCTGAAACTATTCTTCCAGTATAACCTAAAACTTTTGTAATCACTATACAGAAGCCAGTATTTAACGCTGTATTTAGAACGCATCATAATTACATAGCCTTCATACACAAAAAACACACACACATACCAGATACTGAATACGCTATCGACACCGTTCTCCTAAATCCAACAAATCTCAATTTTCTATAAAAGTAACAGAAAATTCAGTTACACGTCTAGAAACTACTCAATTGTGTTTAGTGTTATCATCATAATAATACCAATAGTTTTAACTGTATGATTACTTAAATTTTCTACAAACCTTCCTTTTCTTCGATATTGGGTTCGCCATGTTTCCTGTACACGCACATGAACCACATGAACATGAAATGACAGAGAGAGCGCATATAACTGTGCACGGCACAGATTAATCTATGACATAGCCTCACGGAGACCACTATACCACCGAGGGGAAGTAGGGCACCCACTGATTTTTGATCTGTGTTAATTTTTTATTCATGTAATATGAAAATAGTCCACAGTGTCCATCCGGCCCGCTNCGTGAGAACGGGTAAAAGCAGACAGTCTGCTTTTACCGGTTCTCACGGTCTCTTTGCTTGCGGATTTCTTATATATTTTTTCTTCTACCCTGAAGATGGAGGCGATACGTTCCTCCGAAACGTCGGTTAACACCACATATACACGGTGCCAAATCCCAGAAGACTGCTTTCTTCATAGTCACCGCCGTGAAGGCCTCAAATCTTAAATACCCATCCTGTTTGCTATAGCACCTGTGTAAAATCCGGCCCGCTGTATCACATTCTAATAAACATTTTGTTCTGTCAGAGCGGTCACCCCGCGATATTTGAACACCTCCCTTGACTGTGTAATAAATTTTTGTTGTTGTCGAGAAAAATATTGTAAATACAAAAAAGTATTAGGCAATGCCCACCCTGTTTGCTATAGCACCCGTGTAACAAAAGAAAAATCTATAGATGTAGTGACATCTACCTGCATGCCTGAAACAATTGTTTTCTCAATTGTTTCGAAGATGGCACTGGTATGTTTGCATATCTACAATCGATTGGTCATTCAATAGTTTCATTCGGCAATCGAATGAGTCGATATCGAACGAGAACTTAACTTCCGACAATGTGCGATAAGATCGATAGGATACGAAGTTAAACGTACTCCAGCGACTTGTATCTCATAGTGTGCTGTATGATAATGAAGGAAAACAAAAGCTAAGCGTTTAAATTTCAGTGAAGTTCTTGTATTCTTGTAGGCCTTGTAGGCGTTGTACGGTGATCGAAGTACTGCATGATTCTGACTATAAACGCTACTTAAGATATGGGCTGTTGTTATAGTTGTAAAGAGGATGGCTCCACGCAGGTAGTGTCAACTGTTGACACGTTTTGTGATGGAACTGTTACTACTAAGTGTCGATCAGTTTTACTTTTGTTTTAATACTTCAACTGCTATACTTCTGTAAAGAATTTGTAATATTGCGTAATTTTAAGGGTGGTCTCCAAATTGTACAGTGTTCTGTTTCGAGTTACATATGGGAAGTGCAATGACTTGCACTGGGTAAGGTAAATATTTTTGTACTTAGGATTATCAAAGTAGTAATCAGCGGATTATTTAGAATTTTTGTTGCCTGTTCCAGGGTGGCGAAGTCAGTGAAAGGACACACTTGTTGGTAGATCCTGTTAGCAATAATACAAATATTCAGAGAGTCCAAAGGTAACTGTTATGAATAGAACAGAATTTATTTACATTCTGTAGATCTGTCATAATACATAACCAAGTGTGCAGAAGAGATAAGTATAATACCAATACAAATATAAATACACAGTTGCTACAGCTATTTACAGACATATGTGAAGAATATCGTATTATACAGGGCAAAGTAGTTGTGTCATAAAATGTATTCTTCATATATGTTTACAAGACATATGAATGTGTATCTGAAGTAAATTTCAGCAGAGTAAGGATTGTGATAAGGCTTAGAATTTATTTCTACTTTCTATATTTCCATCATTATCAGAAGGTTGTGTGGTAGCCTCCCAAAGTTCCTTTCACCAATCAGGCAAGAGGGTTACAGGCTACTCATGTCATGCTGCAGCGCATGAGTTTTGATTCATGGCATGATCAACGGGGCAGTAGCCTATATGCAATACAGTTTCTGTCCAGTATAACCCCCAGTAAATATCTGAATGGCTAGTGTGAAACAAGCTTTTATGTTATGTGCCCATTAACTAATCAGATGCTGAATGATTGCTGATGAGAACCTGGACAAAATTGATGCTGGGCTTGAACATTTCTCTTGATAGTCCCTTAGACACCTTGAGCAGATGATGTGTTTCTGAAGTTTCAGGTTTCAGATTTGAAGTTTGGCTTTCACCAAGAAGGAATCTCAGTGAGTTGATGTGAACATTGTGTGTATATGCAAGGAATGCCTGCATAAGAAGATTGACCATTTCTGGCATCTGCTGTAATCTGAGTGTGTTTTGATTTTTTGGTCTCATGATTATGCCACATGCACAGTGTGAGAAGACATGAGTAGCTTCTGTCCTTCTAACCTTACTTTTTTTCTTACTGGCTGTACAGCCCCCTTGGAAACTAGCCTCCAATTTCTTCAGTTTCATGATCATTTTACAGCTGGTAGGACTCCTTGGATGAGTGATCAGCTCATCGCAAGGCCTCTACCTAAATACAGGACAACACAGACACAGAATAAACACATACCCATACCAAACATCCATGCCTTGTGTGGGATTCGAACCCATGATCCTGGCTTTCAAGTGAGTGAAGACATTACATGCCTTAGATCGCTTGGCTACAGTGACCAGCTTCTCACCTTACTGGCTGAAGGATTTTTCTTAGTCTATTGACTTCCCCATAGGATTAAGCCAAGGAAGTAGGACATGTAATGTACATTTAATACAAATATAAACACACAATTTATTGTTAAAGAGTTACAACAATTTTATTGCATAAAGATATTGTACAGCACAGAATTTTTATAATAATTTATGATGTTTAGAATTTTCAGTTTGAGTGTATTCTCCTGGTGGTATTTGTGTATTTGTTTACACTTAAATAATCGTACTTCTATCAGGATTTCTTCAATGGAAGTAGATTCATAAAAGTCTGTTATTTCAGTGATGACTTTATTGGATGTTATTCATCTTCCTTGCCAAAGAAGACTGATGAACAGTCTGCTCTTAATCGAATCCTTCAGGAAACAGCAACGTAAGTTATTGGTGGCAGTTAATGTCTCATTGTAAACAGATTTCGTGTCAGGCCATTGCCCATTCACCTCACCTCTCAGACTTCTGAATATTGCATGTCCATGTTTGAGAACTGCCATTGGCTCCTGGAAGTGGATCAGTTGGCTGATTTAAAAATGTTAGTTTAATATTACCGCATGCCTTCGTCAGGATTCTGAGTCTTTTTAAATTGTACTTGCACTCTTCTAACCATTATGCTCATTTGTGTCGTGTCATCATTCAAGCATAATGGAATCTGCTTATTGGGTGTTTCCATCTGACATAAAATATATAACATAATATGTAATGTTTAATATAATGTAAAGTCAAATATCACTGCTGTAATCATTAAGTTTTATATATAATTTGTTATGTTACAGGCTTTTTATTTCTGCTACTAGTTTGAATCTCTGCAGTTCTCTCTGTCCTACATGAAAGGCTCAGTGATTTGCTGGAAGTTGTATATAAGATGGTCATGTTTTTGTTTGTGTTTGTTAGTTGTAGTTATAGCATAGAACAGGCCTGCAGAAACTCCATGCACCAGGTTGCCATTGGCCCCAAATTTTTATAATGGTTCCTAGAAGTTTCTTCTTATTATATTGCTATTACTTCAGCAATAACAGAAGAAATCATTTGTTTTTCTTTCTTCTGTCATTTATCTTTATTTCCTCTCATGTCTCCCATATTGCTTTCCCAATAGTAACGTCATTCCCCATTTTTTTCTCATTCTCTTTCACATCCGTATCCTCCCATTTCTCTTTATCTCTTCCATACCTCTATCTTCTACCTCCTTTCTCCCATGCTCTTTTTCCCAAATATTTTATTTGTAGATCCTTTCATTGTCCTCTGTCCATGTTGTAGCTGCAGAAGATAATGTTATGTTTTTCATGTATCTGTTCCGTGGCATGTTGGGCTTACCCCAAGTGTGAAAGGAAATAATTGGGTGCTATTTATAGCCTTTTGTAGTTGTTTCATTTGTCCTGTCATTAATTAAAATGATAAAAATTTTCACCCAAGCTATTTTGTTGTTTATTCCAGTTTCTAGTTTTTGTAGGAGGCAGCTGGATTTATAGGAAATTCATGCAGACTTGACATGTAGAGTTGTAGTGAGATATGGCATTGTTCTTTGCAGTAATGTTATAGATGTAGCAGCCTTGGATTCACACAATTTGGAACAGCATGAATATCTGGATAGAGTGAAGCATTATACCCAAAAATTACAATCCATGTCTCGATGGACACCACCTCGACGTCCACCATGTCTCCTTGTGGACATTCCAGCTCCAGAGAAACTGCTAGCATCAGAACCTTTAACACAGCAAGATATGAATTTGGTAAGTTGAAGGCAGATCAACAGAGAAAATACAGATATACATGTACAGAGTATGCTGTATTTTATGGTCTGTAAGATGAATCAGAGTGTGAGGTTCACCCACATTTTATTTAGGAAAGAAACCTTTTATACCTTTGGTTTATAAAGCACATCTAGAATTTAGACACTGTTTTCTAGGACACAGGTGTATCTTATGCCTTAGAATATACAGTATATCATTTTGCGGACACTAATGTACATGAACATGGAAACTATAGAGTCCAAAGAATTTTTTATCAAGAAAATAAGGAAATGATAATTGAAAAAAAGAGATACTTAGGTACGTTTACCAGATATAATGTGCCATCATGAATGACCTTGCTAGGCAACAGCTCAGTAAACAAATACCATGGCAATGAATATGCAACAATAGAACAGTAGAGGGCATCTGTTGCTAGGCAATGGATGTGTTCTCTGTGTGGTCTGACCTGAAGCTATATGATAAAAAGCCAACAATGTTTTTAAGAACTGCCTGTGTGGAGGCTGGGTCGAATACCTCCACCGTGACCCTGCGAGTCGTAGGAGGCGACAAAAGGGGAAGTCTCAAATCTGAGACAGTAAAATATGGCCGAAATACCCCACAAAGACAAGACTGTAACTGTCAAACAGCAAAAAATTTCTGGTCATGAGCCCCAGACAGGGCTCGACACCAAGAATTACTGACTGACTGACCGACCGTCAGTTGCAGTGTGTCTTTGACTTTATAAGAGACAAACCCATCTTCTTGTTAGGGAGGCTGTTACATAAGTACTATTACTGCAAGAGTTCAGTTAGAAAAAAATCTCTCGTCAATGACCTCAAGGGGCCTGACAACAAGACAAACTGATTGGCGGTAAACCGCCAGTCATAAAGTAACTTTGACTTTGAGTGACAGTTCAGTTGGAGTAGTGGATTATTGTAGTGTGGTCAAAAGTCAGGAGTGTCCAGTTGAAGATAGTGATTTGTGAAATGTAGCAAGTTGCATAAATGTCCAATAAATTTAAATCATGAGATCCAACACCTGTTTTATTAGTCATGCAGACCCCTAATACATGACAGTATTCTAAAATTCTGTTATTGTTGGACTGCATTCATATACCGGGTGTCCCAGAAGGAATATGCCAAACTTAGGGAGGGTGTTCCTTGTGTTAAAGTATGCCGATATAACCCAAAATACCTATGTCCAAAGTTGAACGGTTACGGAGATAATGGCCCGAGAAAAGTGTGGTCTTCTGGCGGGTCCACGCACTATACCTGTCAGCTGAGACGTCTTATCTACTCGTATGTTTGTCCTTGAGTGTGGTTATTCACACTAGCCATAAGCTTATGTACTACCTTCAGGTTACGTTGCGGCGGAGTCATGAATGTTTGGTAGTTAGTTGTGCGGAGTTGCTGAAATGCCTTTTGTGTTTTCACACGTGGAATATTGTGATATGCATTTTGTGTGTGGATTTTGCGGTGGCAATGCACGTGCTGCTGTTGAAGAATACCAAAGGTGTTTTCCCCATTGAAGGATTCCATCTCGGAGTGTTTTTGTGCACTCTGAAAGGGAGGATGTACGAATGATAAACACACGAGAGAACATTCTTGAGATGGTTCAGAGATGTCCACGTCTGTCCACTCGTAGAATGGCCTCTTGCATCGGCATATCACGTATGCAGGTGTGGCGAACTTTACATGATGAAGAGTTGTATCCTTACCATGATCAAAGGGTACAACATCCGAAACCAGGCGACCATGCACAGCATATGGATTTGTGCCACTGGATAAAAGCTCATGCTGAACTGTTAAGCGTCATTTTATTCAGTGATGAGGTGTCTTTTACCATGGATGGTGTAAATAATTTACAAAATGTGCATATGTGGTCCCATAATAATCCACATGAGATAATGGAAACGAAATTCCAAAAGAGATTTTCCGTGAATGTACGTTTAATACAGTTATGTGGTCGGCTTATAGCGCAGTCAGCCATGTTACGTCAGCACTTACGAGTCATGTGTCATGTATAGTGCTTGGAAACCTAAGGACAATTATGACATGGCGAGCAAGTATTTTGTACTTCAATTTTATGGCTTCATATCACTCACAAGTTAGTTTGATGTTACGTACATTATGAACATTACAGAAACCACATATTCCTGCCAGTTTTAATATGTATTTTGTAATCAACAAGTGTGTAACACCGATCAAAGTTTGACACTTCTCTGGCCATTATTTCCGTAACCATTCAACTTTGGACATAGGTGTTTTGGGTTATATCGGCATACTTTAACATAAGGAACACCCTCCCGAAGTTTGGCACATTCCTCCTGGGACACCCTGTATGTAGTAGGAGTTTAAATTCTCACAGCAGTGGTTATGAAGAGTTCTGCCTTCTATGATATAATGTCATATAGTCTGTTGAAAATAAACAAACATTTTGGAGGAACATGCCACCTCCATCTTCAGGGTCAAAGAGTAAGCCAAGCAAGAAACCAATGTGAAGCAGGTAGCAAACAGAGCTCTGCAACATGTTCCTCTTAAAAGTTGGTTGACTTTCTGTGGAATACACAGTGTTCATTCTAGAAGATAGGACTTTTCTGTACATCATCCATATATGATGATTTTATTATTATAAGGGGGCTATTGCATAACTGCCTCATCCTTATTTTAATATGAAAACAGTGTTGTTTAATTATTTAAGTATATATTATATTACACTGTTATACAAACATCTCCATTTCTTTATGCTAGATTTCCATTATTTGAGAAATATCTCTTGAGTAAAGTTTTTGTGATTGTGTCTTCTTTATCTGTTGCTTGCTTTTGCATTTGTAGTACTTAATAGCTTTGCTTCTGTGATGACATCTCTGTCAGTCTGTAAAATATCTGTGGATGGATATGTTCTATGTTGAGCGAGATTAGCTTTTGCATTTGTAATTTGATACAGTTGATGGGTGTCTCATGATACAGACTGATACAGTTCACTTTACATGAAGGAAAAAAATACTTTGAAGTGTATTTAAAACTATGGTTGCAGAAACTTAGTTCTGGGAGAAATGGATGTGCTACAAGGTCATCTGATGATTTTTCAGCTGTTTTTAAATGCATTAATTTCCTTCCTCCATGGTCTTTTAGCCCACAAGCGAACTATACCAATCAAGCGACTGCCACTTGTCAGCAAAGTTAGTGCCAACTTTTGCGAATAGAGGGTGTCACGTGGTCAGCACAACAGATTCACACAGTCGTTAATCTTGGTTTTCTAGACTGGAAAATTCGTTAATTATTGGTATGCTATTTGTTGATGTTTTAGATCACCACAACTGTAGAGGAGGCAAATGCAGCTCTTGCAGAACTCCGAGTGGAACATAAAGAAGACTTAGTTGTGCCATTCAGAATTCCTTGAGAACCCACAACCAAGGCAAATCTTGTACATTATGGATGCAGTAAAGAATGGTTGATATCTGCCTCAATTTTTCTGTGGGCATATAAAGGATGTTCAATTTGTGATATAACGGGCAACATTTATATTTAATGTATATGTATATAATTCCTAACTGAATGATGTGATAAGTGTACAAGCTGGGTGAAATTGCAGACACTTTGAAGTTAATGTATATCATGTGACAGCTCGTCATGTTCATTGAAATTGACATTAAGCATTAAGAAGTGACATTCTCTCTATGTTAGTATGTCTGATTGAAAAGGGTTTGTGTGTTTTTAACCCTTAGTAGAATATGTAATCATGTTTTTTTTAACATCTGATTACATATTAGTGTTAAAAACATGGCACACGTAAGGTTCATTAAAATATTGTTATAATGAACCTTGCATCAGCATTTTGATACTAGAACTGCTTAAGGGAAAGAACTTTTATGAGCTTCTGGTTGAAACATGTATGTGACTGAGATTGCTGTTTGGATATTGTTTGTCTGACTTGTACTTTGGCTAAAGGGATTGAATTTAATAGCGATAACAATGTGAGGTGAAAGCATAGTTCAATTATGTGAGTGTAACTGGTGTGTAATTAAATCTTGTGATATTTGTGTTAAAGGCTTATTTTGGATTCATTTTCTAATGATTTTTTTTAATTGCTCTTCAGTATGCTATGCAACATTTTTGTCACTGATATTATTAAAGTTACTACCATCCATTTTACATTTCAGCTGATAAGGGATCACTGTGTCTATTATAAAGATTTTACAGACTGTAGTCAGACTCTTGTATGTACATAAAATAGGGAAGATAGAGATTTACTGATAAGAGGGTCTATAGCATGGGGATCTAAAACTGGAAAAAATGTTAACTGTGAGTGAAGTGCCACACCTGAATTTGGGGAAAACTCTCTTACTTCCCCACTAAGGTGCAGTCTTCTTCTGGTCTTCATTTTGCAGTTACACAGTTGATAAAACTGTAATGTGATGGACTGATATGAAAGACAGTACAACCAAGTTGACTGAAGCGGAAGTGCTTCTGACTTGTATTCAGTAGGTGCTCAGTATGAGTCTGGGCAGCAGCCCCAGTTCTCCTGACTGAAGTTTTCTTCAGTCCTTCTAGACAGATGCTAGGATTCTATCTTAAATTAATCCTTATCTGCTTCCTTCCTTATGTGTTCCTATTTGTTACTTCCTGTCATGTAACCATTCAACATTATATATGGTAAACCCCTTATTTAATATCTCTTTATTTAAATTTTCCTTTCTTTAGTATTCAGTTTCATTTGTCCTAGCTCAATAATTTTGGTGTTAAAATGTCCTCGATTCAAGATTATGCCAACTTTAGTGATCAAATCCATTATTCCCCAAGAAAACATTAAATGGAGACTTCACTGTAATCTGAGTTGCTGACAGTGTCATTAAATAAACTATAAATAAAAAAAACGAAACAAAGTTGTTCTCAGTGGTGAGATAAATGAGACAGTCATAATGGGAATATTCATTTTGTAGTATATAACTATCACTGTAAGATACAATGCAAATCAAATTTGGTAGTGCTGTCACTTAATTACTGGCGGTAGGTGGGAGTGCCTTAGCTGCAGAAACAGATGCATTGACTACTGAGGATTTGAGATTCTTCAGTCTTAGAGTATGCACATTCTTATGAACGTTAAGCATTGCACTTGATATACAGTTTCACTGTGTGTGTTAATATTATCATATCCATAGAAGTTTCTCATGCTGGAGCAATAAGTAACAGCAGAAAGTACTACCGTATTTTAATGTATAATTCACATACTTATTCTTTCAGAACTGTGATCAAAAACTAGGGCATGTGTGTTACTATTTATGAAAAGTGTAGGAAAATGTTAGTATTTGCTTGATCTCAGGATTTTTGGATTTTGTCCTTGTTCAGAATTCTGTTGTAAATAACGCTAAAGAAACCGGATCTATTTCCATCCTCAGGTGAGGGGGGGTGGAAGACACCTATTCTGTTGTGTCCTTTAGCAATTACTGGAAAATTTATGTTATCCCCACACACACACAGACTTAGGATCTGTTAACTGGAGATAAAAGGAAAATGGGGAGAAGAGGAATGCATGTTGGATACTGGGCGGAAAACTAGAATGAAGGAGACCACTAGGGATATAGGGATATCAAGATGTGGGTGGGTGGATAAGACATGGATCTTAGAGAGATTGATCTGGTTCAGGATAGGGTACATGTATGGTACAAGTGAAGCTTTCACATAAAAAGTAATATAAATTGTAAAATTCACGCAGGTTCCATATAAGGCATAATTAGAACTTTCCAGTTAAGTGATATGTAAAACCTTTGAGTAGATTATGAGTCATATTTAGATAATAGGAATTCATTGACAGCATAGAATGAGTGTGTATTTAAGTTTATTTTCGGCCGCGCCATAGCTCAATCTGTTAGTCACTGGCTTCCCACCATGGCGGCCTGTGTTCAATCCCGGGTCTGGTCAAGTGGGATTTGTGGTGGACAAAGTGGCGCTGGGACAGGTTTTCTCCAAGTACACTTAGGTTTCCCCTGCCATTCTTCATTCCACCAAATTCTCCATCATAATCACCCGGGGCAGGCTACAATAGGCCAATCAGTGACCGCCAAGCCGAGTGGACCCAGTTGGACTCCCCCCCCCCACTAAAGAAAATAAAGGAAAATTGAAAAATGTTTCTTTTCAGTGCTTTGCACTGTGCCTTTTCACTTTCAAGACTAGATGGTAGACTGCTGAAAGTTTTGATGTCAGCATAGTATGCATTTTTCTGAAAACATGAGAGGTGGTGTGTTTTGAAAAGGGTATGAGGCATTTTTTAAGCACATTTTCTCTTTCACAAGTACAAAAATGAATTATTAATAAAAATTATGAAACAGACAAGCGAGAAAAAATATTTCTCCTTCTAAACAATGTTATATAGGTTGATGACTTGTTTGGATGAACTGTGCATCACTGGATGTCCAGAACAGACTGGAGATGGATCCAGCTCTTCACTTCATTCCTCACTGCACATAAATACACCTACAAAACAAAACAAACTCCATTTCAGTCTGCAAACGACCTATACCGACCGAACAACTGCAGCTTCTCGCCGAAGTTTGGTCAATTCAGGCTCTAACAGAAATGAGTATCAGGAATTAATTAATTTTCCTGGGGAGTAAAGCATGGCCAGCGTGTAAGGCTGACAACCTTACTGCAATCTTTGAGCCGATCGTCTAGATGATGTGGGACCCTCAACATCTCACAACCCTATGGGCCTCCACGGCCTGGTACAGGGATAGCTTTTTACTATATACACCTACATTAGTTGTAAATACATTTATTACTGCACAGATGTAAAATTTTGAAAACTAGTCAATTCTGGCTGACCATCATTTGGAGAGAGGGTGAAGTGTTAGTCATTTGGTACTGGAGAACACGGTTTCCAGATACAGTACCATATTCTGGTTTGACTCTCTGCAGTCTGGTAGAGAGACTTCTACACATACCAGACGTCACCACCTAAGAATCATAGGTACCACTTTCATAATCTCATACAGGTTTCTATGTCCCTATTTAAGGCTGATGCCTTGTCATTTGGTTATGTAATTATGCTAGTCACAGAGGTTGTGGTGCACAATGTGTAACTGCCATACATACAAACTGATCCTACTACAAGAGCTGTGTGTTCAAATTTTTAAAGATCACTAAAAATTCACCAGAATTGTTAACCAGACATGTGGGTTTCTGCTTCACAACTGTAAACTTTCAGAATGGAAGCAAAGGTATTTCCAGTTAAATTTAATGAAGGCCACTCACCTTTATGCAGGATTTTGGTGAGCAAGACACCCAACACAATTTTTAAATTGAGCTGTGGCACAATATAAATTTGTAGTGTGTGATTGGGCATAGATACTTGAAATAAGCTTTCTGAAATGAAATTTTGGAAATAGTACTATACTGGACAGTTGCTTCTTTTTGTTACTTAAACAACCTCTGGGAACAGAATATAGGGCTTTGCTACTTTTTTTACATATAAACTTGAGGGAAAAATATTACAGCAAGAAACATTTCAGATATAAATATATAATTCTCAATTTATTTAAACTATGTACTTTACATATCTCACACATTTCTTTTAATACACTTGTACATAAAACATGAATTATCTTGCATCCATAATAAAAATAGATTAAGACAACTGTGAGAGTTTCCAGTAAGTTTATATTTAGTATATGAGACAATCAACTGCAATTCTGTGTTCATTCAGTTTATGGGGGGGGGGAGATAACAGTCCACCGTAGTTTTCAAATACACTGTACCCCTTATTTGGCAATGCTTTGAAATGAGCAGCACACCTAGTTAACATTTCAGTTAAGCATTTTTAAAATAAACTGCATTCACTGTGTACCAGATGTCAAGTTTTTGTTTACTAAAGCAGGAGCATGAATGTCTGTCACTGGTGGAACATGAAAGAAATACAGCATGAAACCAGCTGCAAGCAGCAGATGTAGACCCAGTATTGCTGCAAGGATAATATATCGTTTATCAACTGCCACAGCAGGCCAAGCCGTCATCAACAGTACAGATCCTGAGAGGGCAGCTCCCACTGCTACTAACAGCCATTGTAACCACGCTATCTGAATAACCCAAAATATGGAAACTGGTACATATATAGAAAGCGAGTAGCCATACACACACAGTATCTCCAGAAAAGACAGTTTGGCTTCTTCCCTACCATACCACTTCAAGATACCCCAAAGTGCTGCTGGTACCAGCCAGGCATAACTGAAAATAGCAGTGGCTGCATATGTAACTGCATGGAAATCATATCTCCAATGGTAGCTCCTTGTGGCTGCAGCCTGAAGATAGTTTGCCAGGTTTCCACTAATGGCTATTGTAAAGACTAGTGTAACACAGATCCAGAAAGGACCATATAGATCGGGTTTGGGTTTAATATGATGCTGTAAATAGCTAACACCAGGACGAGGAATCATGGACCATACAATTCTTTCCATCACTCGATTTGTATCCACATCAAAAAACTGCTGATAGTATTCAAATGTCCAAAATGAAGTTGAATGATCTTTTCCACCTCCCAGCAATTCTGATTCTGGTCCTTCTGTATCTGAGCCTGGAGTATCTGGAGAATTATTAAACGTCAGCGTGTGTGATGATTTCACATCTAATTCAGCAGCTCCTCCAATATTAGAGACTGAAAATTCTTGAAACTGAAGTTCCGATTCTGCTGTCCTCTGTGTCGTGTTTATCTCCACATCCAGTATTGACGATGCCATGTCACTTCGACTTACCAAATTCAGACGTTGTTAAACACTTCTTACTGTGATCAAAAATTTGTAAATATCTTTCAGTTTCTGAGAGTCAAGGCGATATTCGTTATTACGACCATCGTGTTCTAAAATGTGTAATAACTCCACCACGGACCAGCTTAACAATTACAAATTAACGCAACCAACATACACAAGCTATCTAAGCGATCTAAGCCGATCTAATCTACCACGTACGTAAACCTTAGCAACACAATTAGCATTAACACTACTACCAACATGCTGAGCATGCTGAGTTCATAATTTTTGGAACATCGTCGGCAATCGTGGGTACAGTTGTAAGCTACGATTTAAGTATTATATCATATAGATGACTTTTATATAGCAAGAACTGAGATAGTTTCCTATTCTGACTACCTGAAAGCTCTTACTTTACAACAAATCTGCTTCTGAATTTGTATTCCAATATCATATGTCCTTTGGTGATATCCTGATTCTCCATGGCTATGTCATCTATGGAAGCTATCCGTACGGAAGGGTACAGAAAGTAAAGACATGGCGCGTAATGTGATGTGGCCAGACAGTGTGGGTTTTAATTATTTTTCAGATTACAACTGTGTTATATATGTTATATAATTTGCAGTTGAATAAAATGAAAGCATACAGTTCAGTCTTTGAACATATTTTGGTTTCGTATTGTTTGTCTTAGTTTGATTAGTTATGTGAGTTACGTTCATAGCAATGTATTTACTTTAAAATTTTATCAAGGTAAGTGACGATATATGCACTCCTGTACATTGAAATGCACAATAAAATAGGCAGAGTAAGATTCAGAGGTTTGAACCCTGTAGTTCTGATAGGAATAGGTTTATCGTTTATTTATTTTCTTTATTTGATTTGTACAAGATTGAACCCATCGAAACCATTGTGTGCCAAGTTCGGCATCTCTGTGGGGATGTGTAACCATTAATAAGGATTTTATTAGTTTCCAATTTAGAAATGACTGGCCAATATGAATAAAAAGTCGCTGTCTGCTATTTAAAGGTAATGAAGTAGATTAATAAGGAGAGAAAATATTTAATCTCAGACAGACATTTAACCTGCCAAATGGTCAATGTGTACATTTTTTATATTGTGAAAACACACTTTACTTGCACATGGCTCAGAAAGCATCCTTACAGTTTTTGGTCTATTTTTTTTAACTTGTCTTTCCAAAAGTTCCATCCAAATATTTTCTTCAAAGTGTTACTGACTGTAGAAGAAGGGCCATGAAAATAGTTTCATGCATATATCACATGCTTGCCATTTAATGTTGCAGATAAAAGCAAGGCAACATCCATAGACCAGACTTTTTATTGTTTTTTTTTTTACTAAGCAGTGCTTATCAGGGGATTCTTTCTTTTCCAAACTAAGAAGCACTATGAAAGAAAATTACTTCTTTCTTAAATACTCGTTTAGGAAAGTCCTTGTGTATTAACAACTGGAGATATTTTCTTACAATTTTAGAAGACAAAAAAAAAAGAATAACAATGTATGTCTGATTTTATTTCCTTTCCTGCTGAAACCTTTTACAGTGCATCATATATATTTCATTTATTGTCCTTGTTTAGAGAGAAATTTACTTTCAGAAGCTACTCTTAGAAGTTATTACTGCACATGTATTTATTTTATGATTATAATTGTATCTATCAAGAACATCACCCTAAAGGAATTGTATAGTTTTGAGTCAGTATTTAAACACTTATAAATATGCTTGATACAAATACCTTATATTTACTTTTTCAGGTATACCATATAGAGTTATCAGCCAGAATAAGATGGACGAGGAAATAGTTAGGAAAGTTATCTATAGAAAATCGTGTCTAACATCAAGGTATAAACAGAATGGTTGTCTAAGGAGGCACTCTCATGGCCCTATAAACCGACATCAGCCAATCTTTAAAAATTCCTCAATAAAGCCATGCATGGCATCAACACCACAGCAATGCAGAAGAAGAACTACTGATAATTCAGAGTGTGAGACCAGAACGCAAGCGAAAGACAAAGCTAAAACATGCACAAATTCTAATGTCCTCATAGAAAATGTTACACCCCTTAAAAGACAGAAGACAAAGCATAATTTTAATTTCATCAAAGGAATTACATCATTAGATGGAAGGCCAGATAAACATACAAATGTCTGTAGGAACATATGTGGTGAGTCATTCAGTGTCACAACTGTCAAGAGTCCAACACAGAACCAAATGCTCTCCCTTGATGAATCTATGTTAGCAAGAGTTGATCTGGACAGTGCAGTCAAGGACTATTGTGACAGCCAAAACAGGAACATAAATTTGGATATTCAGAGCACAGAACATGAAGACCACTATCACGTCCCAAATCCATCTGAAGAGCATTTTAATGTAATTAATGATGAAATCATGAAGTCATCATCACAGGGGAGTGATGATTCTAGCTGTAAAGTTAGAACACAATATTCAGAAAGCCGCTGTGACAAGTATCGTCCATTGAATAGAATCCAGCATAAAGACATGGTCACAAATAGTTCTTATTGTATGGCTCCACATGTGGGAATCAATTCTGCTCAGAATGAACATTTTCAAATTACAGATTCTGCATGGGTAAATGATTCATTTTCTGAAGATGTGATTAACAATATGGACAAAGACATCCCAATATCAAACTGTTCTCCACTGAGTAACATGCCACTGGGTGAGAAAATAAAAAGGGCCCTTATTTCTAATGTACAGAAACCAGTAACACCCAAGCCTAAAAACGTGCAGGTAAATGCCGGAGATGAGCCACAAAACAGTTCCTCAAATACAGAAAAATTATCAACATTTTTTGACATCGGTCCTTTCTTTGGCTTACCATTGAAAGTGAAATCACTTATACAGAAGTTTAAAGGAATCTCTGATCTCTACCGTAAGTTTTATGTATAGTTTTGTTACCTACTGAAAAGAAACTGATATTGTAGAGCAAGGTTATGCTGAGTCAGTTTCTGTTATTTTCTCTTCTACGTGGATCGAATGATAAGTAAGAATCAGTGTTCAATCTAACCCTGCTTTATTAAGACTAATGATACACAAAAAGTGTTTTATATATATTCACACACATAGCAATAGAGAAATTCTGTTTTTACCCACATAACTGTAGTAACACATAACAAAAGAGAAATTAGGAACAGAGCATGTAGCCCAGTCTATTATTGAAAATTGTTTACTACGACATTGCCAACTCTAGCATTATATTTTAACATTAGAGAGTTGCCAACATAACAGTTTCATGGGCATGCAAGGGTACAGCATGCAACCTGATAGGATTAGACATTAATGGTTATTTGAATTATTGTCATGTATACTTACAAGCTTTTTGAATGATTTTGTGCAAGGAGTGTTCTTTATGATCAGTGGAGTGCAGTTGCATGCGGAGACAACATGTATTTAATGTTTTTCTTTGGAATGGTTTATTGTTTATGCAAATATATATAATGTTATGTTCTGTGGCAGAAATAATATTCTGTTTTTATGATATTTATAGAAATATATACTAAATGTAAATTCTTTTAACACCAAGGCTGTTATTTGTTGAAAGTTTTGTTCCTGGCTACCAGCAGTCCTATTAGAATTCAATTTTGGGACATTTCCCATTGTCTTCCTCAGGAAGAATTTGAGCTGAAAGTCCACAGATCACACCTAGCTGAGTTAGTGACATGTTCTCTAGTTCTTTGTCAACATACACTAAGTGAATTGTATTCAGAATCAGGATCCCAAGGGAATGAATGTTTTCAATTCATTATTTTTGCATCATTGAGTGGTCTAGAACTGAACTCAGTGGCATAGATCTTAACTTCCTCTTGCACTATCTTAGATTGTATTACAAAACCTGTGTCACAGATGTTCTCATGTCCTCTGTATGAAAGAGACTGTGAGTAAGTCTAACTTTATTTGCTTTTGGAAAACATTCAAGCTATGTCCATTCCTGAATAACTGAAGTGCCTGCCCATTATGAGGTTGAATGTGTCAGTACCTTAATCAAAGTCAAGAATGACAAGTAAATTAGCTTTTCATTTACTTAAATTTTCTTGCCATTGTCATTGTTGTTGCTGCTGTTGTATTTTTGAAGGACTGAAGAAATCCACAATAAACTTCAGTTATGGTAGCTGGTTTCTGGGCCAAGATTTGAACCCTACCCCTACAGAATATGAAGCAGAAGTACTACCCACTTGAATGTAATGTTCTGTTTGTTGTTGTCATTCACTCATTCATGGAGCTGAGCCCTTCTTGAGAAGCCACCCATTGTGCAGCTACTCAAGAACTTCCCAGCATTTTATGGAACACAAACGTTCATTACCGTGTTCACAAAAGCCCTCCACTGTCCCCTCCTGAGCCAGATTGATCTAGTTCATACAATCCTGTCCATTTTCTTTCGCTTAAGTCGTTTATCCAAAGAATCTGTCCAGGTCTGGGACTTCTTGTGATCTTTTGTAACAAGCTTATTTTTTTTTATGGTGAGGAATTGTTAGCCCACGCCCAACCCCCAAGCTCGAGGACCACCCCTTTTTGGCTGTCCACAACTGCTTATTCAGTATATTCGCAGCTACCCTCCATATCTGGAGGCTGTCTCCTCCATCCGCAACCTGTGGATGCGCCATGTTATGGTGACAAGGGACTCACCTAACATGTTGTTATTAGTGTTTGAAAAGTAGGATATGTCATGTGGACCAGGGGTATACATTCTACCTTGTGTGGAAACTAAAAGTACTATGACTATTACTAAGAACTTAAGATCTCACAAGTACTGTTACTGTTACAATTAGTACTGTCATCCTAATACTAATATATATATATATATGTATTTTTTTTTTTTTTCCAGCCTGGCAAAAGGAGTGTTTAAATTTGGTTGCTCTCCAGCAGAGGAAAAACCTTGTTTATGCCCTTCCAACTAGTGGAGGGAAGACATTAGTAGCTGAAATGCTGATACTTAGAGAACTATTTTGTAGCAGAAAGAATGCTATATTTGTAGTACCATATGTAGCCATTGTTCAGGAAAAGGTAACAACAGTGACAACAATGAGGATATACAAGGTGTCCCAGGAGAAAAAGTCAGTATTCTTGGAATTCATAGTATTGGACATCCTAAGCAAAAAAATTGTAGTTTCCAAGATAGAGCTATTTCGTCGCAACAGTACACTGTATATTTTACAGACAAGCAACAAGACATGTCCTCACACAAGTTGCAAAGTGCATTGATGTGGATGGTGGAATTTAAAAAAAAATGTATCATACTAGGTAAACTGTACCAACTTTGTCACTTGAACAATAAATACCGGTATTAGAAACAGTATGTGATATCTGTTTCTTACCAATAATTTTGGAACTGTACAGTGAAATAACTGTATTTTGGAAACTATTCAGAATAAGACAAATGTACACATATGCTTTTTTTCTTAGAATGACCAATATTGTTACTTCCAGGAATAATGTCTTTTCCTCCTGTGATACTCTGTACACCAGTTAAATGGATGTAGTTGAAAGTGGTTGTTATATGAGCTTTACTGATGACAGTTTTATTCTGGTTCACTTTTCCAAAACATAAATTACCAAGAAGTCACCTTAAGTTCAGATTTTACTACATTGTAAATGTCATCATAAAACTTGTTATGTACCACTTAAATAATAATAACAACAACAACAATAATAATAATAATAATAATAATTTACCTCATTTTAATTTTTTTTTTTCAGGCTGAGTTGTAGGAAGTGATGCGTGGTTCATATCTGTGAGACCATAGAAAGATGTTCCATCTGTTGATCCATTCACAATTCCCTCCAGTTGTCTAGCCGTTCTGTTTACACAGACATTAGCGATAACCATGAATTAACTTTCATTAGCAACAAGTGCTTTTGGGTGGTTTTTATAGGCTAAAGGGGGCTGAAGAAGAATGTGGCAGTAGTCAGTATACTGATGACATACCCACAACCCATATGACTTCTCAGAATGTATCAGTATTAGAAAAGAAACAGAGAATACAAAATAGGTCATTGCTAATGTTCCCATACAATATATTGTTCACTTTCTGTTCAGTTCTTATTACTGAATCAGGCCTGACCAGTACAAGTTGTGGGGTGCCCATAATTCAGAAACCAAAAAATGGAACAAATAGCATTCAATTGAACTGCGCACAGTACTCAAAGCAAGTTGTCTAGAAAAGTGGGCATGATATCTATGCAGGCATTTTAAACATATACAAAACCATTTTTGAAAGTTATTTCTTCTATAATCTTCATATTATATTTAAAATTTCTAGTTTTCATGACAGACATTTTCTCTACAGTTAAAACACAATGAAAACAACTACATAACTTCACACGTTAATCAGTAATTTATTTCAGTTACATGTCCCTGACAATAGATGTGAGTATTATAGTGTGTGCTTTGAAGCTCCATTTTAAGAAATACAATAATGCAAGAAGTGAAAAAATGAAACACAAATGCTCTTATTATTGGATGGCAGTTTGCATCGTTTAAATTATATTGCTAACATACATGTTATGACATAATAGCACATTGCAGTAACTAATACACAGAAAATAAGAAATTTAAAGTTTGCTAAATGTGAATGCATTTTAATCCTAGATTTTATGTAAATTAAAAAAAAAGGACATTCTTACATCCCAACAGTATTCATGGGGACACCGGAACATTGGTTGTAAAAACAGGACTTCTGGGCACCCTAGATATGGAGGAAATTTATTATGTGTTTGATAGTTATGCCAATTAGAATATTATCTTGATCTATAGGTTAGATCCCTAGCACCATTTGGATTAGAACTTGACTTCTTTGTAGAAGAATATGCTGCTGGAAAAGGCCAGTATCCTCCTCCGAAACGCCGAAGGAAACAGACAGTATATGTGGCAACAATTGAAAAGGCCCTTGGCCTTACAAACAGTTTAATTGAGGCACAGAGGATGAAAGAAGTGGGCCTTTGTATCGTGGATGAATTGCATCTTGTTGGTGATTCAAATGGGAGGGGGTCCGTTCTGGAAGGGCTTCTCACAAAACTCCTCTATTTACAAGGTAGTCAACAATAGAATGTTATATAAATTTCTCATTATAATGTATTTTGTATTAGATTTCTTATTGTGATGCTTTAAAATCTGGAAAATGTATCCGTATTCTACAGTGTTCCCCTGTGTTACAGATACTCATGTTTCAGAATTTTGTCCTTACAGAAAATATAGAACTTAGCCATAAAATTTATAATATGTGCCATGTAATTGCCTTTATGGAAATTTGGGATAAATACACTTAAAAGCAAAAGCAGAATGTAAAACAAACTGAATTCTAGCTATGTTTTTTTATGTATGATTATTTTTAGCAAATTAGGATCATGTATGTATTCATCAGCCACATAGCAGAGTATGTAGGTGGCCACCGGCCAAGAGCTTGCATCAGTTATGTAGGGTGATGGCCTGTATTATGTTTGCTGTTCTCTTCTTCTTTTAAAGTGATCAGTATGATTACTCTTACTTAAGATGTCTGGAAAGAGGCCATCATGTTGAAGTAGTTCACAGAAAGTGTAAATGCTGTTATTTCTGTTGGGTAAAATGTGAGTTATATTATAACTGTGGACAAATTTTCCATAGGAATTCCTCTGTGGAATTGTCGTCAATACTCCAATGAACAAACCACACGAAACTGTACAATTGTATATATTGAACCCTTTAAAGTCAATATACAGAACACGGAATACACGTATAATGTTCAAGCGTTGGCTGGCCTGTCTAGGCGGTGATGCCGTGCTGAGCGTGCCGGTAGGATCGACTGGCTCGGTCGGTTGCTGCGTAGCGGAAGATGCGTTCGCTGAAGGCTTGCGGCAGCTATGTCAGCTGGTAGCAGAAGTGGAGTTGATGCCTGTAACCGCGTTGCCGTTTCGAGTTGAACTGCTTGCACCTTGGGTTCCCGGTCTTAAATACTACCGGCCGGGAGGCGGAGCTAAAGTTGCAGTCGTCACGGCGCGCATCCATTGGGCCGTGCACGGAAAGGCGGAGTCACGGCGAAGTTTATAAATATATGTAGTTGGTATATAAGTCGCAGTAGTTGGAAATTGTATAAATTCCGTGTCTCTTTGGTCACAGCTGCCAGTTTGGCACTTTCTGAAAGGGGTGACGGTTGTCTGCCAGACGCTGTGGGGATGCTCCCACACCTCACTTACAACATGAGAGTCAGTGGAAAAATAGGGTTTCTGTTACACAATTTTAGGATATGAACACATTTTCATGAACATAAATGTTGTATAGTTTGCATTTTAAGTAATTTTGATGCAGTGGGTAAACCCAATTGACCTGAGTCCTTGAGAAGCTAATATTTGCTCAGCTAGTCAAGAAATTCCCTTCTTATTTAACCCGAAGGGTCATTTTTTGTGTTTACAAGAGCCCATCACTGGACTGTCTCCTGAGCTGTTTCCAATCCATGTCCTCACACAACCTATTTCTGTAATATTCATTTTAATATTCCATCAACATTCATGTCTCTGAAGTGCCCTTTCCCTTTCGGGTTTTCAGACCAACATTTTATATATATTTCTCATCTATCTAATATATGCTACATGTGTTGCCCATGTCATTCTCCTTGATGCAGTACAAGCAGCACCATAATGGATTTTTTATTCTTTCTTTTATTTTGACAGCAAGTATTCAGATTGTTGGGATGAGTGCAACAATTGGCAACTTGCATGAAATTGCAACATTTCTAGATGCAGAAATGTTTACGCAAGATTTCCGTCCAGTAGAGCTGAAGGAATATGTGAAGTGTGAGAATAAGCTGTATGCTGTGAACTTGCGTGCTGCATGTCCAGATGAGTTTCTGATGCTGGAAAGAAAACTCTCATTTTCTGTGAGTTCTGTACTTTATTGAATCTCTTCACAGCTTTTTACCTGATGTTCATTGTTGTGGAATTTTCATTATTGTCACATATGTTGGGCTATGCTACAAGCCCAAAGGTCACGGGTTCAAGTCTCGATGAGGTCATTGGTTTATTTTCAGTTGACCTAATCCTTCTAGCCACACTGTGGCCCTGGGGTCGACTCAGCCTCTTAACAGAAATAGAGTACCAGGAATTAGTTAAATAATTTTCCTGGGGAGTAAAGCACAGCCAGCGCCTAAGGCTGACAATCTTACCGCCATCTTTGAGCCGATTGTCTAGATAATGTGGGACCCTCAACGTCTCACAACCTTATGGGCCTTCACGGCCTGGTACAGGGATAGCTTTACTTTACTTTACTTTACTTTTACTTATGTGGTGGACCACATTCATGTGGGTAGAGGGGCTTGCACTTGCACAGAAAACTGTTTTATGTCTTATCTCTTTCAGATCAAATACTTGGGCACAATAGTAAGAAACAAAAGTTTGGTTCATGTTGAAATTAATGTATCACCATAAACTATGATATTGTGGTGTATATAATTATGTCCAAATGTTTAGAATCTTAAAATTACATTTTGATGGATTTTGTTTTAAATGTTGTATGGTGACATATACACTCACATTTAGTGAGTTCAGGTGCATTTTAGTTCTTCGTTATATGCATCCTATTGTTTATGCGTACTTGAACTGGGGAAACATAAAAGTTCCACATAGTAAGGACACACCATACTGCATAGTAATTTCTCTGAAATGTTAGTATCCATCTACAAAACAAAGCAGTGTTTGAATCCAGGAGCCCACAATATGTTCAGTAATTGTTCTACCATTTCTTTTTCTTCACTACATAACCATTGCACTTGATGTGAATGAAGAAGTGGATGCTAACCCTCATATCTGTTTTTTTATTGTATACAATATATTGCTTAGTTTACATTTGTTTGCAGTATTCTGCAGCTGCTGCTTCCATTGATCCAGATATGATCGGTGGACTGGTAGGGGAAGTGATCCCCAAAAGCTCATGCCTTGTATTTTGCCCCACAAAGAAGAGCTGTGAAAATGTTGCTCAGCTTATCTGCAGTGTTTTACCAAAGTAAGATTTATTGCTTCCCTCACATCTCTCTTAATGAACCAACGTCAGTCATACTACAGGGCATGTCTTTGAAAACAACTCCTAGTTTATGCCCCTCCCCACATAAACTCAGCACTTGTGAGGTACTGATGCCTTCTATGTGTGTAGTGCTAGCAATTTTTGTTTCATAAATTATGGGGGTTTTCCTGATAAAATGGTCCTAAGAGTAAAACTGTGTGCGCATAATTGAATATTATTTTTTTTAAATCATCCTCGTTGCATCTCGCTACGTTTCTCATGAACAGCATATTGGAGAGGAGCTACCTAAATTGACTATATGATGCTTTGTTTTTAAGTTTTGAGATAATGGCACCATATTTAATTGCCATCATTCTCATTGGAGCACAGTTTTAACTAATGAATGTTTACAAAATGTCTGGCAATGTCTGCTACAGTCACAAAGAAATTCTCTATGGTGTAACCGTTCCACTGCTACGCAACTTAATTTAATGTAATCAACTTTATAAATTTGAAAGCTAAATTGTTCAAAATGAAATGCAGTTAACAAGGGTAGTGAGACATAGGTCAATTCTTGTATGTAAGAGTAAGCGTCTTCTCAAGCTTACAACAAGAAACAGGAAGACACCTGTCAAAGGTTTATTAGTGGAAAGCTGCGTTAAAGAATAGGGTAAAGAAATCTTTTGTAAATTCAATACTTGGCAGTTTGTACATGCCATAACTTAAAAAGAGTGAAGTTTTTAGGGCCCAAGTGACGCGTAAGCATTTGTCACTTTCTGACAGAAATACGTTGGAGTCAAAAATCCTTAAACGCTTGTAAGCTTTAAGCGGAGTGGAGGAATATCTAATTAAGATACTCCTATTTTTCAAAATTAGCCAGTCACTAAAATTTAAGGGTGTGACAGGGCAGTAACGCTGGTGAAAGCAGGAATTGAAGGTTTGAGGAAGCGTCATGTTTTAGCGTCATTCGGAAACCGGAGGTTGAAAGAAACAGACGTAAATTCGGAAACCGGGAGTCTTTAGAAAAAGACGTAAATTCGGAAACCGGGAGTCGTTAGAAACAGACGTAAATTCGGAAATCGGGGGTTGAAAGAAACAGACGTAAAGTCGGAAACCAGGAGTTGAAAGAAACAGACGTAAAGTCGGAAACCGGGGGTCGTTAGAAACAGACGTAAAGTCAGAAACCGGAGGTCGTTAGAAACACGTAAATTCAGAAACTGGGAGTCGTTAGGATCAGACATAAAAAGTTACACACCAGGCTCCGAAGCAGTTAGACATAAAGGTTACTGACATTGAAACTGTATCAAAAGTGGTTAAACAAGTGTTCAATATAATTCGTCCAAACTTGAGATGTGCTTGTGATTTGTGTTTAATTTATTCCCTTTCTGAGTTGTGGCCCATTCAAGGCTCTGAGATAAGAGGTACTCAGCTCTACCAAATCAACAAAACCCCCTCCTTTAAAATAACCCTGAGATAAATTTAGCAACAAGAAAGAAGAACCTACTAGAGGCGACCCAGCGTGTGAAGAAGAAGGAGAAGGTTGGAGGTGAAGAGAAAAGGGCGGTAAGAATGGAAACTTGCACAATAAAAAGAAATATCTCTGAAGCCTGCTTATAGGACAACAAAAGAACTTAAACTGCAGTCAAATTGTATTCACATTGTGCAAGAGTTATGCCCTGTAGACTTTGTTGCCTGAATGTGGTTCCTAAATTTCATATAAGACAACCACACAGTTGTAGATAATGTGCTTTATTCAAAGCTTGGCTTCATCATAACAGCTGTGTTAATTCAAAACACAGTAGGGTGTGTGGTATAGAGAACCCCAGTGAATATTATGAAATTTTGCTACATTATCGGAAAATAGACATCTGGTTTGCAATGTCATGCTAAAGAATAGTTGGATCTATATTTTATTTTAAACAACTCTAAACAAGAGAATTTTATTGAGATGCTGTGATGTAGTTTGTTGCCTTACTGAGAAATGATGAAAGGGACTATTGGTTCAAGCAAGGTGGAGCCAGATGTGACCATGGAAATACTGGAAGAGTTCCTTGGTCTCAGAATGATATCCGAAGGACTTTGGCCTCCAGGATTGCCAGATTAGACACCTTTGTATTTTTTCCTGTAGTTTCTTATGTAAAGTTATGTATTTAAAAACAACTCAAGAGCAATTGACCAGCTCAAAAATGAACACTGAAACTGCAAGTGGAGATATCAAAGAAGTTACACTTCAAAAGGTGGTGCAGAATGTGATAGCTTGGGTAGAATGTTGTGCAGAGGAGGCATTGCACCACTTCCAACATTTAATGTAAAAGTTATTTGTATACTGAACTTTTTTCTGGGAATTAACATGTTTTTGTACATTTTTTTACAACTAGTAATGTGTTAATTTTAAAAGACATACGCATTAGAATTTATTTTTATTGCTGTATCCTGTATGTAGTTGGTACAGTATTATAAGGTACATGAACAAAAATCTAAAAATGAGTTGGCAAAAGTGAACTCAAAGATGAAAAAAGTGTTTGATGCCCAAGGCTGATAATAATTTACTTTTTTCTAAAATAAAGCTTGCTGTCAGAAAATTTTAATGATATTAGATCACATAAAATTTAGAAAATTTATTTTGATATACTCGTATGCTGGTTGAGTGTTAATTAAATAGTTCTAATGGAGTTACTTTGAAGATGACTGATCAGTTCATAGCGTATTATTAAAGAATTTGTAATGCCAGTTGCATGAACAGCATTGTTTATACCTTGAGTAAGGAAACAAGATATTCAATTTACATCATGCCATCAAATTTGAACCCTTCAAATAATTAATCTGTTTTTCAACTTTAATCTTAAAGTTAATAAGTTAAGAAACGTTTGTATAATGTAACAATTTTGGCATCCATTCTCTCATTTGTTTAATTATCTCAAAAACTCTAGGACTTACAGAAAAAGTATGTAGAATATAGATTAGGTGTTCCATTTTTCTCTGCAACCCTCTTTTGAAGCCTTTAAATGTGTAGTGAGTTAGGATTAAGATTTTCACACATATGCATATAGATCGTCATGTAAAGTGTCCATTTATTGTCATCATTGTTATTTTTAATTAAAATTTGAGTAAGATATAAAAGTTTGTGATGATGGTGTATCAATGTAATTATTATGTTTCTGGTCTGTAGATAGGGACTAGCCCTATCAGTTGGGTCCAACTGAGTAGTTTCCACCTGAAGACGGAGACAGAATCCAGTCTCCAAAATATTACATGTTTTAAATAAAAACAGGATGATGGATATTGTCCAGAAGTACAGTAATTGTAAGGTTTGAGTGTTCTGACAATCCAATTTCATGAAAATCGCTGTACAGACATGCATACACACTGAAGTTAATAGGCAATTTTTAGCAGCTGTCTGTTTCAGACACACAGAGAATTAGTGGAAACAGTGTTGAAAGAATCTGAAGAAATAAAAATAAACCATGACATCTGAGAGTAATGTACTTAATTTGTTATACATATTTTTCCCATTGAAAACATAACAGAGTTTTAGTTTTAAAAACTTTCATCTTATGTTGATAAATATAATGTCCAACATCACTGTAGGATTCACATTCACAGATTATTTCAAAATAATTTATTTTACTTGCAGGGAAATTTTACAGTATAAAAAGGAAGAGAAGAAAGCGCTGTATCGTGCATTGACGAGTGAAGGGAATGGTTCAGTCTGTCCAGTTTTGAGAAAAATTCTTCCATTTGGAATCGCATACCATCATTCAGGTATATGATGTAGATCAAATGTTAAATGGTTCTATAATTAGAACGATTCTAAATTAAAAGGCTGAACACATTTGTATGTAGATACTATAGGGTTCTGACAATGGTGTATAACACTACTGGGTTTTCGGACTTTGTTCATCGTCTGGATTCTAAATAACTAAGAAAACACCATGTTTCGGAAATTGGATCTGTTTCCGTCCTCAGGTGAGGGTAGACACCTATTCTGTTGGGTCCCTTAGCCTTCATGTTTTGTGACATTGGTTGTCCAGTGATTGAGGCTAGCTCGTTCTAAGTTCTCATGGACTCTGCCTGGTCTCAGGTGTTTATAGCCTTAGTGTTTTGTGACATCAGTTGTCCAGTGATTGAGGCTAGCTCTTTCTAAGGGACCCAACAAAGGTGTCTTCCCACACCTGAGGATGGAAACAGATCCAGTTTCTGAAACGTGTTTTTTCTTAGTTATTTAGAACATTTGTAATGTGGTTTATACTTTTATGATAATGATTTTTAGGCTTCTGTGATTCAATGAAGCATTTGTAAAATGTGATAAAATACTGTGTTGGATTTGACGTTCTCACAGCAGTGGACATGAAGAGTTTTATCTTCTGGGGTATAATGCCATGTAGTAAGTTGTCTTCCACCATCTGTCACTATGACATATCTCAGAAGATGGAACTCTTCCCTATAAAGTAGAGATATATTGTTAGCCACATCAGTTTAAAGCGGCCTCTGTAGTCTATGGGTAACATTCCCACCTCATGACTCAAGGTACAAGGGTTCAAACCTGGCGGAGGTTGTGGAATTTTTAAGGGCGGAAAAAATGGGGGAAAAAGTCCTCCGGGAGGGACTTTAAGCCGTATGTCCTGTGTTGTAGATTTACGGCACGTAAAAGATCCTTGTGTCTCTAGGAGTCCTCTGAGCAAAATTAGGCAAAAGTTTCCCGCCCAAATAGTTTCCAATTCCTCCGGTAGATGGGGAAGTATCGGGGACCACTGCCAGAGAGGGCCGACCTCGCTGGCAGAATGGGGCTGATAGTGAGCACCAGTACTGGAAGGGCATGGCAACAGTAGAAATTAAAGCGGGTTGCACAATAGATCTGAAACGGGTTGCAGTGCGTGGGGAAACCCACCCCCTCCAAAAATAATAATAATAATAATAATAAATAATAATAGCCACATCAGTTTGGTGCAGAAGGATAATGATATTCAGATTATGAGAGGTGAGTTAGTATGAGAATGAAAAGGATTGCATAGTGAGCTTCATGATGTGTACTATTGATCTAGTATTATTAGGATGATTGAATTATAAAACTCGAAATGCCTGAGATATGGAAAACAACAAGAAATGTATGCATTTTGTATTGAAAACCTGGCCGAAAATGAACATGTGGAAAGCTAAATTTGAGAATAACCAACCTACTAACTCTATGTAGTCTAGTCTTTTTTGAGAAGCCACCAGTTGCACGGCTTCTCAAGAATTTCCAAACATTTTATGGAATCCTAGGGTATTGTTACCGTTTTCACAAAACCCCTCCACTGGTCCCTATCCTGAGGCATGTCATCCTAATTCATACCACCCTATCCTATCTCTCAAAAATCCATTTTAATATATATTATCCATTCAGCTACTTCTTGGTCTTCTTAATGGTCTTTTTCCTTCTGGCTTTCACACCAAAATCCTATATACATTATTCTTTTCTCCTGTATGTGCTACATGCCCTACCCATCTCAACCTCATTGTCTTGATCATTCTAATTATATTTGGTGAGATCTGAGATAGAGGATAAAATTAATATGTAACGGTATTTATGAAGATTTATTGAACTGGCTGTGTTTGGGGTCTGATGACAGGCTTTTGCAGTTTCCATAATGGATTATCCTGAATAGCTTAATAATTAGCATCTCCTGGTGAAGATCATAGTCCAAGGTTTGATGTTCTAGATTATTAAATCAGTTTAATTTTTTAGTGTGTTGAATGACTTATAGCAGGAAGAATGAAATGTCTCATGTTTGTATTCCATTGTATACATTCCAAACCTGTGATATTAAAGTGAAATTGAAAATGTGTGTACATGTTCATTTACTCCTGAAAATTAGCAGGAGGATGGAAGTGCTCTTACTGCACTGCCGAAGCTGATTCACTGTATGTTGTCCCTCAGGTTTAACTGCAGATGAGAAGAATTTATTACAAGAAGCATATCAATCTGGCACACTTTGCTGTATTTGCTGCACTTCAACATTGGCTGCAGGGGTGAATCTGCCAGCAAAACGGGTGATTCTGCGCTCACCGTACATAGGACGAGACTTCATTAACTTAAGTCGCTACAAACAAATGATTGGACGAGCAGGACGAGTTGGTTTTGGTGAGATGGGTGAGAGCATTCTTATCTGCAAGACAAATGAAACTCAAAAGGTGAGATATGCGGAATTCCATTGTAATGTAAGTTTAGTTACAAATGCAGGAAGTCCCCTCAATTTTGAATCATACATCAGTATGACCATAACCAGTTTTTAATGTGTGAAAAGATGATACATGTTATGATGCTCAGAAGCAATAAATGCATCAAGCAGTAAATTTCATGGCACTATAGCAGTAAGTAATCAAACTCTGGTCAGCAGGAATACATGTGATTATCACAGTAAACAAGCAATTTCACCATTTCAGTACAATTTACAAACACTTCTGCTAAAACCTCCTCTATGCCCAGAATACGTATGTCAGATGATTTAGGTTAACATCATTTTGTATCATTAGAAATTTACATCCATAATGTAATAGAACATTGCTCAACATATATACAGGGTGTCCCAGGAGGAATGTGCCAAACTTCGGGAGGGTGTTCCTTATGTTAAAGTATGCCGATATAACCCAAAACACCTATGTCCAAAGTTGAACGGTTACGGAGATAATGGCCCAAGAAAAGTGTGGTCTTCTGGCAGGTCCAAGCACTGTACCTCGCTGTACCTCTCAGCTGAGAGCCCTTATCTATGTTTGTCCTTGAGTGCGATGATACTCCCTAGCCGTGCTTATGTAGTTGGCTCATACCAGAACGCGCAGTCAGCACGTTACGTCATCGCTCGCCAGTCATGTGTTATGTATACTGCTTGGAAACCTAAGGACAATTATGACATGGCGAGCGAGTATTTTGTACTTCAATTTTATGGCTTTCCGTCACTCACAAGTTGGTTTGATGTTACGTACATTATTAACATTACAGAATCCACATATTCCTGCCAGTTTTAATATGTATTTTGTAATCAACAAGTGTGTAACCCCGGTCAAAGTTTGACACTTCTCGGGCCATTATCTCCGTAACCGTTCAACTTTGGACATAGGTGTTTTGGGTTATATCGGCATACTTTAACATAAGGAACACCCTCCCGAAGTTTGGCACATTCCTCCTGGGACACCCTGTATATATATATATATATGCATATTACAGGAGGCGCTTATGGGACCTGGGATAGCTCAGTAAAGTGACCTTGCTATGGGCTGGATGACCAAGGAACTGGGGTTTGATTCTTGGTAGAGGCTAGAGATTTTTCTCTTCAGGGTATCTAGACTAGCTCTGGGGCCTGAACAGGCTCCTGTATAGTGGGTAGCAGGGACTGTGCCCTTGGGGGTTACAGTGGCCAGGGTATGAAGCTGACCACTCACCTCTATCTAGTGCCAAGGTTCAGAATGCAAGGAGTTGTTCCTCCACTCCTTCATATAGCTTATTGCTTAGTTAAATACAGGGGAACTTGAGAACTGTTTGTTATTTGCCTATGTTTTCCATACAGTAAACTTCTGAAAGATAAAGTTAAATTTACTGAAATGATGAAGTTGCTTATTTATTACTATAATCTTGTGAAAATACATAGCATGTGGGGGTTTTTATGGTAATGAAGATTCATGTTGTGGTCTTCTGGGTTATGACATCTACCACACTATATGGTGTCATGACACAGAAGACAACAGTATGAATTATCCTCCTTGATTTTATTAGCTAATAATTTTGGTGAAGGGTATAATCTCTGAAGCTTTTCTTACAGTTTCTCTGCCCTCCTGTTTAGGACGAATGTGATCAAAATAATAAATCATGTATTCTGGTGTTCTTGTCATGGAGTGCACTGGCCTTCTGACTGTTTACATTTGTTTCATGTTAGTGTCAGAGAAAGTATGACTTCTTACTTCCATGCTCCATATATGATTTGATTGTGTGTTGCTTAGGCATGGAGCTGACTTTGCTTTTCTTATGTGTTATGTGCCTGACTCTGTTTAATTTTCTTTAGTCATTTTTTTTTCAGGTAAAAGAATTACTCAGCTCACCAATGGATGAGGTAACAAGTAGTCTACATTTGAATGATGGCCTTGGGATACAAAACTTGGTTCTCAGTGCTGTTGGCTTAGGTAAGTATGTACTGTTTCTCTGAGGAAGGAAGTTTTAGGACAGGAGTGGTGCCCTGAATCCAGTTACATCGATCTGTCACAAGTGGTGTATGGTGTAAAATTCTTTGTTGGATATGCAGTTATAATAATTGTGGGCATGTTATCCCACCACACATTGCTTTATTATAATCTGCATGTATACTCAACATGAGTTTCAGTTGGAAACAATTATGATGAAAGTTAAATGGTACATAGGAGTTGTTAAACATCAACTGACATGAAGTTTTATATGGTGACATGTTACAAACATACGAATATTTACAAGTGCTACATCTTTTCGAGCCCTAAAACCTACCACAATACCTGGAAATGCTTTTAATCCATATATAATTCAGTGTTATGTTACCTTGTCAGGCTATTTTGTGTTGACTAGCATTCTATTTACTTTTATGTGTATAGATATCATCTATTCATTTCAGGTATTGCAACCACAAGAGCGACACTGCAAAAAATGATGGAGTTCTCTTTGTTATCTGTACAAGCTTCAAAACTGAATGTGAATTTACATCTTGAGATTGATAAGATATTAGCCAAATTGATAAAGCTACAAGCCTTGACTACAGTGGATCTGGAACGATCAAGGTGAAACATGTATAAACATCAGTCAACTTTTCGAGGAGTTTCCACGTGCCATTACATGTTAATTAAATGGAATCAGTTACTGAATTCTTGTTCATGTATAGTATGGCCCAGTACAAAATAGCCCAAAATGTAAAGCACCCCTAAGTCCTTTGTTAAGGAGCCGGGATAGCTGAATCAGTGAAATGCCTAGTCTGTGGGCTTCAATTTCCAGCATGGTTAGAGATTTTTCTATTTCTCACCCTCTCCACACTGGCTCTGAGGTCTTTGGTGGGTACTGGGGACTATTTCCCCTGGGATGATGCACTCATCATATTTGAATGTGTACAAGTTTATGACCTCTTTCTAGATTCTGTGGGGATAAAGTTGGATAGTTTGAGATTTTGCTGAAAACTATTCCCATTGATGTTGTGATGAATTGAATGTTACTTTTTTCCATAATGGCCTGTTCGCTTTCATAACACTGTATACTTCATCAGTTTCTTGGAAATTTCATGCACGTCTGTATTGGACACTTGGCGATAGTGGTTTTCTGAACTCAGGCTGATACGTTACTCTAACAGTTGTGATGAAATAGTGAATGTAATGAATGAACTGATGTGCTGAGGACAGAATTAATGTTCAGTGAAGCTGTTAAAATGTGAAAAACCTAATTACATGTGATGCTGAAAATTTCAAGAAAACTTGCATATTAATAGGTTAGAGTTGTACATATGTTTAACTAATTAAGCACTGCCATAAAGCTGTATGGGGTCGCTGTACCAACTGACTATCCTGGCTCACATTAATAGGTAAAAGATTAAATTTAATTATAGATACTGTTGCAAGAATAAACGCACCAAGCTTCTTGTTACAAATCATTTGTTTTGTTGTTTTATTGAAAATGTTATAAAAGAATCTTATTTGAAGGTGAACTTTTTAAGTTATAAATAAAAACAGTTTTATTGAGGTTTTCTAGAAAATGGACACACAATATAGTAAAATCCTAGTGCACCAAATTCCACAATAAATTGAAAATTTGTTGATTGAAGCAAAAATTATTAGAATAAATACTTAGGAAGATGTGTAAAAAAAAATAAAGCTATCCCTGTAAGAGGCTGTGAAGGCCCATAGGGTTGTGAGACGTTGAGGGTCCCACATTATCTAGACAGTCGGCTCAAAGATGGCGGTAAGGTTCTCAGCCTTACGCGCCGGCTGCGCTTTACTCCCCAGAAAAATTATTTAATTAATTCCTGCTACTCATTTCTGTTAGAGGCTGAATCAACCCCAGGGCCATAGTGCGGCTGGAAGGATTAGGTCAATTGAAAAAAAATCCAATGACCTCATTGGGACTTGAACCCACGACCTTCTGGCTTGTAGCATAGCCCCTTCACCAACTATGCTACCATGTACCCCCAGGAAGATGTGTAACTTGTAAATTATATTGTCATGCGTAAATAGTATTTCATTTTAAAATGAGACATTATTTGTTACTGGTGTCTAGCTGAAACTGAGGTTCAAGTATTTTCCTCAGTACTTCGTTTTCATGAAGTTTTAGTTTATGTTGTTTCACAGACATGTAAAACAGTAGGACAATTGAGAATTGCTTTTGACTAATTAATTTCATGGAGCTGAGCCCTTCTTGAGAAGCTGGCCAGTTGTTCAGCTGTTCAAGAACTTTCCAGGTCCCTGTCCTGAGCCAGATTGATCCAGTCCATACCACTCCATACTATCTCTCGAAGATCCATTTTAATATTATCCACTCACCTACATCTTGGTCTTCCTAGTGGTCTCTTTCCTTCTGGCTTTCCCATCAATATCCTATATGCATTTCTCCACCCCCATTCTTGCTGCATACCGTGCCTATCTCATCCTCCTTGACTTGATCATTCTAATTATACTTGGCCAAAGATGCAAGTTATGAAGCTCCTCATTGTGCACTTTTCTCCAACCTCTTGCCAATTCATCTCTCTTTGGTCCAAATATTTTCTTCAGCATCCTGCTCTCAAACACCCTCAGTCTATGTTCCTCCCATATTGTCAGAGACCAAGTTTCACACCCATATAGAACTACAGGAAGAATTATAGTTTTGTATATTCTGATTTTTATGTTTTTATAGAAGAGACAAGAAGACAAAAGGTTCTGGACTGAATGGTAGCAAGCATTACCTGAATTCACTCTCCTCTTAATTTCCTTGTGAATCCAATTTTGATTTGTTACTATTGTTCCCAAATATTTGAACTGTGCCATGTTTTCAAAGCATCTGTTAGCTATCTTTATGTCATGATTTTGCCCTGCATTCTGGTAATGAGATCCATTAGAAACTGTTTGAAAAGTAGGATGTGCAAGGTATAATTCAGCTTTTCACACAGATAACTTTCGGCCTTGACAGGACATTATGTGTCACCAGCTTTGAATGATACATATATATATATATATAATAATAATTTGTCATTCATTCTCCTTGGCAGCCCAAATTCAAGTATCATGCTTGACAATCAGAGTAACATAACAGTGCATATACTTGACACATCAGAATCCGATATGAAGCAAAACAAGTCTGTGACACCAACCTGCGGTAAGAAAGAAATATGTAACAGGATAGTATATCTGAAGAGTGAGACGCTACTCACGGTTAGCAGGCTCGGGAAAGCTGCCATAAAAGGTATGTATGTAAAGGCATTACTCATCCAAAATCCTCTTTGGTTCTCTGTAATACTATGCACATGAAAGTGAAGGAAAGGGATTACAAAAATATACTATAAGATTATTTTTAGTTTGTCTACTATCTGAAGATATTTTCATTCTAGTCATATTTTGAAGAAAGAGACCATTGGGAAGACCAAGCCATAAGTGGGTTAACAATATTAAAATGGATCTTAGAGAGATAGCATGGGATGTTATTGATTGGATTGATCTGGCTCAGGATAGGGACCAGTGGAGGGCTCTTGTGAACACGGTAATGAACCTTTGGGTTCCATAAAATGCTGGGAAATTCTTGAGTAGCTGCAGAATTGGCAGCTCCTCCAGTAGGGCTCAGCTCCATGTGTAAGTAAGTTAATATATTTTGAAGTCCTTTCTTACATTTAGAAGAGGAGTGAAAGAGTACTGTCTTCTGAGATGTATAAACATTACTCTGCTTGCCGCCTACATCATGCTGGTTTTTTGGTTGACTTGCTCTTTGACCCTGAAGATGGAGGCAGTACATTCCTCTGAAATATTGTTGGACGTCTACCACATCACATAGTGTTTCATTCCAGAAGCTAGTAATCTTTTTCGTCAGTGTTTTGAGAATATCAGGACCAACATAGAAGATTAGGGTTTTCAGTTTTTTAGGTAATGTTACTGTTCGTTTCTGGCCTTAAAACTGTAAATGATATGGCTAATTAGTGTTGAAATGGTGTTATGATAGGTGCTTGATATGTGAGAGCGAAATAAGCATGTTATGAATGTCCCGTATCTGTCGTCATATGTTAGAGTGACTCTCGATGGGGTTTTGGATTTGAGATTGGATTTATTGACCACTTAAAGGTTGTAACTACAAATAGGTACAACACTATTGCTAATTTCCACAATTTATAAATCACTACAGCACACACTAAGTCTTTTCAGCCTGCTGTGTTCTCACCAGTTGTTCTTCAACTGCACCATCCAAGTCTTGTCTTCATAAACTCCCTTACAATTGCTAACTTGTAAACTTGTCTGGGTTATAACACCTCAGCTTGGACTGCCTAGAAGACACTGTTCATTGTTGTACATCAATTTTTTCCATGGAAACATGTTTGTGTGTGAAGTCATTACTTCTGATGAACATTTTCTTGACCTTGGCACTAGTTGGAGTTGAGTAGTCAGCTTCATGCCCCTGCCGCTTTACCCCTGGGAAAAGATCCCCTTTTACACACATGATAGGAGGCTGGATGGGCCCCAGAACTGGTTTGGACCACATGGAGAAGAGAAAATTCTTGCCCTACTGAGACCCAAACTCCAGCCCCTCCATTGTCCATCCTGTAGCCAGTTGCTATACCGGTTATGCTATCCCGGCTCCTCAACCTTCAGTACAAACTGAAAATTGAATGAGATGATGGTTAAATATTCTTAACTGTAGTCAGTAATATCATGACAGTCTTACAGTCTGTTCAGTTTAATGTTTAAAGTGGACAGTGCAGTATTTTGTCTGTGTTCATAATATGCATGGAATCACATAATGTTTGGTAGCCAGCACTGTACTAACCTCTTGACATTTCACGTGCTGCTTAGTAATGTCCTATCATATGGCCTGTAACTTTGAATGAAACAATATTGAAACCCATGTTTTCGTATTTCCTTGTTCTAATGTCAATTTGTCTCTGTGAGTCTTAACGCGAGCGTTACGTTACCGCCACGTACTGCTGGGGAGGTAGGGGTGATCCATAGCTCAACATGTCACAATATTATAGTATTACTGTATTATAGTATAATAATATATTACAATATAGTATTATGGAAGTATTATAGTATTATTGATTGATTTTCCTATCCTCTGCTCTGTGGTGAAGTAAATTAATCAATTTCTAAGATGGTAGCACCTGTGAAGCAAAGGTGTCTAAAATTATAGAGAAGCAGATTAGACAATTTCAGGCACTGTGTTGAAACCAGTATTAGATGTAAATATATTGCCTTGAAAATGCTACATACAACTTACACTCCTCTCAGTCTGACATCAGGTGGAGTCCACTTACTGGGATGCAGAAACAGTTGTACATGTTGGATCTGCTATATTTGATTTCTAATTGAATTAGTTTTATTAAAATAACACATTTACAATGCTTTCTTTTTACAGGCTGTATGCATTTGTCTTGCACTCATATGTTATACCAGGACCTGGTTCAAGCTCAGTCTAGTCTGGTGTTGCTGTCTTGTCTACATCTCCTTTATCTTGTCACTCCATATGACTTTATGAGCCAGGTTAAACCTAATCCTGCAGTGTACTTCTCTGTGGTAGGCAAGATTCTGTATAATCATCATTATTTTACTTAATAGCCATTCTGAGTATGTCTATATGAATTTAATGACTTACGAGAAAGATGATCAGGGACAAAGTAACAGGAGACTGGTCAAAATTCTATAATGAGGAATTTCATAATTTTTACTCCTTGCAGAACTTACTAGAATGATCAAATCAAGGAGAACTGGGTGGGCAGGGCATGTAGCATGGATGGGAACAAAGAGAAATACGTATGAAGTCTTGTTAGGAAAATCTGAAAGAACCACTAGGAAGACCTAGACCAAAGAACTAAGCTGAAGCTAATGAGTGTAAATGCAATCGCACAGAAAAATCCACAGTACTTCGTCATATTACCTTCTAAGAACCACGGCTGTTCTTTCCTTTAAACACAATTATGCTGTTGACAGAAAAGCTGTTCTAAGTGATTAACATTGAACTGTGGCAGTTCTAATATTATATATATGTAGATTTGATCAGCTTGTGGCATGCAAAGAGTCGCATCAAACAGATATAAAATTACATGGTTAGAAATTCCATTAAATAAACATTTTTGTATTGTCTTTCAGTACAACAGACTGGATGTAAAGGACATTAAGACAACAAATGTTCTTGGAATATCTGAAGTATGTATGGCTCGCATGGTAACTGGACAGGTTATGAAGGTAGAAAGTTTTGTTTGACTTTATTTCATACTCTTTTTAGTTAAGTTTTTAATTTGAAGACCATGTACCGGCCAAAAAAAATATTATTTCACATTATGGTAATTTTATTATGAAATAATTTGTAATACTGTTTCCAACAGAGATATCTATCCTTTTGCCCTAAACATAGTGAAACTGGATTATTGCCCCCCTTTCTATGTTAATGAAGTGTATCAGTTGGTTATATGTTTGTAAATATTCTTCTGGTTGTCGCGGCTTGGAAAGTCATGCAATATTTTATTACTGTAAGTAAAATATTGATGTTACAGTGTTCTATGTATGTATAGTGGAACACTTATGCCAATAATTCAATGCACTTTCTTGTATAGATGAAATGTTCTGTCTATGAATACACTGGTCGCTCTGTTTATGATGCCATCAATCGACAATATTTTGATCAATGATCTATCTCCCATAGGGTACCATTGTTTAAGATATCAAGCAGCTATCAATTTTAGCCAATTACAGCTTTCCTAAGTAGACTCAGCAAGCCTCAGTCAATCAGTGACATCCTTTTATGAGGGTTTGGAGCTCAGCTGGTTTGCTTTTTAGTGTTTGATGTGTATTGCTTGTGGAAAGAACTCTTTTCAATACTTTGTGTTTTTTTTTTAACCCAGAATTTGAATAAGATTAGTAACAGTGACCCCCTAAAGTAAATGTGAAAGGAGAGAAAGGGGTCAGTACAGGGGGGACCCTTAACAGTTTCTTCAGAAAAAGACTAAGATTAGAGCCATCAACATCTCAAGCCAGCTCCTGTAACGATCTCTCAATTTTTATTTTTTGTTCTATTTGAGCACCTTTATATGCACTTTTTATTCATTATTTATTTATGTTCCTATTAATATTAATGCTTTAATATGTTCTTATAATGCTTGTGTATTAAGATTGAATGTTTAAATCTCGTGAACTATGTTTTTAGGGCCCAAAAAATCAACTTCTCATCATCTTGGAATGAATTTAACTTTAACATGTATTTCCTATATTCAATTAATGATGATTTCAGTTAACAGCGGTTTCCATGGAACCAATAATATCATTAGCCAAGGGATCGCTGTATGTGTAACTTTGGATGGAAGAATACCTTCAGTTAACCACTTCTATGCTACATGCAAGATACTTTGTTTAAATGCACCATCCCTTATATGCCAGATTCATTTGTTGTTTGAGAAGATCAATGAAAGAAACATCTCCAACCAAAGCCATGTCATAAGTTGGTGATCATTTGTTCACCTACTCACCCTGGAAGTCTGAATTCGATCTCAGGATAGTCCATGTGGGATTTATGGTGAACAAAGTGGCACTAGGTCAGGCTTCTCTGAGCACTTAAGTTTCCCCCTTCCAGTTGTCATTCCATTGGTACTCTGTACTTAACTGTCATCAAATGCTGGTACAGTAGGCATTCTGAGGGCACAGTACCAATCTCATCCATCTCCAACAAATTAAATCTCCCTTCATATCTCCTCAATTAAAGCTTACTACTCATGCCTTTTCACGAATATGTGTTAGACTTTACGATGGAAATAAGCAAATGGAAGAAGGTTCTTTAAGTAAAATTCAGCTTGGCAACGGTTAATGGTTGATGTATGGATAATGAAAGATGATACCTTTTTTTTTTCTTTCCCCACTCTGTAATAGATACTATTTGTTGCTGGCTTGAATCATGTAAATTACAAGCTATTGTCATATCTAGCTGCAGATTAAACCAGTTTTCTCAACCAATTGTCCATCTACTGTTAGTAATTTGTCAATTTATGCTGGTCCACAAATTTTAATTTGTATACTTAATACCACAAGTTCCTAGAAGACAGGTTGGACTTACAGGATTGAATACGGAAAAGTTTCTAATTGTTTTGGAAATGTATTTCAAAGTTCATGGTCAGAAATTCTGATAGAAAATGCAGAAAATTCTGTACTTGTTTACAAATTACTTGTTCAGTTTTTTTCATTCCATATACATAGAAAATGTACTGGTAGGACTGACGAAAATGAGTGCAAAAGGAAAACAAAGAAGGCAAGGGATGACTTTAACCCTAACCTGAAATCTAGCAGATAAACACAATGTTGCTAATGAAGTGAAGAGTTATTTATAATAAGCATTTTTATCTTAGTGCATTGGGAAAGTTATATGTCTCCAGATGTTTGAGAATAATTCTTCACTTTTTACATGTTTATATTTGTTTACTGATGCCTGCTTGCTGTTAGTCAGGGCAGGAGAAAGTAGTTCATCGATTCTACTTAACGCTGATGCTGTATGATCTGTGGAACCAGAGGTCCCTGTGGGATGTGGCAAATGAATTTCAGGTTCCACGTGGCATTGTTCAGAACCTCATGACCTCTGCAGCTGCCTTCTCTTCCTGTGTATTACGCTTCTGTGAGGTTAGAAAATACAGTATTCACAGAAGAGTCATAACAGAATTAACATTTTTACTGAGGACACATCTTGTCTCTTATCAATGTACAGCCCCATGGAAGATGTAATCATGTTAGTATGTACAAAAAATACACAGATATGCTCCTCTAAATATGATGAATCTTGTGCATGCTTGTCACAATAATGTGATGCACAGGCGAGAAAAGATAATGTTTCTCACGTGTAATATATGTCTTACATATATGTATTTCATTATAACACTTGGATGGACCGATGATCACCTTACGGAACTACAGTCAACTCTCGATTATCCGGGATAATGGTGGGGATGGAAATCACGATTAATCGAAAACCCGGTTAAGACAAATTTTATTAAAAGTAGTACTGTAATACTGTACCTTCATAATACTATAGGCCTACCTGTATTTAAATTTATTCAACCTCATTTTTATGTCATCTCATGGCCTATTTAATACTTTTTTTACATTACACTGAAATATGAATTAGTTATTTCAATCACAGTCTTCAACAACATCCAACACTTTTTACGAATATTCACACTTAACACTTAAAAAAATTTAATATTGTCGTTTACTTTTTCGTGGCATTTTCCTTTTTCTGTTGAATACTTAACACAACACGCTTCCTTTTTACACCCTGACATTTTTCTAATGCACTTGAAGATCGATACAAAGATACTAACTGGGGTGACATATCTGTCCTTGAAACTTCCCACCCCTACCCTAGAACATTGTGTTAGCATAACGGGGCCAAAGAATGCAGAGCTCGGTTCACACTAGTGCGAAAATAGTGTTACAACTCGCCATGTGAAACAAAAGTGAATGAATATTAAACAACATATAAGCCTCAAAAAGCCTCAGTAGCCCTGGTTAAGCCACAAACCAGTTAATCCACCCCCTGATAATCGAGAGTTGACTGTACTTCAGTTTCTCAGTTCAGTATATAAATTTTTTCTTTTGCTTAGAGATGGTAGTTTTTGGTTGTGTCTATGCTTTAGTCACATACTTGTGCAATACTAGAATCCATGATGCTCTTGACAGAAGTTTAATACTTTTCATATATTTTCATTAGATATTGACTTTTCCTGAAATAGCAGCAGCCTCCATGTATTTTCCTCCTCCTGAAAACTTCAAGCTCAGTGGGTTAAAGTGTAAGATAATCACTTAAAAATACGGTGGCACATTAAGATGTAAAATAAAAAAGCCACAACTGTTTGAAAATGTTGCAGACCAATACTTATCTCTGTGTCATAGCTTCAGAAATACTACCATTTACATTGTCACAAGTATGATTTTATAAACACTGTTTTTATGTACAGGAGATGAATGAGTTTTGGGCATTCAAAGACCTCCTAGTCAACTTTACTGAACAGCTTTCTCACTGTTGTACATCTGAGCTACTGCCATTGATGGATTTGCCAGCAGTTAAAAGAGTAAGTTCTTTAATTCTTTAAGATGGTAATCAGGTTGGTATTTAGAATGCCAGTACCCCTGCTAGAAAAGTCATTGAGCTAGCCAGTAAATTATGTTGTGTTGGTGGCGTACTTACAAAAGGTGAAGGCACATTTGATCAGAGCTGTAACATTCCTGGGAGCCAGTTTGACCATGATATTAAAAGTTTCATATTTATTCCTGTATACATTACTGCATGAAACCTAACCTCTTCAGAGAGTTCATGAAATTTGGTTTTTAGCATGTTCAGATATAAAAGGGGGAATAATATATGTGTGTGTGTGTGTGTGTTGTAGCGTGTAGAGCTGTTACTGGGTAATGACATTCAGTAGCTTTACACAAATTTCAGATAGTTTTTTTTTGTAATGTCATACTTGTGTGTGATTTTTTAACAATACAGATTTGTTGATATTAATGACATGAACAGAAGATGGGTAACTATTTGAGCATAGATTCAAATTTTATGGATTGTTTTAAAGATCTGAAAGTCTCCATTACTAAGACATTTGTTTTCTTCTGCTGTGTAATTAACAATTTTAAAATTTTAAAATTTGGACAAGAATTTAAAAGTTTAAAATTAGAACTAAAGATTTTATTATGGTGCTATTACAATAAACTCAAAATTAACGTGTGTGAAGTAATCTACGGGTGGACAGCTATCAACGAAGTAGAAGTTGATAATGACAGGGAGAGTGTTTTAGATGTTAAATTTTGAACTGGGTGCAGTGTGACAGCGACGTGAGTGTTATACACCTGATGATGGCCGTCTGAGGCCGAAACATGTAGTGTAGGGAGCAAGATCAAAGACACAAAATATATTGTTTGCACTTGAGACGGAGTTTATATCATTTAACATAATCAGATAGTCATCATCATCAAAACTTAAATACTCAATACAACAAAACTGCTGTACAGCAATACATTCCATATATCAAAATAACATTTAAAATTACATACATGATCAAAAGACCACCAAGATCCTTAATATAGTAATATAAAATCTATTTTCTTAATATATAATACACCTGAATGAATGTATGAGGGGTAAGCCTTCTTGGCCCTTGCACGGCGACCTACAGTGGCCTATTGTGCTTTGTATTAAGGGAAAGTGTAGAAACTGATATGAGTCGTATGGGATCATCATAGTTTGCCAGAAGTTACTGGTATATTTTTCCAGCTACATGAGTGAAAATTTATTATGGCTTCCTAAAGAAGTGAACATTGTTCAGATATGTGTGTTTAAATTATATTAGTGTATGTTTATCTGGCAAGTACTGTGTTTGCTCATATTTTTAATTCTATATTAAATTTATAATTTTTGGTATGTTGTTATTATCATAATGCATGTTCACTGTGTAGGGACGAGCCAGGCAACTGTACAAAGCTGGCTACAAGACACTGCAGGACGTGGCAAATGCTGATCCAAAACAGATGGTTCACACAATTGATCACATGTCAAATAAGGTAGCAAATCAGATTACAGCTGCAGCTAAGGTAAGCAGCCCCTGCAGCATTCATTCATGTATCTTGATATTTTTTCACGTATTTGTGTTATGGATGTTCAGCCTACAAATGTAAAAGGTAAAAGAGGAGTTCTTGGAAGAACTAATTGTCCAATATAATATTTTTATAATGACTGAGCCATTGTTACAAATCATTTCAGAATTATGGATGTTCAGTTCACCATGTTTTCATAAGGTGGCTTTGGTGGCAGTATAAACTACTTACTGTTATGTGAAGGAAACCTTGCGAACAGAATATTGTGGCACTTCCATTTAAAGTTCCTTGACTTAAGTTTTCTTCCATTTAGGGTTCAATTTCAGTGATGCCAAGTCCATAATCCCAGTGTTAAAATTCCTCCATTTAATATTTTCTTCGTTTTAATATTAAAATCAGTTGTTACCGAAATAAACCTTGAATGGACATTTAACTATATGGAATATTGTTCTATGCCTTTCTATTTTTATTTTGTTACTCATTGTGTACACTTACTGTTGAAAATGAAGCTGTCATTTTATTATTTTAAAGATTCTCTTTCCTCTTTATGTTTCCATTTGAGGGCATGAATTATGCAAACAAGACACTTTGTGAATTTGTGTGATTGTTATTACAGCTACTACTGAAGCAAAAGGCAGACAGTTTACGAGCAGAGGCAGAAGAAATGTTAGAAGGACTTCAGTCATCTCCAAAATCATGCTAAAGTTTAATGAAGACTGATTGACACAACATGATTTAACTTGAAAACTGTTAGGGATGGTATGTTATGCCTCTTATTAAATGGTGATGGGCTGTATTTCAGGGATAGCCTAAAAAATACAGAACTGATTTCACTGACCTTGGCATCATAAAGTGGCATGCAATGAATTTATAAATTGGAAATCCTTTTTGATATATGGAAGGATCACCAGAGGAGCAATGGGGGCATTTTACGAACACACACCCATTTCACCTTATTTGTACTTTGGGTTGCATTCTCACCTGTGTTAATAATGTAGCATATTGCAGTGCAAGAGTAATGGTGTATTGTTTGTAACTGAAATATGAAAGAGGTAAGCTGACTCCAATTAATACAGACTGGTAAGCATTCCAAGAAGCAGAGTTTGGTTTATGGGGAGGAGGTGTCTGCATGTTGCATCTACAAAACCAGTCAGTGAGATTAGATGGAATTTGATATTGGAAGCAGAGAGTGAGATTATTAGGTAAAATTAATTTTGATTTTTATGCAGAGCCGTAAATTAATTTTTTTTTCTTTGTGCACTAACTTAACATAAAATATATATGCCTTGAAAGTTCCACATTTTGTATCATAATGAACTTTTTTTTGGAATACATTCCATATTTGATGTACAGCATACCAAAGTTGTGTGTATACACTGAAACGTTTTGCCATCTTGCTCAGTTGTATCCACTTCAGATCTAAATATTTAGATATGTTTTTGAAGGCAGGAATTCTGATGCTTCAGGAGTGAAACATTTTAAAGCAGGACTCTTTCCTGGAAGTTCTCTGGCCTGTATGATGCTGCAAAACTCAATGGTGTCCATGCTTAGATATGTAATTGTGTAGTGATTTAGCTCAGATGGGTAGTATTTTGCAAGTGATTCCAATTGTATGTGGTTTATGTTCATGGCACTATTCAAAGCTGGTGGTAGAGAGGATCACATTGCTTCAGGAAGTGACTCTGTGTCTCGTAGGTTACAGGTTTTAGTAATTAGAATAAATATTAGTGCTTTTTCAGCCCTTTCGTCATAACACTCAGTTTCTTAATGTGGGTTTTATGCACATATCACTTACATTCACATGTTGATTCATTTTGCAACATGTTTTGGTTTACTTGCATATCATTCATCAAAGTTATAAGCTTCACTGATTAAAATTGGGTCTTGAGCTAGCTAACCAAGCCAATTTCATTGTCTTCAGTATACTGTAACTTTGATTTTAACCTTCAGTTTTAATCAGTTAAACTTAAAACTCATGAATGATAATGGATTGTAAAATCTAGCAGTGTACCAACTCATGACAGTACTAATATAAGCCCTTATAAGTCACATTATTGACAAAACATGCTGTAAAATGAGTTAACGTGTGAATGTAAGTGATGTATGCATAAAAACTGCACTATAAAAACAGAATATTGTGAAGAAAGAACTGAAAAATCATTCATACATATTCTGTTACCATACCAGGATGCTGAAGTATAATATTATGTCTGGTGATTAGATTTGTTTGTTATTTATGGTTGTTCATGAAGATGTATAAATATAGATTAGTTCAAATGAAATAAAAGAGTGACACGGTTACATAAACATGTAACCATTGAAGAATAGGCATAAATTGTTGTATGCAAAAATGCACGTAACTGTAGTTATTGAAATTTATGATATACTGTTAACTGGAATTTTTTATTTATCATGAAAATTGAAGTAATTATTTGTAAAATTGTTAAAATATATGTACCAGTTATCAGATGTGACTGTCACTGGACTCTGAAATGTTGTATGGAGTTCATGTTCATTGACCTTCATGGGCAGTATGGAAAGGTGGCAGGTGTACAGATGGGCACCCTGTGCAGATCTGACTGTATGACTGAGATGAAACATGAAGCTTCTCTTTTCTATTCATGGAAATAATTTCTATTTGACCATTTTGTGTTAAGACTTAGTGAGTCAGTTAATTTTATTACTTAGAATTCCATCTTTTCTGCAACTTTCATTGATGTGCGGTAACTGTGACTGTTCGTCACTGTCACAATACATTTATGTATTTGTTCGCATCATGTATTGGCCTCACATGGCAGTCGTCGGGTACTGCCACATTTTTAGTGACTAGATGGGTCTGAATTCATAATTGGATTTAGTGAACTATTACAGATCCATGGCTACAAGTAATTGTAACTGTTTCACTAATTCACACACTAGTTCACTAGAGCACAAACTTAAGTCTTTTCAGCCTGCTGTGTCTTCACCAATTTTCTGGTAACAGCTTCCAATGGTGGATGTTCCCCTTCCTCTATGGGTTCCCGAACTGTTCCCATCCTCAGCTTCCAACTTCTAACAGCAACAGGTCACAACGACTGTACTGCAGCAGTCCTAACACACTCACTAACTCATCAACCAACATTTCACTGACTGATTGACTCCTCACTATCCAGCTTATAACATCTCAACATGGACCACATAGAAAACGCTGCTCCTCTGTTGCAGTACAATTGTTGCCATGGAGTTGTTGCATTTGTGTATATTGGTGGAGCCATTACCTAGCAACGGCTGTTATATAGTTGCATATTTTGCGGTCCTTGCCTAACAGTGGGTCTGCATGCCACACTGTCGAAGCCTCTTGGTTGGGAATGGCTTAGGCTTCCAGACACTTGGAAAAATTGTCCATAGCAATAAGGAAGTAGTGGTTTCCTTGGTCGCTCTGTGGGAAGGGCCCTTCCACATCAATGACTGTCCTATGGAATGGAGCCCTGACACTGTACTGATGCATTTGGCCCTGATTCCTGATTCGGGGGTCATGACTGGCTGCACAGGTGTCGCATTACCAGCAAGCCTTCTCAACATTGATTGCCTGGAGCCAGCGGTACCTTTGCTGAAACTTATTCAAGGTCTTGTGACATCCAAGTGACCTCCTGATGGTCCACCATGTAGTTCAGTCAGCATGTCATTCACTCTCCTCTGAGAGAGAATTATCTGGGCTATTTTCGATTTCCATCGATGGATTCCGTGTGGCGCTCTAGTATGCCATTCCTCAGAGCAAGGGATTTTCATTGGGCCCAGTAGCTTTTGTATGTGGGGCTGTGGTTGGTGGTGTATTTCCATTCTGGGCACTGTCCAGCCTCTGCTTTCTCCAGAATGGGCCCTATGTCCTGATTGTTCAGTTCTGTTCTCAGAGCCACTGGATCCCAGCTGACAGCTGCTACAGCAACTCAGACTGTGTAGCTTCAAATGGTAAAATGATTAGTGAATCATGTATTGAACAGGATGTGAAAGGAAGCAGGTATGGACTAATTTGATGTATATTTCATCATTTGCCTGGAGGGAGTGAGGAAAATCACAAATACCTCAGCGAGGAGAGTGGATGCCCCAGGCGGGATTCGAACTAGGAAGGTCCCTAGTGCAAGTCAGAAGCGTTGCAGCTTTATAATCAATCAGATTAACCTCTAGACTTGTATTCTGAGGAAGTGATCGATACTGGGGTACTGCAAGATCAATCAAGTGACCCACAATAATTAGCAACTTACACTTTTAAGTGTTCCAATATAAGTGTGAGGAATAATTAGCTGCTCATTGAAGACTGCTGTCATCTTGGATCTGACATCATATACTCTGGTAGAATTGTTTATATGACTATTGTATGTTGCTTCAAAAGATGCATGATCAGTCAGTACCATCTGGTGGGGAGTGGCGATACTGGATATTGTTACAAATAAGAAAGGAAAAAAGAAAGCAGGCAATGATTTCTTTTTATATAATTGACCTTGAAAACTTTCAGAAACCTGCTGTGTTTTTCAAGACAGCGTATTTCAAATTTTTTATACATACAGGTATTGAATCCTGATTTATTGTAACATCAATTGACATCATTTTACATTTTTCTCAAGGAATTCTCTCATGTATTTGTTCACCGTGTCAGGATCATCCTGCTGCACAAAATGATTGGCTCCCTTAACAATTCTTCCTTCCAGGTTCTTCACATACTTCTGAGCTGCTGGTACATGGGCTGGCAGCAGGTACCTATCTAGTTCACCAAATATTAGAAGTCCATGTGGTTCAATATCCAGCTTCATTTGTGACGGACTGGAAGGGCGAATTCTCAGAACATTAGCCCTATAGTAGTTCAGTGCAGGTGTTAATCCCTCTGCAACACACAGTTGTAGTTACAGAACTTATCATCATTCTGATCAAATCTAATAATGATCTATAATATTCAGCATATGAGTACAATTTGAATAAAAAGCTGCAGAATTTTCCATGGAAATAAATGCTAAGATAATTAAAATTATGGAACCAATTAGAAGCAACAGTAAGCATTAAAGGAACTATACTAGAACAGATTAATCTGTTTAATTACATGTCACAGAATGTATCCTGTGATGGACAAAAGATGTGAAAGAAAACACTGTAGTTTCTTTCAAAATACAGTACACTTAAGTTGTCTGGTATCCAAGCATCTAAAATTCTCATGCAGCCATAAAATATTTACCATTCTTATACATATACTTAAAAAAGTGGCAATGCACATATGGTCATAACATAATTTATATAAATGTATGTAACTAAAAAGTAAAAAGGTATAGTTTTTCCTGTGCCTAATTAACTAAGCACTATGCCATGAAGACATATGGAGGAGCAGTGGTATAGTTCCACCATTCTTGCCCTCACCACGAGATGGAGATCTAATCGCTAGCTTTATGCCCTGGCTGCCTTACCCCCAGGAAAGGGCCCCCAGTACTCATTACATAGGAGGCTTGAAGGAGTTGAAACATAACTATCAGTTAGCTTTCACCTGTTCTCTTCTATTTACATTTCAATTGAAGTCAGTTAAAAATTCTATTATTTGTGGAAAAATGGTTGGTCTATCATGTGAAATCCCAGTACTGGGGCATGGCAGTTATTGTTTTGTTTGTTTTGTTCCATAGAGGAGATATGATGGTCAAATTACTGGATGGCCACAGCATCCCTGTAAGGCATCATATACTCAAATAGAGCATAATGAACCAAAATTATACCCTCTATGAAATGGAACTGTAGAGGTGTGCAGTGCACTCTGAAGGACTCAAATTTAATACTGCTTTGAGCTGAATGTACCTGAAAGTGGATGTACAAAAATAAGTCGAGGCTGTTACAGAAAATGAGATGACTGGCATCTTACACTTGCTGTAAAGTGTGCTTGATTCATAAGTGTTCAAAATGCAAAACACTCACCTGGTTTGCTAAAATTATATTTAAATGCCTCAATATCTTCATCAGAAACAGTGAAAGGGGTTTTTGGGTTCTTTCCTCTGAACAGTCGTCGAAACCCTCTGAAGTCAAAAGACGAAAGGAAGAGTTCTGGCAGATATGGAAGTTGGAAGAAACACATGTACCTGAAGAGAATATGAAATTAATAATAATAGTAATCTTTAAACAGGAGAGAGATATAATCTGCACTGTTCTTAACCATCATTTATTTTGATAGGAACAAAGGGTATCGAAAAAGACTGTCGAATTTACAGTAGTATGGCCCCATCTGGAATTGATAATTTACTGATTTTTGTCCTGTTATACACTAAACATTTTTAAGCATATTTTATGTAGAAGATGTCAGTTTGATGTAGTGGTACATACTTCCAAGAAAACAGGAGCTCTTATTTGGACCTTGGCAAATAATTAATTGTCAGTTTCATCACTGTAAATGAGATATATCACTCATCAACAATGACTTCTTATTCTCACCATATCTTCAATATTTGACAGCATCAACAAAATAAAGTTTCTTATGTCATCTCTTTACAGAAAGCTGGGATTTGTTTTTGTGATGAGCCATTTTGGGGAAAATTTGAACTCTGTGTAAAATGTGGGTTATGGTAAACTGATATGAAACTGATTTATTCAGCATTCTGCATTCATTTTATATGCTTCATGCAAGTAATGCCTAACAAATAGACACTCTATTCTATAGTTACATACATACATATTAGAAGAAATAAAATAATTATTATTTGCTAGTGAATTTTATTATAATAAAAGAACTATAGTAAATTTTTTTCCTCATTATACTCACAAAGAACAGAAGAACTGTTTTGGGTTTTCTTTTGCAACTTCAGGAAAAGCTGGAAAATATGGAGCATCCATGATGATATAGCTTTGTACCATTTCATGGTGCTTCAGAATAAAATTCCATGCAATAGCACCACCCCAATCATGAGCAACTAAAATGATCTTTTGTCGACCTGAAATTACAGGAAAAGGTACAAGGTCAGGCTATATTAGTTAAGGGCTTCGTGCAATCTGCCACACTTAACCTACAATTTCTGATAGAGTAAAGTTGGACAAGACTGCACGTTTTCTGTTCTATGTTTTTTCTGGGCTAACAGTCCAAACAAAAAATTTAAAATAAATCAAGTGTATTCTTCTGTTAGAAACATGTAATATTCATAAAATCTTATCAGTACTTTAAGCAGAAAATAAAAGATGTGCAATATTACATGCTGTGTGGGGGTAAGAATGGGCATTTCTATAATATTTAGTCATAATTTTTATTTCAAGCTATTTACCTCACAGATGAGCAACAAACCTTGAACTAGCATAATGTAACACAAATCACAAATATAAACTTCCCCTTCCTATGACATATATTCTGCATACACCATTCCTCACAAGCTCCACCCTGGATCCACTCCTTCAGAAGATCAGTGAACTGCTCAGGACAGATACATTCTTTTCCTTATGTTTGTGTATTTACGTTTTTCCTGCCCTTTTCTCTTTACATCGTGGGTCTTGAAATGTGCTCTGAATGGTGATTCAGTTAACGGCTCTGATTTCTTCCCTGTTTAACAGTGGTTTTGAGCAGCCTGTGCCCATGGAAATAGTGATATATCCACTCGGACATAACGGCACTGACTGCAACAGTTGCTTATAACATTTATATTAAAGGTTGTTCATTCATACCAGCTGAACAGTAGTTCCTTGGGGAAGAAACACGTTGCAGTTGAGAGAAGAAATTCAAATTTCAGAAAATATTTCCTTGTTGAATACACATACTCGGTCACCCCAAAGCCCTTCACTGCATTCCAAATTGTAGCTGCTTTAACACAGGCCTTCGTGAAAATAGAAGCCACCTGTTGAATTAGTAATCTGAGACCTATGTGATCAATCGCTCTCTTATCACACTCAAAGAGCAGAAAGCCTTGAGAGGTCCAAATGAATACCTATCAAGGGACTGGGATTTGCGGCTACTGTGAGATGGAATGGAGAGCATATGAATATGAGATTTCCCTGTAGAAATCAACTGCAGGGAGAGAAGTAGGTCTATGCACACTAGAGATGAACCCATACTGTTACTGCAAAGGGATGGAAATTTTATATCTCACTATGGGACAAATACATTGGTAGGCAAACCATTTATGTTGATAAATATTGTAAGTATGTGCCTTGATTGTTGTATGAGGGTAAATCAGAAATTATCTGCACTTTCTCCATAACACATCTTTAGGTTTGTCACACTGCCTCTTACGCATGCATTGTTAGAGTTGGTACGACTGTGGTCACGTGATCGAAGTTTTACCTTGATCGTATCATTTTCCTCGATGCTGTGACAGTGTAAACATGGCTGCTCTGCTAGCATTGTGCACCAATGATTAACAAAGAATAGTGATCCAATTTCTCTGATTGGAAGGTGTATCAGGGGCTGAAATTCGACTCAATATTTCGTGGGAAAGGTGATGCTAACCGTTTTGTGGGACTCAAAAAGGCCTACACTGGAAGACTACCTGGAAAAAGGGTGTACAATCAACAGTGCAAGATACAGTGATTTGCTGGTCAACAATCTGAAGCCTTGCTGGTCAACAATCTGAAGCCAGCAATTCGCACCAAACGTCGAAGCCTATTGTCGAAGAAAGTGTTGTTGTTGCATGACAATGAACACTCACACAAGGACGACCAGACCGTTGAAACCATTAACCATTTGTGTTTCGAGGTGCTGGAACACCCTGCCTACAGCCCAGATCTCGCCCTTTCTGACTATCATCTCTTTGGACCGCTCAGAGATGTTTTACGGGGTTTTTGATTTTCTACGGACAAAGAAGTGGGGGAAGCGGTGCATAAATGGTTGCGCGACCAACTGAAAACCTTCTTCGTTGAGGGAATACGCAAGCTTTTGGACTGCTGGACCAAGTGCATCGAAAAGGGAGGAGACTATGTAGAAAAATGAAGTACTTGTTCAACCCCTACTTTTGTATATATGGATTGGAAAAACGAGTGCGGATAATTTTTGACTTCCCTATGTATAAAGTCATTATGGTACAGTTGAAAGTCTTCTAACAAGAAATCATGATACCTTACTTTCTGGGCCTCTCTCATATCTGACAAATTTAACCTAGTCAAAATCCACAGTATGTTCTTCCCAGAGTTAAAGGAAACAGAAGTAGTGATGGAAGTAGTAATGGTGGTGATGGGCTGCGCCATAGCTCAAGCATTAGTTGCTGGCTTCCCACCGTGGTGGCCCGGGTCTGGTCAAGTGGGATTTGTGGTGGACAAAGTGGCACTGGGGCAGGTTTTCTCCGAGTACTTCGGTTTCCCCTGCCAATCTTCATTCCACAAATTGCTCCACAATCACCTATCATCTGGGGCTGGTACAATAGGCCAGAAGTGGCCACAGTATGAGGGACTTAGTCTCACCGCACTAGCAATAAAAAATGGTGTTGATGGTATACACCCTGTAATATATCTACAGCTGGAAGCAATAAAAATCTGTTGACCAGACCCTCTCAGAGGTTGACAGAGGCATGGGGCACTTCCATTTTTTGAGGTCCCAGTATATTAAAAAATGAAGAATGCCAAAACAGAGTTACAAAAACTGTGATACATTTACATGTTTACATTTAATAAATTAATGCTTTTAACATACAAAAATTATATCTGTCTGTATATGTATATGTAACTTCATTTGGAGATAATGCCAGAAGTCTAAATTTGAGGCTCTCTGTGAACGTGATGTCAGGACCAAATTCCCCCCGCCAGGTGATAAGTCCTGCCATTGACTACAACAGGATTCAATCATATTCTTGTCTGCTTACAAGCTAAAGTGCATTTTAATGTTCAACTGTACATTTATTTTACTCAAAAATAATATTAATAACACAAAATTTGTAGGACTGGAGGGCTGAACAACAGAAAGCAGATTTTATACAACCGCTTCTTAAGCTCTTACATGATATTTCTCTTCTTCATTGTCCTTTCAACATGACAGAGTCAACAATTCCATGACTTTCATCTAGTTCCTATTTATTCTCTGTTTAAAATGGGCAAAGTTTTCCATATCAGACCTATTTTAATCCAAATCCTTCTGTTACTGTCATTTGTAACTCTGTGTCTTCTTATCTTTCAAGGCTTCTCAGACGTTTAACTTTGGAATTTATGGTTTACAGTTGTTTTTATCTATGCAACTGACATTGGCCCAATGCCATTGTTTTTCACACTCTTACAAACAACTTCATTCTTGAGCATATTATGCACTACTCTGCAATTTTACACACTTTACTAACTTGACGCTGACTTACTACACATAAAAATCTACAATTGCATGTACAAGTACAATGATGGAAAGCTATCACATTACACACTTTGAAATTATTTTTCTCTGCATATTATTGAGTAAGCCCATTAACTGCAACTAAAATTTTAAATACTGATTTACATGGTCATTTGTCAGTTGCCTGATTTTTAAAGTGAAAATTGTAGATTTTTAAAATAGTACTTTTGGGCCTTAATGAAACCTATGTTTTATGTTACACAGCTTTGGGAAGGGGGTGACAGTGGTGGTGTCAGGTTAGAGACCAATGGCAGCCACTTGCAAACACAATGAGCCTTTGGGTTCCATAAACCCCAGGAATTTTCCTCATTATCTCCTCAAGAAGGACCCTGCTCCATGCAGATACTATGTTATCCATTTCTGTAACCTCAGCAATTTTTTGAGACTGGAAAATTTTCGTTAAACTACATACATGTAAAATATTGATAGTACAAATGAGAATCAAATGCACAGATAAAAACCGAGTAGTTTTTAAATGAAACAGCTTGATAGACAAATGTGTTTCTTTTTATGCACTTTGCCCAAAGAATTAAGGAAAATATACAGATAATTATGGCGGACATCCCAACCAAGATTCAAACTGAGCACCTCAGAAACAGTAGTATAGCTTTACACCTATGCCAAGCTGTCTGTACATTTATTTCCCTAAATGTACATTCATGTCTCATTTTCTGTTTCTCATTTGAAGGTTCTCTGATTTATTATTTCATTCTTATGTTCCTGTGGCCCATTTATGGTTTGTATTTATTTTAGTGTTTATATTCTTTGCCCACCAAAGAAACAAAATGGTATTTCACCTAAATACTAAAACACCAATCTGTATACAAACCTAAAGCCTCAACAACCTGCTTAATATCATCAACAAGATAGTCCATGCTGTAGTACTTTACACCAGATGGTTTCTCCGAGTCCCCGTAACCTCGCATATCTATTGCGACTGTCCTGAAAATGGAAATGAATGCATTACAAATTAGTTATGGCTCTGGAAAAACTACCCTCTATCAGGTAAGCAAAAACTGAATAAGCATGAGGATTTGATGGCACTGTATAAGAGACTAGGTCTGACAGTTGACATTCTATAGGATGAGCCAAAAGCCCTTGTTCACCTACCATAGCCAATGAGTATATTCAGACACCCCATGTACAGTAATACAGATACATTTCTCATTTACGTAAGTTACAACCAGTGTTGGATATGGCCTCCACGATTGTAGACACATGTTGTATCTACACATCTTACCTTGTTGGCAAAGTGACAATTCAAACAGAGGAATGTTCCTGATGAAATTTGTGATGGCTTCCTTCAGTTCAAGAATATCGTGAAAAATGTCTTTGTAAACTGCAGCTTTCATTTCTCCCCACACCCCCTCTTATTCTGTTGTTTTTATTTCTACTATGAAAAGTGCTGGTTAGCAGTGTTAACGATTATGAGCTTAAATTCTTCAGAACTAAAAAAATACCCAATTTCTGGAGTGACTGGTTTTAATAATTACTGCCATTGATTTTACTTCCAACATTTTCAGATATTTATTAGCTACAGTTATCTCATGAAAGCCCATTATCAGACCCTGACACAGATGGTAGGAATATACTGTCTTGCAACCAGGTCCAGAATTAAAACTGTGAGGGTCAAAATGTGGAAGCCCTATCAGTAAAAACAAATTTAGATTATGGAAATTATATTTGTTATTGTTATTATTATTAGAATAGCTAAAATATGTGTATTAAACTTTTGTCATTTTAGAGCAGCAAATTTCGAGTAACTTATGTGGATTCTATTTCTGTTTTGTGGAGGTCCTGGGGTGACCACTCCAGTTGCTCCACCTTAAATCTGGCCCTGCTTGTAACCATATTTAAATGCAGGGTAATGGCATTTGTATTTCTGTTGAAAAGTGTAACCCTCAGGCAGCTGGGCTGTGCAGTGTACCGACCCAAAAATATGACATATGATGGATAAGGGTTAGGATATATCTGAAGGAAAGGGGGGGTAAGATTGTGGATTGAATCCATCTGTTTATGGACAGTGTCCAGTGGCAGACTTTTGTGGACATAGTACTGAACCCTGGTGTTCCATAAGAAATGGGGTATTTCTTGACTAGCCGAACAATTATTAACTTGAAGAAAAACTCAGTATATTGAAGTTAATCATTTTATTATTTTGTTTCCAATATTTTTATGACATGTTCATATTCTTGATTTTATTGTAATTATTGCAAGACATGTACCTTTACCAGTCTATGAAAGATTATGTTATTCTTAATGAGCAATGAAAGCAGAATGCAGTGCTTGAACTAACTCTGAGCTGCTTAGTTTCATTTTATTACAAATGCATAATTGAAGCAATATGAATGCTAAAACTAAATTCTACTTGTGTTCTGTGTATTATTGGTCTAATTAGAAGTATCATTATATTCATTCCATTTCTGTATGTTGACTTACCAGTAATCTTTGGAGAATTCTTTCATTTGATATCTCCAGGAGTACCAGAATTCAGGAAACCCATGTACAAACAGCATGAGAGGCTTTGATCTGTCTCCTTTTTCAACATAATGTATTTTGATACCCTGTACATAAATCAAATAAATGTAATACAAAATTATTTGAAAAGCATGCTATATCATTATACATGCTAGTCATACTAGTAACACGTACTGAAACAAATGATTGTCCTTTTTTAGCTTACGTTCCTTATTTTGAAAGAATAAAAGTAGGTTTACAAAATCACCCTTCTGTCTTTGTGTCTGTATGTGTATCCCCACCTAATGTCTGAACCAGTCTTTATGAAACTTGGTATGCATATCATGGAACATGACCTCATCTCAAGGCCACACTTCATAAAACCCTTCTGTCACTAATACCAGCATTACAGCCTCTCAAACTGGTGAAGCAAAACCTTAATATTACTTGAATTCCCATACCAATCTTCATGAAACTCAACAGTGTACTTTGTAAGTCCCTGTTGTCAGTAATACCAAGTCTGCAGCCTCTCAAATTATATTTCTTCTTCGTTATGCATACACACCAAGGTTTCTTTCTACTTGTCATACCAAATACTGAGATTGTAGTGAAAGGAAAGTAGATTAGTTCTTCAAGAATTTCATGCTTAATGATAACATGTTGTCACTTTTTGTAAGGGAAGTATATGATTTGAAAATATTTGAAAACAAAGTGCTAAGGGAAATGGGTGCAGTAAGGAATGTAAAGAGTCATGTGGTGAGGAAGAATTTTGTGATTCATATTGTTCTCCAAAGTATTGTATAGGTTATTGTCATTGCATATTTCAAATGCAATGTATAAAATGAACACTTTTGGAAGTCATATCTGAATGTTTCAATATAAGAACTATTAGTACTTGACAGTTAGTTTTGATGTTTGAGCATTCACGATGACATTTCTTGATGTGTAGATTTACACATAACAAAAAATTTATATAGTGAGCATTATTCATAGCTTAAGTGCATATTGTTAAAACATCTTATGTGACAGTGTTTCCTGATCGTAGTGGTGCGCCTCTGAGGATGATTCTTTTGAATCAAAACATGTAAAGTGAATAAAGACTGAAGTGTTGTAAACCTTATGTCACACTGGACTGAAAATTATCCACTTTATGAATATCTATTAGTTTCTCAACGTTTCTCTGTGGAGATGGTCTGGTTTATGTGCATGTAACATCTGTATCATATGTAAACACAAATCCACCAAATCATGCAGCTGTTACTTGAGTGTTCCCACTGACAGAGCAAAAATATATCAAATTAAGCCAGGATTAAAAGATTGGATTATCTCTTTTATCTTATTCCTTACATTTACTCCCTAGAAGAATTTAGTTTTGGATATGCTAGCTCTGTGATTTTAAGCTTGCTCCAGAATACGTAAAATTCAATACTATTGCTAACAGACATATATACACCGAAATTATCAACACACCTTATCAGCCCAAATAATGATAACCTGATGTTTCTTAAAGGTCACCTTCAGTATATAAATCATGTTGCATATCAGTACAATATTTGGCCCGACAAAAGTACAAAGGTGAATTAAAGATTGCCTGGAATTCTAAGATTACTGACAAATTAATGAATGTAAAAAATAAGCAATTCTTTTATATTTTCCAGTTAGGAAGTCTTAGTGCTTATTCTATTCCTGTTCAGTGTCAACATAGAGACATGGTTCAAAAAATGTTGGCTCAATTCACCAGCCAGACAACATTTTATTTGCTAGCCACTTCTCTACAAGAGAAATTGTGCCTAACATTCTGCTATAATTACTTCACGCTAGCCTACTTATTATTCAGTAACAAACAAAATGTATAAAACATGCACCGATTTTTGGCTTTCACGGCTGTTATCTACTGAAGCCAATTTGTTTTTGTGTTGTTGCACTGTTTGGTTGATGATGATGTTACAGGTACATGCTGCCTTCATATTCAGGGTGGAGGCAGCACTGCCCACAACCATATGTTGTAACAACCCAAGAAGTGAATTAATATTGATATAAAATACTGTGATGGATTTGTGATTCTATGAAAAGTTGGGTGTTCAGGCTTACAGTGGCACGTAGTTTGGAAAAAAGCCATAGATTTTTTAGGAACATGCTGCCTCCATTTTTGGCGCCAAAGAGTACGCAAAGAAAGAAGCCAGAGAGAAGCTTGCCACTTGCTTCTTGCTGTGACAGTGAATGAATGCAATGAAATCGTGAGCAATTAGTTGTGTTAGTATGAAACAAATTTCATATTTTCTGGAGATTGTCCCTACCAGCATCATCAGGAGCTGTTCATTCCATACTGATATTGGTTCTTGATGTAGAGACAACAGATTTTATGTGAGTGACATTTCTTTACTTAAAACCCCACATGTTGCAGCAGTGAATGTTTGAAGTTATGTTTACGAAAGCATTGGAAACTGCCATTAACTGGATCATGTCTTTACTTAAGAACTTGTCCATACTGTTTTAATTTTATTCCATATAGCTGTCTTTGTCTTCTTGAAAATGACTGTCTGGTTTCCATTTCTTACCAAATTCATTCAACACTATAATAACGCATATTTTCTCATTGCACTTCAGCAAACGCACCATTTTGGCGTAGTATGGTTCATGTGTCCATATGTAACGGTCATTTCCTTCAAGATTGTAAGATATGTCTGCAGTAAGATAAGAATAAATGGGTTCAGAAGACAAACCCCTGGCTAACCCATTTGTTATAGCTATTAAGATTAGTTAATCTTAATAGCTATAACATTTTGTAGGAAATTTATGGCTATTCTCTTTATGCGTAGTTTGCTCCACAAATATACATGGTGTGTTCCCTATATAATGCTTCCTATTTTTTTGTGTTAATATGTAACGCCTGAGCTGGATATTGGTGGTNAACATTCCCGCCAATGTACTGTTAATTTGGTTGTCGTGCGACAGATAGCGACAGCAGAGCAGTCTACCAAATTGGTGTCTGACATAGAAGTGCGTATGAAAGAGAAATGTGTTATTGAATTTCTCACTGCCGAACAAATTGTACCCATTGACATCCATCGACACTTGCTAAAGGTGTACAGAGACAATACAGTGGATGTAAGCACAGTGATTCGGCGGGTAGTGCGTTTCAACAGTGGCGAAAGTGAAGTGCACGACAAGCCACGCCATGGGCATCCCTGCTCAGCTGCCATTCCTCACAATGAACAGCGCCCATCCGAACAGATCAGCAGATAACGACCAGGGACTGTCAATTATGAACGCTACAAGACAACGCTGGCAAAGCTGAAAGCCCGTATTTTCCGAGTCAGGCCAGAGAAGCAGACAACCTTTCGCTTGCAACACGATAACGCTAGACCCCATACCAGTTTGGCGACCACCGCGCACATTGCGAAGTTTGGCTGGACTGTCCGACCACATCCACCTTATAGCCCCGATTTAGCACCTTCAGACTTCCATCTCTTTGAGCCTATGAAAGACGGACTACGTGGGCAACATTTTCCAGACAACGATGCTGTCATTGCAGCTGTAAGAAAGTGGCTAGCCTCTGCTGGCGCAGACTTTTACGGGCGCGGCATACAGGCTCTTGTTAATCGCTGGCAAAGCTGCATAACGAATGGTGGTGATTATGTGGAAAAATAGCTGTAAGTAGCTGAAATATTGCTCTATTTAACTGCGTTATTATGATTTCTGTATCTGTTGTAGTTTTCTTTAAAAAAAATAGGAGGCATTATATACGGAACGCCCTTAGTACTATTTTGTCAAATGAAATGCTTTTTTAAAAATATGTACGCACTCATATACAGGGGTGGACAAAATAATGGAAAGACTGACGAGTAAGGAATAGCATAGTAGTGGGTCTGGAACGGAGTCCACTCAGCCTCGTGAGGATAATTGGGGAGCTACTTCAAGGAAATAGCGGCTCCGGTCTAGAAAACCGAGATTAACGTCCGTGGGAATCCGTTGCGCTCACGCGCCACCTTCTATCTGCAAAAGTTGGCACTACACCGACAAGCGGCGGTCGCTCGGTCTGTAATCGTTCGCTTGCGGACTAAATGCCACGGAGTTCTTTTTACCAACCTAGAACTTACATGATAAAGGATGAGAATGGTGATCTGCTTGCAGATTCCCAAAAAACTTTGAATAGGTGGAATTATTACTTTTCTCAGCTATTGAGTGTACACAGGGCTAGTGAATTGTGCAGATGGAAATACAAATGAGCCATTTGTACCTGAACGTGATGTGTTGTTGGGGGTTCCACCGGGAATTAAAAAAAAACGGCTGTATGACTGACGTAGCCTTCGTAACATGACAAACTACGTACATCATACCTTGAAGATGACATTCCTTCCAACTAGCTGTAGAAAGTTAACTGAAAACTGGATAATAAGCTATAGAATATATATTACTTCATGTGATTGCAATACGTGACCGCCTCTGTGGTCTAGTGGTCAGAGGTCCTGGCTACGCTTCCAGAGGTCCGGTTTCGAGTCCCGGTGCTACCAGATTTTCTGAGAAGTAGTGGATCTGGAACGGGGTCCAGTCAGCCTCGTGATGATAATTGAGGAGCTATTTCAAGGAAATGGCGGCTCCGGTCTAGAAAACCGAGATTAACGGTAGTGGGAATCCGTTGCGGTGACCACGTGACTCCCTCTATCCGCTAAAGTTAGCACTAACTTCGCCTACAAGCGGCGGTCGCTCGGTCGTGATAGTTCACTTGCGGACTAAAACCATGGAGTTCGTTTGTTTTTGATCGCAGTACGTGTAAGTATGCATATATGATACCGTATATGAATACAGTGATATTTTGAAAAAATTTGGTAAGAAAAGATAGGTTATGTACTTACTTTAAGGGAAAGATATCCATGAACTCCAAGGTCAGGGTCTGTGAGGCATTTCGGTGGTTTATCTCGCTTCTTCACTGGAAAAGCGGACGGATTCGAGACGTAACGAATGGCTAAACGTACGGACGTGTAGAAACCAGCAATACATGCAATAGTGTACACAAGTATAGTCTGCAGCAATGCCATGTTCACTCTTCTAGATGGAATGCGGGCAGACTGAAATAAACGTGAGGCCACAGCGATAATACAACTGACCAATGATGACAATGCGTTACCAGTTAAGGCAGTCGAGTGGCTCCACCCGAGTCTTTTCGGCCTTCGAGTCTATGCCATATAATGTTTCATGTCTCCCCCTCTTCTCAAACATTTCCTAGTTGTCAAGCTACATGCGCATGCGTAAAACGAAGAACACAGCATGGGCCTACCTACCTGTCACCGTTTAGCACTTACGTCACGCATCAGTCCGTCCGTCGCGTAACTGCAAAACGAGGAGCTTCATAACTCGTACTCTTCTCCAAGTATAATTAGAATGATCAAATCAAGGAGGATGCGGTGGGCAGGACATGTAGAACGAATGGGGGGGGGGGAGACGAATGCATGTAGGATATTGGTGGGGAAGCCAGAAAGAAAGACACCACTGGGAAGACCCAGGCGTAGGTGGGTGGACAATATTAAAATGGATCTTAGAGAGATAGGTTGGGATGGTGTGGATTGGATTGATCTGGCTCAGGACATGGACCAGTGGAGGGCTCTTGTGAACACGGTAATGAACCTTCGGGTTCCATGAAATGCTGGGATTTTCTTGAGTAGCTGCAGAATTGGCGGCTCCTCAAGAAGGGCTCAGTCCCGTTAGTAAGTAATCCGTCCGTCGCGCTTGCAATCAACAATTTCAGTGCAGTCCTACTGAATGTCTAATATCTAGTAAACCGGAGTGAAACGGAAAGTTTCATGGAGGTAGGTCAAGGCCCAAATTTGGGCTGTAGCGGCAATTTAAACAAAAAAATAGAAAACAGATCTTGAAAATTTTGGCGGATACTAATGAAATCTACGCATATTAGAGGGATTACAGAAATACTACAAAGAAATGCACGGAAGCTCTCATTGGCTCTAGTAAGGAGGTTGGTCTACACATAAACGCAGAAAACAAAAGTTGATGTCCTGTCACCAAAATGCAGGGCAAATCATAACATAGAAACAGCTAATAGATCCTTTGAGAATGCGGCAAAGTTCAGATATTTGTGAACGATAGTAGCATATCAAAATGTAATCACTGAGGAAATTAAAAGGAGGTAGAATTCCTGTCATGCTGCCAGCATTCAGTTCGGAATCTTCTGTCTTCCTGTATGCTGTTTAAGAACGCAAGGTATAAAATATACGAAAATAAGTTTTACTGCTGTTTTGTATGGGTGTGAAACTTGGTCTTTGGTATTAAGGGAAGAACACAGGCAAAGCTGTCCTTGTGCTTAACTAATTAAGCACTACGCCATGAAGGCGTATGGGGGAGTGGATGTATTGATCCACATTGTCTTGATCTCGGCAGCAGTTGAAGGCGAGTGGTCAGCTTCATGCCCCTGCCGCTCTATCCCCGGGAAAGAGTCCCCGGTGCCCATTGTATAGGAGGTTGGGTGGACCCCAGAGCCGGTCTCGACGACGTGGAGAAGTGAAATTTCCTAACCCTACCGGGACTCGAACTCCGACCTCTCGGTTGTCCATCCCGTAACCAGTCGCTATACCGCCTGAGCTCACCCGGTTGTCAAGGGAAGCACACAGATTGAAAGTATTTGAGAACAGGGTACTGAGGAGAATATTTTGACAGAAGGGAGTTGAGATGGTAGGGGTTTGGAGAAAATTGCGTAGTGAGGAACTTCATAACTCGTATTGTTCTCCAAACATAACTAGAATAATCAAGTCAAGGAAGATGCGATGGACAGCATGGTGGGAGAAATGGAATGCATATACAGTTTCTCTGGTTAAGCCGGAAGGAAAGAGACCACTAGGAAGACCTAAACACGTGTGGGAGAATCATGTAGTATGGACTGGATTCCTCTGACTGAGGATAGAGATCAGTGGCGGCAAGGTAGTGACACTTCTGTTTCCATAAACTGCTGGGAAATTCTTCAGTAGCTGAGCGACTGGCAGTTTCTCAAGAAGGGCTCAGCTTCGTGGAGTTAGGAAAAAACTAGTAAATACTTTCTAACGTTCACCGTTAAGATTTATTTAGAATTTTACTTCATTGTATTTCCAGTCGTACGTTTTCTATGCATCTGGTAGTGTTTCCCCATTCTGATGACTGTGTGCGCTTAGATTGGGAAGTGGGTCGTGTCATACCTCAGGCAGTTAGTCGCCGGACATCGTCCACAACGGCCCGGTTTCTATTCCAGATCTGGTTATGTGGGATTCTTGTTGAGAAAAAGTGGCACTAGGGCGAGTTTTTCCCAAGTAATTCTCTTTCCTCTTCCAATTATCCTTCCAAAAATTGCTGCGCATTCGTTAATCATATTGCCGACGCTGTATATACTCTCAGTACTGCGAGTGTTGTAAAATAATCATTTTAGACGAAAATAAAGACGTTAGAAAAATTTAGTGTAAATAGTAGAAGAAATATGTGATGATGCAAAGTTTCATTTTTAGAGTCAGAATCAGCCTCGTGAGGATAATTGAGGAGCTATTTCAAGGAAATAGCGGCTCCGGTCTGAAAACCGAGATTAACGGCCGTGGGGATCCGTTGGGCTGACCGCGTAACACCCTTTCTCCTCAAAAGTTGGCACTAACTTCGTCGACAAGCTACGATCCCTCGGTCGGTATAGTTCGCTTGCGGACTACAGGCCACGGATTTTTTTTTCGTTTTTTGTTTGAATCGAATAATAATTCAGTGTCTGTTTCATGCAGTGTACTGCGCTTCATACGTAAACGTAAAGTCCGTATGGTTAATTAATTAAGCACCATCACATGATGACTAACGGGCGAGTGGGGGTACACCTCTGTCATTGTTGACTACACAACATTATAGTTTTACGTTTTCATGTTTGTAGACAGCAGAAGAAGAGCAGGCAACACATACCTACATATTCTTATATTTTATATGTTCCTTCATGTTTACTGCGTTCTAAATGAAAAGTGCTGTTTCTTTGTGTCAGTTATACAAGACATATTAAGTATTTGGGTGCAAGTATTTACACCATAACCATTTCTATATAACATTTCAGGCATTATCAAAGTTAGCTCCTTTTCTTGCCTTAAGATAAAGTAACAGATGTACCTCAATTCCTGAATGAGCTTCAGTTAGGAATAAATTATTCCAATATATTTAGGGAAAACAATTTATCCAAGATTATTGACTCTGATGAAATTAAAAGAGAATCGCAGTTTTATTTTCGTGATGTTTAAATGTACAAGATTTGAGGTTCTCACAGCGGTAACTATGAAGACCACAGTCTTCTAGAATGCGACGCCATGTAGTCTGGTAGATAGTTACTGATGTTTTGGTGCCTCCATCTTCAGGATAAAAGTTAATCCGCTACACTGAATATTAAGGAAGCAAGTTCCTCTAAAACTGCGGCAACGAACTACCAGATTATATGGTGTCACATTCCAGAGAGCTGTAACTTTTATTTTCCAATATAATTTTTCTGTCTCAGATAGAGCCACTACAGTTTTCTAATCAGCCTTTAATACATAATCTTCATCTTCTGTTAACATCAGTAATTAACCATATTGAAAGCCTAAAATCAGTAAGAATCTACGTTAACAATTCCTCCCACCTGCAACATTATATCAGTACGTAGCCGGCACAAAGTTTTAAAGAGGTTTATAATAGAATATGTATCACAAATATGTCTATCTGTGTACAATTTTAATTTTAATTTTAATATTTACCGTCTAAACATCAAGTTTTAACTGTAAATTCAAATTGTGTATATAAACTCATAAGAACACAATATAGATCCATATTGAATTAAGACGCAATTCAAGAACTAATACTAGTATTGTTGTACGCCTGATTATAACCCAACCTAAGGGTCGAAACAAGTAGCGGCAACAAATAAAATAAATGTTGATACAGTAGTGTCTACTTTGTTTTTTTCCCCCGAAATATTGTTGTGTAGACTGCCCCCCATTATATACACGTATATATGGCACACAAGGGTGTTTGAGAACAGAGTGTTGTGGAGAATGTTTGGACCGAAGAGAGATGAAGTCACAGGAGGATGGAGAAAACTGCATAATGAGGAGCTTCATAACTTGTACTCTTCTCCAAGTATAATTAGAATGATCAAGTCAAAGAGGATGAGGTGGGCAGGGCATGTAGCACGAATGGGGGAGACGAGGAATGCATATAGGATATTGGTAGGAAAGCCAGAAGGAACGAGACCACTGGGGAGACCAAGGCGTAGGTGGGCGGACAATATTAGAATGGATCTTAGAGAGATATGATGGGATGGGATGGATTGGATAGATCTGGATCAGGATAGGGACCAGTGGAGGGCTCTTGTGAACACGGTAATGAACCTTCGGGTTCCATAAAATGCTGGGAAGTTCTTGAGTTGCTGCAGAACTGCCGGCTCCTCAAGAAGGGCTCAGCTCCATGAGTAAGTAAGTAAGTATATGGCACACAACAGGATGCATGCTATAAAGATTGCTGTATGGACAGTGAGTTTCCAAAATTTGTTCTCCAAAATCTGTGATCTCCATTTAAATCATTCAAATCTCTTGTTTTCTTACTGGCTGCTTCTCAGAAATTCTCTGATGTGTTTGTTCACCGAAACAGGATCATCTTGCTGAACAAAATGGTTGGCTCCCTTTACAGTCCTCACTTCTATGTTCTTCACATACTTCTTAACCACTGTCACGTGTTCGAGTATTAGATAATCGTCAAGGTCACCAAATAAGAAAAGTCCAGGCGCGTCAATATCAATTATATTCTTCGAACTTTGGGCGGTGCTTGCCGTCTTCATCATGTGTCGATAGTAGTTGATAGGAGGTGTTAATGCACCTGGAAAAAAAAATATAAATAGGAGAACAGAACAGCAGACACGTGTAAAATCCTAATAAGTTTTTCTAGAGTTGAAATTTGGCTGCAAAAACAAGACACGAAATTTACTTGAAAACATTAAATAAATTCCTAAGGTAAAGTCATCCCTGTGCTTAATTAATTAAGCACCACGCCATGAAGATGAATATAGATGTAGCGGCACAGCTCAACTAATCTTGTCTTAGGCACTAGATGGAAATGAGTGGTCAGCTTCAAGCCCCTGCCGCTTTACACCTGGGGAAACAGCCCTACTGTACCCATGTGCAGTAGGCTGGGTGGAACACAGAGCCGGTCAGGACTGTAGGGACAACTGTCCCTACAGTCCTGTATCTACCCTGTGCTCTGTCTATAATTGGCCTTGCGGCTGTTGACTCGGCGCAAAAATAAGGAAGAATTGAATTGAATTGAACTATTATTATTCCGGTCTATAAAACCGAGATTAACGACCGTAGGTATCCGTTGCGCTGACCACACGACACCCTCTCTCCGCTANTTAGATTTATATTAATGAAATTATTATTATTATTATTATTATTATTATTTGTTTGTTTCTTTCTTTGCTTGTCTGCATTATTGTGTTTTCCTCCAGTGCTTGCCTGTAATTTGTCTTTGACTTAATGTTGTGTTTGTCCATAATGTAATTACTCGTACTTGTATCTACCCTGTGCTCTGTCTATAATTGGCCTTGCGGCTGTTGACTCGGCGCAAAAATAAGGAAGAATTGAATTGAATTGAACTATTATTATTCCGGTCTATAAAACCGAGATTAACGACCGTAGGTATCCGTTGCGCTGACCACACGACACCCTCTCTCCGCTAAAGTTGGCACTAACTTCGCCGACAAGCGGCGGTCGCTCGGTCGGTACAGTTCGCTTGCGGACTACAGCCACGGAGTTTGTTTTGTAGTGAATAATGAAGCTGAAAGGATGTGGAAGATAGTCACTGTGTCATAAATTGAGGTACTACCCCAGCATTTTGCTCGAGGGTCTATGGAAAACTGCTAGAAACCTCAACCAGGTTAATTCATGTCCAGTGCGATATTCGAACAGAGCACTGCCCATACGAATACGAGAATCGCCGTTTCAACTAACTAGCTCGATTTGTACAGTTGAGAAAATATCGCTAAATACCCAAGAATATATAAACCAAAGAGTATTCACCTGGCTGGCTGAACGTGTATTTATATGCCTCAATATCTTCATCGGTGACAGGTGAAATCTCTTTAGGTTTTCGCCGTCTGAGAACTTTTGCAAAGGCGATGAAGTCAAAAGCTGCAATTGCTATTTCAGGCAGGTATGGCAGCATGTAGAAGAATAGATACCTGTGTGAAACATGAAATACATTATCAAATACAATAAGTTGCGCTAGAATAGTCCAATGTACAGGCAACTGCATATCACAATGACCCTGACTATTCAACTTCTCTCAGGATATAAAAATAGTTCCCTTTCTAGGAAACCGAGATTAAGGCCATGGGGATCATTGACACCTTCTATCCGCTAAAGTCGGCACTAACTTTGTCGACAGGCGGCGGTCGCTCGATCGGTATAGTTCGCTTGCGGACTACACGTCACTGAGTTTTGATCAAAGTAGTAAGTTATCTTAACAAGAGCTCTGATCTCAGGATGTACACAGTCGCAGTCATTTTAATCATACACCTCATCCTGCAGCACTTGAATGAAAACGTCTGTGAGGGTGAAACTATGTAAAAATCATGATGCATCATTTGAATCTTAATAGGATGCATCCTGTTCTGTGTCATACATAGGATATATGTGTATGATGGAGGCAGTCTACAGAGCAATATTCGTGAAAAACAAAATAGACACAATTCTTTATCAACATTTGTTTTATTCTGCTGTTGACACTACATGTTTCGGCCCATATACTGGATCATCATCAGGCGTACAGTAATACTAGTCCTAGTTCTTGAATTGCATCTAATTTTAGTATGGATCCATATTGTGTTCTTGTGAGTTTTAATTGCATAAATTGAATTTTCAGTTAAAACATAAATACTTAGACAACACAATTTAGAATTAAAAATTAAAACTTAAAAATTAACATTAAAATTGTACAGAAATGATATCTCTTTATAACTGTGTGGAAGTATCGTTTGAACATGAAAACACAAGGTACTACATACCAAGACATGAAGAACTGCTTCTTATTGGATAGCACAACTTGAAAAAATGTCGGCGTGTAGGGAGAATTCATGATAATGTAACTCTCCAACATATCATGATGCTTGAGTATAAAGTTCCACGCAATGGCGCCTCCCCAGTCATGGGCAACCAGGATGAATTTCTGACGACCTGAAATTAAGGAGAAGGAACATTGTAGAACAGTGAACATTGATATGCAGTGAAAAGAATTTCAGTGGCGGAGTATATGATAGGTTTAGAAAATAAAGATGTAATTCAGTTCGATGTTTTAACGGCGAAGGGAAAGAACAAGGAGAGGATACAGTATGAAATTGATGAAGGAAAGAAAGAAAGGAGATGAAGGAGGAGGAAAAGACAGAAGTAATTCCCAGTAGAATTTCAACGGGATTTCCCACGAGTATAAAGCCATGTTGTGTGTATTTAACGAAATGTAAGGACTGTGAACAGTGCGCCATTTCTGGTGCGTAAACAGAAACGTAAAGTAGGTGCATTTCAAATTGCGCCTACTCCAAATTTGGGCACAAAACACCGCCCTTATTTTCTCCAGCAGACCAACAGGAAGTATGGCTTTGGCACTGGTATTATTAATATCACTTTTTTAATTATGAATTAATTGGCAGTTGGAACAACTGTGATTAATGAGACCAGAGTTGTCTCTCACAAATGATTTCAGGCCTCGAAGTTCTTTGGCACTGGAACAATTAGTAAGGAATTGATTTCAATACGAACCCAAAGCTTCAACGACCTGCTTGACGTCATTAACAAGAATATCCATGGCGTAGTTTTCTACTCCGGGAGGTTTCTCCGAGTCTCCATAACCACGCATGTCTATTGCAACAGTCCTGTAATGATAAACAATATTTTCAAAATTGTAACTAAGTTTCTTGCCAATTTACAGTAACAATAGCTATAATTCAGAGCGTCCGAGGTCATTCTGGGGTCCGAAGAGGCGTTCTTAACCGTTATACATCTTAACTGAACAGTTTATTGAAATGAAGTTTAATTCAAGAAGATTGTGTCAAATTTCCGAATGAGACCTCACCTCCTCGTCCACTGTCCAGGTCCTACCACTTGACTTCTGAGATCTCCAGGTTGGATGCCCCATAACGTCTACTTGTGGAGTTGTACCATAAGTTCAGTGTTTATGTGTTCTGGGCAGGTGGATAACTTGAACTGAAACAACGGACCACTACAGCTGGGATAACGGCAGTTTCAGAGATAGGCTAATATCGGTTTCGGCTGGACACTTGTCGCATCGCGGAAGGAAGGCACGTGGAAGTTTTCTATCGGGAATATTTTTTAGTTAGACTTCATTCGAGGCAATTGTTTCTTTAATGTGAAGAAAATATAGTTTTTTAAGAGCCCGGAGTAATTTTATGGGCAACCTCTCTCTCTCTCTCTCTCAATGGCTCTACAGCCCTTTGTTGGGCCCTGGCCTCTTCTTCAGTTTCGTAATCTTTCTCACACAGACGGTAGGACTCCTTGGACGAGTGAGCAGCGCGTCGCAAGGCCTCTACCTACCCACACACAGGACAACATAAACACAGAATAAACGCACACGACATCCATGCCTCGAGTGGGATTCGAACTCACAATCACAGTGTTAGAGCGCGCGAAAACGGTTAATGCCTTAGACCGCGGGGCCACTGTGATCGGCCTGTACTGATATATGGGAGGTTATAACTTTTACCGATATACCACCTCTCCTAAGTGAAGTTTCTCGTGGTTTTCGTCAGTCCCTCTAGACAATGCCGGGCTAGTATTTCGATTAGATGATGGTCATTTCTTTCCCAATTATTTCTAATTCGCTTTCCTCCACCACGGTCTCATTCGACGCTTATAAAGGCTAGGCATCAAGTAGCGCCTCTATCGACGTTCCCGCGAACTCGTTACACTTCTTACAACTGATGTATACGTACTATACAGGGTGTTTCACGACTTTAGGTCATAACTGCAGGAGGTGATTTCCTAGGTCTTTGTGATCAAAAAAGTTCATATAAACATATGCCCGATTTTGGACGGTTACGGAGTTATGACCGTTTTAAAATCAGAATAGAAGGTAACGATTACTGACAATAAACGGAACAAAATAATAAACCAGCATAATACATGATACACTTAAAGTATGAACGTAAAGTTAACTTCGTGAAATTACCTTCAATTTGATTTTATTGGTGGTTATAGCTTATTTTCGAAAATTCCACCGTCGACTGCAAGACAAGCCGCCGCTCGGCTGTGAACTGCGCGGCTGGCACGTAGCAACTTGAGCTGGTTGTTCCTTATCTGGTCAGCGGCTTCCAGAATGCGAGCGAGCAACGCGTCTCGCGTTGCGACCTTCACATTGTAAACCAGTTCCTTCATCCCATCAGCACACGGCAGACTAGTATTCGCTAGCCTTGGCCGGATATGGCACCCCACCCACACGTTGAGATAAGCGACCGGCCAGCTGATAGGCGCGGTTCAGACGAGGGCGTGTGCGGGAATGAAAAAACGGTCATAACTCCGTAACCGTCCAAAATCGGGCATATGTTTATATGAAATTTTTTGATCACAAAGACCTAGGAAATCACCTCCTGCAGTTATGACCTAAAGTCGTGAAACACCCTATCCCTGTAAGAGGCCGCGGAGGCCGATAGGGTTGTGCGACGTCGAGCCTCCCACATTTTCCATACAATCGGCTGTAAGATTGTCAGCCTTATGCGCCGGCTAACACTGCTAATAATGGACTTTATGTTGTTTCGGCTTAACTCACCAATAATCGCTTGAAAGTTCTTTCAACTGATATCGCCATGAATACCAAAATTCAGGATATCCATGGAGAAACAGCATTAATGGTTTCGTTGGGTCTCCTTTTTCAACGTAGTGAATTTTGATGCCCTGAAAAAGTAAGGAATTTCAATGAAATTGCTCAATGAGGTAAGCCTGCATATATTTACACATATTTTTCTAGTCTGTGGTGTATTATTGTCTGCTGGTTTATTGAGAAAATGTCAGTGGCGACACACAACACAGGCTCATGTTATCGTAAATGCAGAGTAATGAGAAGACATTAGATGTGAAATGAAAGTAAGATAGTCAGTATCATGCGTGAGAGAAATCACTTCAGTTTCCTAATTTGTAGCTTTCAGGGATCGATGCGAATAATTTTTATGACACACGTCATGTGTGTGGTAGATTACTCTAATAACGAATATCCATTCATGATAAATGATTGAAATGATTACGTATCAATACTACTTTTAAGGTAACGTGGGTACACCTCACTTTTATGTAACATACTTCGCAGTACGTCAGTCTCAAATTTGTCGCTAAATGAGGTGGACCTATGTGTTCCCCGGATAGTTTAAACGGTATGGGACAAAACTTTGCACACTTTATATAACTTCTACATGGAGCCGCAATAGCTCAGTTCGTATATTGACGCGCTACGGACTGGACAGCCGGGGTTCGATTCCAGGTAAGGGCAAGAAATTTTTATCTTCTCCACAGCGTCTAGCCCGTCTCTGGGGCATACCCAGGCTCTTATCCAATGGGCATCCGGAGTTATTTCCCCGGGGAGTAAAGCGGCCGGGGCGTGAAGCTGGCGCTCTCATGTGGGTGCTGCAAGAATTGCAGGTACATGACTGAGATCGTTTGCAGAAGATACTGAAATGAAGAGTTTTTAGTTGAAAGTCCGAACACAATAAATTCGCTAGTTTTATGTTCGTTGTGTGTTTCCAAGTCCGTCTGGTGCATGTTGGCGTGTGTTGGCTGCTGAAACTGCAGAGATCTGGGTTCTGTAGGATCAGGAAAATCGGTCGACTGCAATCAAAAGGAGTGGGCTGTGTTCCTCCCGCAGGTGTGTTGTGTCGTGTTGCTCGGTAGTAGTGTAAACATTTATGAGTATCTACTGACCTTGAGGGACAGATATCCATGCTTCCAGAGCGAAGAGTCCGTGAGGACTTTTGGTGGAGTATTCCTCTTCTTCACTTTAAATTCGGAACGTTTGGTGATATAACCAATGGTTAAAACTATACTGATAAGAAAACCACTGATTAGTGCAACCGTGTATTTAATTAAAGTCTCTCCCAGCGACATTTCAGGTCACGACATACGCACTTGTATGTTCGAAAATAACTAAAATCTTTCTAGACAGTCACTGTTTCCGAGAGCACAGAGAGCAACAGCGCACTCGTCCTTGCATCCACTCGCTAGGGTTCGTGATATCGTGACATGTCATCATTATCTGCTTCTTTCCCTTCCCCTCTTAACGCCGCTCCGTTTGGCTTGCTTGTCCTTGTCAGAACTTTTCGCATACTCATCTTGTTGACCGAGGAGATTAATCGTCAAAGCCCAGTACCAAGGCCCCGCCATAGCTCAAGCGGTTAGTCGCTGGCTTTCCACCGCGGCGGCCCGGGTGCGGTCAAGTGGGATTTGTGGTGGACAAAGTGGCGCTGGAGCAGGTTTTCTCCGAGTACTTCGGTTTCCCCTGCCAATATTCATTCCACCAAATTCCCCAACAACATAATCACCAGGGGCAGGTACAATAGGCCAATCAGTGGTCGACGTGTCGAGTGGACCCAACTGGACTAAACCCCCCCACTATGAGATTTTTTTATTTAACTACGGGATGATAGGAATAACAAGGGTACGGATAGTCAGAAGGAGAGACAAAAATATTTTTCTCTGCTCTACTTTGGCTGTGTTTTATTTTGTAAGTCATTAAATAATAGTAGACGTACCACTATACACAGTTTATAATAAAGATACACAACTTAATAAAATACACATTTCTTAAAATAACAATAATAACAACAGCAAGAGTTACATCCGTCTTTGGACGTGTTGTGGATGTGACATTCAGCATTCAAGACGATGCAGCAACTGGTTTCTCCACCTGGGGAAATGTTGTTACAAAATTAATCACCTAGTGCTTACCGGTATGGTACAATTCATCGTTGCTTATTTCTTGAATGTTGTGACAATCTAAGAAAAATTCCATTGTTACTAGAATTATGCAATAAACAATGATGGCACGTATATTGACGACACTTTAAGTATGAGGGCCGTTTAACTTCAACTCCCTCCCCTTTTAATTCAGTGCAAAGAAGACACAAGCGTCTCTCTCTTTAGCATACTTTCCTTATTTTCAGAAAATAAAACTAGTCTTAATGAGATCATCTTGCTGTCTGTGTGTGTGTGTGTCTCTACTTGTGTGTCTCCTCCATAACAAATTTTGAAAGCATGAACCGATATTTATTTAACTTGATAAGAATATCATGCCACCTGAGGCCCCCTTGACGGCGTACTTCATAAATCCCTCCCATCAATAATACCAACTCTGCACATTTGAGGTAAAAACTTAACATATTTTGAATGCCTGAACCGATCTTCATGAAACTTGGTATGAATATCATACTACCTGAGGCCCTCTTGACGGCGTACTTCATAAATCCCTCCCATCAATAATACTAACTCTGCAGCTTCTCGTCTGCTGCATAAAAACATGGTTTAAAATAAGTAAAAATATGATTTTACTTGTAGTTTAATACAGGTATGAATATGAAACTTGGTCTCCTCAAGGAAAGAACACAGACTGAGAACAAGAGGCATTCACATAGGGCTGTGGTAGGAAAACCAGAAGGAAAGAACCACTAGGAAGAGAGGGCATAGATTGGAGGACAACATTAAATGGTTCTTAGAAAAGTATGAATTTGGTGATATGGACAAAATTCTTCTGGATGAGGACAGAGACCAGTGGCAGGCTTTTGTGAGCACGGCAATGAATCTCTGGTTTCCATAAAATTCGTAAAATATCTTGAATGGATTAGCGACCGTTGGCGTATCAAGGATTTAGTCCCGCTGAGTTAGTTATTTTTTTAAGAAACTACTAATATCTGTGCATTTGAATCTGTGATATTTATTACTAATTGTAATTCTTCCTGAAATCAGTATTAAGTTCTGCTTTATAATTATGCCAGTATCTCAAAAACAGACTTTGTTTTATTCTAACCCAATCATGAACACATATCAGAGTGGATCTATCCGTACATAAGTAAATAAACAACAAATCATAGGCACAGAGCGTAATTTTACTCGTAAACAAAACGAAATTATTTTTATCATCTGTAATGATTTCTTTTAAGTTCAGTTGGAGTAAAATATGTTATTCATATCTCATGCTAAAATCAATGCTTGAAAAATCATCAAAGAACCAATCGGATTATAAAAGACAGAACAATTCCGTCCATTGTGACTGGTGAATTTTTTCTTATTTCAATGCTTCATGCCCTTACATGTTTCGGTCCTTAGAGACTATCATCAGAGGGACACCGATACAGTTTGGAAACCACTAAGGGCCGAAAAATGTAAGGGCATGAAGAATTGAAATAAGAAAAACTTCACCAGTTACAATGGATGGAATTGTTTTATCTTTTATAATATTGTTAGTGTGACGGACCAGAATGAAACAAATAATTAATGAACCAATCTGATCTTGAAATTTTAGATTCTAGTTAAACGAAATCTTACCTTTGGTTTTTTGGTTTTCAGAAAATCTCTGATCAGACCGTTGACTTTTTCAGGATCGTCTTGTTGTACATAATGATTAGCCCCTTTCACCATTTGCACTTTGAGATTCTTAATGTAGCTCTGAGCTGCCCACAAATGATCAAATACCAAATGACCATCATGTTCGCCAAACATATAGAGCCCTGGAGCTTCAATGTCTTTCTTCAGTTTTGATTTCGGTGGCGAAAGTGAGAAGCCATTGGCTCTGAAGTAGTTGATGGGCGGAGTGAATGCTCCTGCAAAAGTTAGAATTTGATTTAATACAAAATATCTGTATAATTAAGTGTCCTAAAGTTCGAAGAGAGATGAAGTGACAGGAGGTTGGAGAAAACTGCATAACGAAGAGCTTCATAACTTGTACTCTTCTCCAAGTAGACTTAGAATAATAAAGTCAAGGAGGATGAGGTGGGCAGGGCATGTAGCACCAATGGGGAGAAGAGGAATGTAAATAGGATATTGGTGGGAAAGTCGGAAGGAAGGAGACCACTGGGAAGACCAAGGTGTAGGTAGGTGGACAGACAATATTAAAATGGATCTCAGAGAGATAGAATGGGATGGTATGGATTGAATTGATCTGACTCAGGATAGGGACCGCTGGAGGGCTCTTGTGAACACGGTAATGAACCTTCAGCTTCCATAAACTGCTGGGAAGTTCTGAAGTAGCTGCACAATTGGTGGCTTCTCAAGAAGGGCTCAGCTCCATGAGTGATGAGTGTCCTGGAGTCATGCTGCCAGCCCTGTGGAGATCTGATGATGTCACATTAGTGTGACCAGTCTTTGAAAGAAGGAAAATGAAAGGCATTTCTCTGCAACCGCCCCTGACAGATGTAGTGTCGCATCACACTGAAGTGTGTCTAAAACATTTCTGAAGATGCATCATCATAGATAATGTGCTGAATCGCTTATTTTTCATTAGAAGGTTACTGGAGTCTGTTTTCATCACAAGATTGGAACTAAATTCACCATACCTGAGGCGTAGTTGAATACACAGGACTTTTCTTCTGTAAGATTTCCTACTGAAGTTATGACATATCCTCAAGGATGTTTTAGACAAGGAATAGGTAAAGGTAAAATTATCCCTGTGCTCAGCGAATTTAAGCACTACGCCATGAAGGCGTATGGGGGATATGTAGATCCACATTTTCTTGACCTCGGCAAAAATAGGGCTACTCTTCTATTCAAGTAGCTCCTCAGTTATCCTCACGAAGCTGAATGGGCCCCGTTCCAGACCCACTACTTCTCAGAATATCTGGTAGCGCCGGGAATCGAACCCGATAACTCTGGATCTGTAGCTAGAAACTCTGACCACTATACCACGGAGATGGTCGGAGCGAGTCGTAGATAGTCATTAATTGTGAGCTCTCATAATTGGTTGTAATTGTAAAGAAGTGTCAATAAATCCAATCATCTAATCCAGAACCCATTTTTATTAGTCACGCAAACCCCCTCATACGTGACAATATAATAAAATATAATTTTATGAAACTCCTGTGTTCACCCAGAGGACATCTTCATAGTGTTCGTGCCCATCAAGTCTCATGAGATTAAAACGAAAGGATTTTACTCGTTTTCGTCGTACTTCAGCATGGAAATTCACATCTCATTTTGCGGGAGTTCATGGATCGTAAAGAAAGCAAAGGAATAAATGAGATGAGATGCTTGCAAAACCGTATTTATTAATTTTATTATTAAATTCAGATTCATTTTTGTAGGTAATCATGAACTCTAAATTATTAGATGTGGTTCATGTATTTTAAGTTTCTCTGTGTATGTTGACTTTCGTTTCAGTGACTTGCATGTAAATAAAATTGTTAAATTCTTTCTTAAATAACATCTTTAATGATCTTTATAAAAAGATTTAAAATTATGTTGAACTAAATCACCATAGACAAGAAGTCAGAAGATACAGCAAACCCTCAATTACATGATTTCAATATTTAATAACTAAAGAGATTATGATTAAAAAAACTATAATTGTGATAAAGTGGATATAAATAATTATTAGCTAGTTAGTGTTTTAAATGGAGATACAGTCTGTCTTCTATTAGATAGGAACTGAATTTTGAACGTTATTTAGAAAAATTAACGCTTGTAATTGTTAACTTCCTTCGTTAAATCAAGGAATAATATTGTGACATGTAGACTCATTACCGAGTAGCAACTGTGTAACGAGGAGACAGTACAACAGCCGTTGCTAAGCAACAGCTCTGTAGACACGTTGTTTCCCCGGCAACGAGAGAACAAGCAATAATGGAAGAGACGATTTTGTGCGGCCCGTCCCGGGGCTACATAACGAAGACTGATCATCGGTTGTAACACCCCCCCGTGTGGAGGTGGGATCCAATACCTCCACCGTGACCCTGCGATTCGTAGGAGGCGAAGAAAAGGGAAGTCTCGAATCTGAGACAGTAAAACATGGTCGCGAGTCCCATGGGACTCGACCCAGAGAATGACTGCGCTGGCAAGGACCAGCACCAATTGTAAACGACAGTCCCATCCTGTCGTCAGAGAGAGCGTCCCACATCAACAAACCAGCAACACTCTAACAGTAATAAAAATCTGGTCATAAGCCCCAGATGGGTGCTTTATTCCAAGACAGACTGGCCAACTGACCGTCAGTCGTAACATAAGACTCAGACTCGGGTTGTAACATAACTTTGACTTCGAGCTGTTGTTGACTCAGTTGAGATTTACAGTTATGAGAAGTGAGAAGCTGGTAGCTGAGGCCAGAGGCAGTTCGGGAACCCGAGTAAAAGGAACGTCCGTCGTTTTAAGCCGTTACCAAGCAACGGCTAGTGAAGTCTGAGAAGTCTTATGGTGTGCTGTAGGTACAGTTATCTTTGTAATGTACAAATCAGTGAGACTGTCATAGTTACGAGCCTTAAAATGTTCAATGCAACCAATTACCAATCCAAACTCTGTCTGCAGTCACTGATCACGTGCCATTGTGTATCCTGGGTCTATTATACTCATATTGGTAAAATTATTTACCTGATTTTGCAAAAGCATACTTGTATGCTTCCAGATCTTCATCGGTGATAGGTGAAAGTGAGGTTGGTGTTGATCCTCTGAACAGATGTTTAAGTCTCACCATGTCGTAAGCTCTGAACGTAAGTTCCGGCAGGTAGGGCAGCTGGAAGTAGAACAGATCCCTGTGTGGGAAAAAGAGTAAAACATAAAGTGCGTCATTAGTATTGATACGCTTCCATGAAACCAGTTGAAAATTCAGTGCGAAACTGTTGCAGACCTCGGTATCATTACTGAGAAAACAATATGTAGGCATGTACAACATTTCTTTCCTATAAAAATAAACTTCGCTAAAAATACATATAATCAACAAAGCAGTTAGTTAGTTAGTTAGTTAGAGAGGGTGGGTTTCCCCATGCACCGCGACCAGTTTGATCTATTGTGCTTACCTCTATGATATGCTACCAGTCTCTATACCCTACCGATACTGGTGCTTACCATCAGTCCCGACCAAGCCAGCGAGTTCGGCCTCTACTGGCTTGGCGGGATCTATAATGCTTCCCCCCTCTATCAGAGGCGTTAGAGACTACTGTTGGGCGGGAAATGTCCTTGAATTTGGCTCAGTGACCTCCTTAGGAGATATGAGGTTCTTTTACGTGCCGTAAAGCTACGACACGGGACCCACGGCTTAAAGTCCCTCCCAGAGGACTTGTTCCCTGAATTTTTCCGCCCTTAAAAATTCCACGACCTCCGCCGGGTTTGAACCCACGTACTACGAGTCATGAGGTGGGAAAGTTACCTCTAGACTACGGAGGCCGCTCAACAAAGCAGTTTGTAATCCACTTCGGTACCAAACGTACAAATTCTGTGATTATGCCTAAAATATTAAACCTGATAACATACGCAAGAACCGGTGCTACTGTACAATACCGAGTCAAACATACATTCCACTACAATCTTATTCTCGTATCTGTAACCACTGTCAGCTGCAGTTGTAATATAGCGATATTCATAAGGACAAGGTAGAGAGCTAACTTTTATGCAAGTATTTTTGGCTATTCTGGATGACAAATCGTATATGGAGTGCCCGAATAAAACTTGAGCTTAGCTTAGGCCTATTTCTTTCTGTAAATATGAAACTTAACACATATCCGAATATTTGTGATGAAGGTGCATGATGGTTTTAATGATCTCAGGATTATCCATAGCTTAAGTTTTGCAATAAAAATACGGCGTTTCGGGAGCTGTTTCTGCTTCCGTCTTGAGGCAAAGGGTGGACATAATTTAGTGAGTCTGTTGAAATGTGGCAGTGTCTGTCAGTTTGTCTATTGTCAGTGATTTAGACGGGCTTATTTTGCTTGAAGATGTAAAAAAAAAAAGCTTCCGAAACGTGTTTGCTGTAACACCAAGAGGATGGATGTCCGAATTACAAGGACTGACGAGTCCGAGTAATCCTAACAGTTTTTGCAAAAAATCTATTTCTCTCTGTGTAATTTTGTTCCCCTCGCAAATTCCAATTCAGCCGACCCCTCTATATTCATTAATCACTGTATCGCCAACGCTATGTTAGTCTCAATATTAACAGCGTCGTTAAGTGTCTGTGTACTTTGTGTGTCTGAAACACTAAACAATGTCGTGAGGATGAAAGTACCTCTAATTGCGGAGACACGCGGTAGCGTAGTTGGTTGAGGTATTATGCTATAAACCGGAAGGTCGCGGGTTCGAGTCCCGATCAGGTGGATTTTGTTTCAGTTTACCTAATCCTTCCAGCCACACTATGGCCATGGGGTCGGCTCAGCTTCTAACAGAAATGAGTACCAGGAATCTTCCTGGGGGGTAAAGGGCGACCGTCGCGTAAGGCTGACAAACTTGCCGCCATCTGTGAGCCGATTGTCTAGATAATGTGGGAGCCTCGACGTCTCACAACACTATGGGCCTCCATGGTCTGTTACAGGAATAGCTTTACCTTTTTACCTCTAATGGAACTTCATTTTATTTTATTAAACTACATGAATGCAGAGCATGTACTGTCTTCGCTCGCTTGGAAACCGGGATCGTGGGTTCGAAACCCACTCAGGGAATGGATGTTTAGTTTGTGTGTGTGTGCCTTGCGACGAGCTGATCACCCGCCCAAGGAGTCCTACCGAATGTGTAAGATCTAGAAAAACCGAAGTGAACGGAGAAGTTCATAGATGTAGGCCTAGGCCCACTGGGGCTGTAGTGCCAAGAAAAAAAAAAACATGAATGCAGTCTAATTAACAGACACTGTAATCATACTACTTAACTAGTTCCATGGAACCGATCCCTTCTTCAGAAACCGCCAGTCGCTCAGCTACTCCGGAATTTCCCACATTTTTATGGAAACCTGAGATTCATTGTCATATTGAAAAGAGCCCTCCACTGGTCCTTATCCTGAGTCAGGTGACAGCAATGCATGCCACCCCATCCCGTATCGCATACCTCAGAGAGCAGAAGTAATATTGGAATGACAGTTAGCAGGGGAAAACACAAGAAATTCGGAAAGAAACACAATCCGATGCCACTTTGTCCACTATGTGCCTCGCATGAAATCACCCGAGATTGAATCAATAAATTAGCAGCGAAAAGGCAGAGTATAACGGCCTAAACTACGGCATGGCTTTGAAATAAAATTAAAATAAATTTTCCATGTCTCAAATAACCCAAATTATTGCGATTTTTGCAAAGAAAATATGATAATGAAATAATACCTTACCATGACATCAAGACCTGGAACAGGTTCGAAGTCAGTATTCTGAAGTTCGATGGAGAGTATGGCGCATCCAGGATAATGTAACTGTCCAGCATCTCAGGGTGCGTCATGACAAAATTCCAGGCAATCGCACCGCCAAAATCATGCGCTACCAGGGTGCATGTCTCATGACCTGCAATTGCACATCACATATGCAGGGTGTAACTGAAACAAACTTTGTAAACGAGTTCCCATGTCCATCTCAGCATGTGTTCGGAAACATTTAATTCGTGAATTATGGCTGAAAGAGTAATGTTTTCGTTCAACGAAGTGCTGAGAATTTCTTTATTTCATCTGCGCACTATACAGATGAGGCACGCTTCGGTAGGGACGGCATCAACTATATTCACAACCAACACCAGTGGTCGATCAATGGTTTAATTCTGATGATGGAGGTCAAAGGGGTTTAACGTAAAACGCATGTAGTAGCAACTTGGAATATTGGAACCATTTCAGCATTTACATTAAGAATGATGGAAATCAAAGAAAACCTGTGTCCAGAAGGCCGAAATGTGTGTGTAAGTGAGAGAGAGAGAACGGAAAGTGGAGGGGCTAGTAATAAGATAATAAGTGGATGGCAGCAGGTTTTATGTTTCCAAGACCGTTCCCTCTCATCCTTTTGCTAAAGGCATGTTGGAAACAGGGTAAAGCGTTGGGAAGTGAAGATAAAGCATTAGAAGGAAGGCGAGCAGCCTACTTACTGCGTTCGATCGAAATTTGTTACCTTAGCTTTCAGATGATTGTATTAGTGTAAAATTTTGGTTCAATATTGACAGGTCTGCATTGTGTCTCCTTTTTTTAGGTAAAGCCGTACACCAGCATCAGCATCCTATCTCATGTCGGTGTTGGTATCCACAGATAGGGACTAGCTCTATCGATTGGGCCCAATTGAGTAGGGTTTTACCTGAAGACGGAGATAATCCAGTCTCCGAAACTTTATGTTTTAAATAGAAAGGAGGACGGTTGATAATATCCAAAAACACAATACCAGTAATTGTATTAATGTACCACTGTCACAAAATTTAGATCTTATTTTCACCAGATAACGTAGTCGGTACAGTGACTGGCTACAGGCTGGACGACCAAGTAGCCGAAGTTTGAGTCCCTGTGGACGTAAGATTTATTACCTCTCCATTTCGTCCAGACAGGCTATGGGGTCCACCCAACCTCCTATCCAATGGTTACCGAGGGCTTTTTCCCCGACGGTAAAACGGCCGGGGTGTGAAGCTGACCACTCACCTCCAACTAGTGCCGAGGTCAAGAGAATGTGGACCTATACATCCACTCCCCCATACACCTTCATGGCGTAGTGCTTAATTAGTTAAGCAGAGGAACAGCTTTACCTTTACCTTTTGCCTGCTTTGAGTTATCCCGTGTTAAAGCAAGTGGTACATGTAGACCACTATAATTTAAGTTTTAATATGAGGAAAGCCAGATAAAATCGGTTAGACTGTAGACTATATTTTCGTTTGTATTAGAGCAAGGGTCTTGGTTCTACCCTTGACATTCTAAGACATATACGTGTACATACCCAGAGCTTCTATAATTTCCTTTATGTCATTAACAAGGTGAGCCATCTTGTAGTCTTCCAATGCTGCGGGTTTGTCCGAGTCCCCATATCCTCTCATGTCCACAGCCACGGTCCTGTTGAGACAGGGTGTTTTTGCTTAGTTTATTTAACAGCGCTGCCAGTAGCTCAGCTCATAGACCGTCGGATATTGGAAGGACTAAGGCATAATGAAATCGAAAGCAAGCGAAAGGAAGTGGTCATATCCTCATATGAGGCTAAATCCCGAAAATTGCTGGAATAACTGAAGAAAACAGAGAAGGACTTTAGACAGGACCTCTAGAATAGGAAACAGTACTGCTGACCATTCAGCCACGATGTACCTCACATTTAAATGCTTGTGGTAAATAAACTAGTCAAGAAATCTCTCATGCTTTATGGAATCCCTTTTTTTTCATTGCAGTGTTCACAAGAATCTGTCTTGGGTCCCTCTTCTGAACTCTACCAATCCAGTCCACAACTCCAATGTTTTGAAGAAAAATTTTAATACGGTCACGTGTAGGAATGACTATAGACGGGGTTCGGATTGGTAATTGGATTTATTGATCACTTACAGGTCGTAACTACAAATAATTGTACCATTTTAAGGATTACTGTAATTATAACACAAAAATAACGCCTTCACCACCCGTTTCCTGGCGACAGGAACTATAACAGTCTCACTGAATTACACACTCACTTCATAGCCGCACTCTTTTCCTTATAGCCTCCCTTACAGAACTGAACTCTCAACTCAACCTCCCTGAACTGTCTTCTCCGTTATTTTGGAACCTCTTATAATTTTTTAATTTAAGCAGGAATCAGCTCCATGGAGTTACTTAGTTGGTTGTTAACATGATTCAGCCTTACAGCGCATTGTGTCTTGACAATGAAGTGGCCAAATATTCTATTCATTGTACATCTTAAACGAGATTTTAATACTTGGCTTCTATGAAAACTATATTTTTGTTTATGAAATTCTGTTGAGAGAAAAATCGTGTCTCGTGAAGTGCCTGCCTGTATTCGAAATCCATTCATACTGAGAACTTACCAGTAATCTTTGGAAAACTCTTTCAATTGGTGGCGCCACGAATACCAGAATTCAGGAAACCCGTGGATGAATAGCATCAGTGGCTTCGATCTGTCTCCTTTCTCGACATAGTGGATTTTCACTCCCTGCAATAAGGACAAAAAGTCATTAAGAACTCATATCACAAGCGGTTAGCAACCTGAGTACCGCATCATGATTGATTGTTCTATGCATATTTTATGACGTAGAGTAACAGACTTAGCACGGATGATATGATATTAATTCTGAACGTACTTTTTATTTTTTAAATTGTTTATTTAACGTAGTTCTCAGTATCAAGACTGCATACAGTCGATGAGGAATTAGAACTGACAGAGGAAATGGAAGTACCAGGAGAAAACGTGTCCCAGTGCCATAAATTCCACATGAAATGACTTGGAATTGATCCTGGGCTGTGAAACCTGCTTCTTACTGCCTGATCTTCAGCACGGACAAATTTTTAATTGAGCGAAACTTAGAAGAAGTTCATAGTGTTGTCCCAGATTCACCTGGAGGGTGTGAGAATAGTTAAATAAATATAATTCTAGAAATTTCAAGGTTGTATTTATATCCGACACCTGAAACTGAAGGTAATCATGACATGTATTAGGATAGCCAGTGAGTCAACCGAGATTCGATCTAGGTACGTCTGACACATAAATTGAAGCCATCACTGAGGCAGACTAAAGAAATATTGTTCATTTTATCTTTATAAGAGACATCTTCAGATGTTACGCTTCATAATACACGAAGTAGCAAGATCCAAGTCCATTGAGAAGTATTCCTTCTTAATGTTGGCTGCGCCTACTGACGATAGCCAGGGGTGGCTGAAACATTCCAAGGCAAACTTTTATACTCTCCTATTGAACTACGAGTAATTACACTTGATGGGTCTTACTATTCATTCATGTATTATCCACTTAAACTTAAGCCCGCGAGTAGAATTGAATGTCTGGACAAAACAGTAGAAAAATACCGCCACGTATCAGGGGTTTGAGTGACTTAAAAGACGGGTTTTGGATTTCATGATCGAATTTATTGGACCTCTGTACAACTTGTTGCAAAAATTTCGACTGGACACCCTAGACTTCTGACCACACTACAAAGTCAAAGTCACATTGCGACTGACGGTCAGTCAGTAAATCTTGGTGCCGAGCCCCATCTGGGGCTCATGACCAGATATTTATTACTGTTTGGCAGTTACGGTCTTGTGTTTGTGGGACGCCCTCTCTGACGAGAGGACGGGTCTGTCTTTCGTATATGCTGCTGGTCCTTGCCAGCGCAGTCTATCTCAGGTCCCAGTCCCTTGGTACTTGCGACCATATATTACTGTCTCAGATTTGAAACTTCCCTTTTCATCGCCTCCTACGACTCGCAGGGTTAAGGTGGAGGTATTCGAAGCCGCCTCCACACGGCCTTGGGGCGGTCTCCTCAGAAAACACGTCCATTCCTAGCAATGGGCATCTACTATTGTCGCGTATGTTTATATGTGTTACCTAACAAGGGGCTGTTTACCCAGAATATATCTCCATGGGAAGGTGTTTATCTAGCCGTTGCCTAGCAATGGGTCTGTACGTCACAATATTATTCCAGTCAATTGTAACGCCAAATATTGGGGGTTTCAGGTCAGAGAGGCTGACATGAGCAGGACGTATACAACTCATGACAGGGAAGAGAAATACATAAAAAAATCCTTAGGAAAATATGTAGGAAAGAAACCACTTAGAAGACCTAGACTTAGATGGGAGATACTATTAGAATACAACTTTAATAAGTGGAATTAGAATGGGTGGACTGGATGTATTTGGTCCAGAATGAGGATCAATGTCTGTTTCTTGCCAACATTGTAATGAACCTTCTCATTCCATAAATGAGGGGCCTTTCTGACTAGTTGAGCAACTGTTAGCTTTTTAAGAAGAACTATGCTTCATGATATAAAGGTAAAGTAAATGGTAAAGTTGTCGGTCTACTTTATTGATTAAGCACCATGCCATGAAGACTTACGGCTGAGTGGAGGTATTGCTCCACCATTCTAAACCTCGGCACTAGATGGCGATGAGTGGTCAGCTTCATGCCCCCGTTATTCTTTAGGCAGGAGTCTGTGTGGACCTCAGGGCCTGTCTGGGCGTTATGGAGAAGAGAAAAACATTGCTTCCGCCGGTAATCTAACCCCTGCCGTCCAGTTCGTAGCCCGTCGCTTTATCGATCGAGCTCTCCCAGCTCTTGGAGTTAGATAATTAATTATTTTGGATTACAGTCCACGAAGACGATATGTTGGTAGACCACAAAAGTCTGTATGAAAGCAGAAGGGTCTTGAATGACAGAATAATATATAAGTACATAGCCTTTACCTCAATCGGTAGATATCCATGGATTCCATAGGCAGGATCTGTGAGGCAGGCGGGAACTGTGTCACGCCTCTTCACCTTCCAGAACAATCTGGTAGGATGCAGCAAGATGCTAAGACATAACCTGGCGAAGATTAGAGCAGCCGCAACGCAAGCAGCGCTGTACACGAAAGTGGTCGCTGCGATTGTCTGTATGATGCCCATCGCGTTGGCTTCCTCGCGTCTCCGCAGAAAGACTGACAAATGTTCACCAATCTCTCCTACGGTCCGGATGGACAGTGGCACGTCCTACTTCAAGGTCTCTCTGGTGACCGACTTCCCTCTTCCTCCTCCCAGCTCTTCTTTTGCATTTTCTTTAACCAGTCGTGGTGAATCCTTGGTTCCAAGGCGTCGTTGACCCCAGGCTGGGAAGAACAGCTTTCTGTCTGACACACCACAGCAGATGTCTGTGAAAGTTACGGAACTGTATCCTGTGCTTAATGTTGCAGCCAGATTCTGCAAAACCAGTTGTTTTTTTTTTCTCGGATGAACGTTTCACGTTATTAAAAATCCCCCACTTCAGATAATTTGCTATAACGGAATACCGTATTTACGCATGTATAGGCCGCGTGCGTGTATAGGCCGCAGCACAATTTTCAGACAGAAATTATAGAAAAAATAATTTTCTTGGAATATTATTTCAGGAATAGAACACTCTGTATTACTAATTATGAATATAATTTTTT